ATGAAGATTTCATCTCCCTTACTCCTGGAGAGAGTATCGAGAGAGAAGTCGACATTGCAACAACCGCTGACCTGACTCAGGGTGGCGCCTTCACCATCTCCTCCCAGGGCCTTATTCCCTTCGCGGAAGTGGACAGCAATGAAGTCACTGGTGCTATGGCCTTCCACGCCAACGATCTTGAGATGGATGTTGACGGTGCCGTCGCCGCTACAGTTGAGAAGGCCATCAAGCCAGTTGATAAGCGCAGCAGGTTGACGAACTCCTGCACTGGCCAACGAAGGACCGCAACCGTGAGAGCCATCCAGGCCTCGGCTCAACTCAGCCAGCGATCCGCACAAGTCGCCCAGAACAACGCCCAAAAGCTCCGGGAGTACTTCAAGCAGACTGACCAGAGAACCCGCCAGCTTGTCGTGAACCGCTTCACCGCAGTCGCCCGAGAGTCGACCGTCAACGGCGGCAGAACGACATACGACTGCACCGATCGCATGGGCCACTGCCAACCGAGAACAATCGCGTACACCCTCCCGGCTCAAAACCACATCACCAACTGCCCAATCTTCTACCAGATGCCCCTTCTGACCAACCGATGCCACGGCCAGGACCAGGCCACCACCGTCCTCCATGAGATCACCCACAACCCGGCCATCGTGCAACCCCACTGTCTTGATCACGGCTATGGATACCAGGCCGTTCGACGTCTCAATGCTCAGCAGTCCCTCCAGAATGCTGACACCTACTCTCTCTTTGCTAACGGTAAGATGACATTCAGGTTATTTCTGTATTAAAAGTCATAGAAGCTAACAATACTCTATTAGCTGTCCATGTTGGCTGTTAGTAACAGCACTAACTGTTCTTTGTACGCTTTGATATGTATTTGTGATTGATCTGTCTTAACGCTTGAAGCCAACAAGCTTGGGATCTCCGCTGGACATAAGAGGACATTTTTTCAAGCTGTACATATTTCCCTTCAATATATATCTATTATAGTAAATCATATCAAGCCCATGAAGCTCATGAACCGCAGAAATGGGTCTGATTCTGAGAATCTACGCAGCGGGAATCTAATGAAGACTACCTACTGAGACCTCAGCGAATGAGCTGCATGTGATCTGTCAAAGCCTAAGAAAGCAGAACGATGGCATCATTAGTTTCAGTGAATTGGAATCTAACATAGTGGGCCTGTCGCTGTTAATGAGGGGACAAGCAAAAGGGCACAGCAAACATAGCAAACAGGGAAACCAGCATGCAAGAGTATGCGCGGAAGCTCTTCCATAGAAACCAAGAAACTACAACTCCTGAGCTTTGAGCATTGTATCCTGTGGGTTTCAGCCTTCAACAACTCATCATGAGAACTACATAGGATGCGGCGAGAAATTTTTGAATTGGATCTAAGGAGATCCAAGTGAGCAGGTACACAAGTAAGAAGATGCATTAGGTACGGAGCACTCTGTTGTTAAGCAGGGATACTTCTAACTACCTGTTACCCCATAGACTAATTAGTGTATCATGACTAGTTATCTGAGCCCAAAGGATCTTGCATTGGTCTCCCTGGCCAGTAAAGATCTGGATCCATACTGGAAAAATGAGCTTTTCGGGCAACTGTTGGAAAATGTTTATCTGACATGACCCATTGAACCATGGGTTGCAAGCTTGAAACTGTAGATCAACCATATATTTACAATGCACATATAAAGGGTCCAAAACATATAGAATTTGGAATGTATGATGCACTAATTGAGGGTTTTGAACCTGATTTGGAAGCTTTTTAATTACTAGAAACTAACTAAGTATTACACAACCACCCACACAACCTAAATTGTAATGAAGTTTTTTTTTTTTTTAAATTTCAGGAGCCTCCTCACTGGTTGGAGTCTCTGGTTTGGGGACAGGATGTAAGACCAGTGCAGAAGAATTGTCAGGGCAAGCCCATTCAGGCCATCTGATTATACTTTCAAGCAAATTGGCTCCACTGCCTCCAGTTGAAGACAGGCCTGATACAGATATATTTGGCTGCAACTGAATAAAGAGAGAAGGCATGATTGAAGTAAAGAAGAGAGAGAGAGAAGTAAATATAGCAGAGAGCAGAGCAGCAGTAAATTAATCTATCTTGATTACTAATTTACAGATGATTTCTTCTGTTTTTTGCTTTTTCTATTATTAAATATCAAAGTTAGTTTAATTCATTCTGACATTACATCAAGTATACTAACTACAGAAGATAAACAATTAAAGTTTAAGTTCTGATAAATATTGGTCAAGATTCTTTCAATATTCTATATATATAACTATATTAGCATGAGTTAAATATATGATCTCTAATCAGTTTAATCTATCTTGATAGAGTGAAATGTATGCTTCACAAGCTCTTTTTATTTAACTTGAATGGATATAAGCTTTTTTAATGCTACTAAAGTAGCAGCACCAACTTCAGTATTGAAGAGAGAAGAAGAGAGAGATTTGTCAGTTTAAACTAATAAAAGTATTATTTTAACAAGTAATTTACTAAGATCAGTAATCTGTTCTGTTATACTGGCTTTTAATTTCTCTTGAAGCATTATATTCTTAAGTCTGAGAAAATTATTATAATTAAATAATAATACTGTCACTTTCTTCTGCAGCTCTGAAGAAACAGAAGTATAGACTTTTTTATCTTTTGTATAATTAGTGCAGGTCTTTATAGTTTCTTGCTTGCAGAAACAAGACTTTTTAATATATATTATATATATAAATATCAAACAGTAGTTACAGAGTGTATTACTTATTATAGCAGACTCTTCTTTAACAGCTAAGAGCTTTTGCTCTGGCTTCTTCTTTATAAATATTAGAGAGTGCTTGTTCTGAGCTGCTGCTAATTTATGTGTTTGCAGAGCTATTTTTTGCTATTTCTACATATATTATTCTTTAATTTACTGCAGTTTCTTATTTCATTCTGAAATCTACTACTTATCTTAATATTAGAATAGAAGAAGAGAAATAATAAGAAATATAATAAGCTTAAGAGAAGAAAAGAAAGAAAAGAAGAGAAGAAGAGAAAGATTTTATATAAGAAGAGATTATTATATCTAGTGTATCTGCTTAATTATTTTGAATTTTCTAATCAGAATGTGTCTATTTATATATTACTAAGTACTAACTTATTTTGCTTAGAGCTTCTACAGCTGATTATAGTGAATGATAAAGAGATATATATTAAATATAATGAAATTCAGCTCTTGCAAGCATTGATATAACAGAGTATTGCATTAAAATCTAGATATTAAATCTCAAAATCTATTTTAAAGTACAAACTAACAGCTAATTTTAATTTAAGAAGATATCTTTTTATGTATTTAACTAGAATCTGCATCTCTTTTGGAGCATGTAATCAGTTGCAGCTGATATAAATCTCTTTAAACAGATAAACTAATTTATTACAGTCTTAAAATAATTTTCTGTAATATTCTGTAAAGAATTCTGATTCTTCTTATCTGAATTATTATTCTCTGACTTCTGTAGAGCTTGCACTGCCTGAGTCAGATATAAATCAGATTTCCTGAATAGTATACTAGATATCAACTGGACTGCATCCAGAATTTCTGGTAAAGTCTTAATATGGATAGTCTTTAGCTTTCTTGATCAGATCTTCTATTAAGTAAAGTCATCTGAATTAATATCTTTTAGTTCTGGTTTTTATATCAAGCAGTTCCAGAGCTTGAGTACAGAATTTCAGATGTAAATTAATAGAGTGAATGTGTTCTGTTTTGAACTGTTGTCATCAAGATACAGCTTTATATATACTACTAAATTTGCATATATCTCTATTGCCATAACTGTCAGAGCAGAAATTATGATAATTAAGATTTACTATTAACTTATGTTCAAAATATCATTTCTCTTGTGAAGCTGACTTCTTAAAATTAACACATGGCTTGATTCAGTAAAAGATTTTACAGAATTGATTCTACTTAAACAATCAGATAAAATAGCTGATCAGCTTTTATTAATTAGTTATTTCATAAAGTCTGAAATCAGAATTCTCAGTCAAGCTGAGTTTAATATATTCTCTGATATGATTCTGCAAATAAAGTCAGTTTATATTATAACTAGAAGTTTAGAGATGTTATTCTGATCTTCAAGCTATTTAAGATCTTACATTTCCAATCTTTACAGAGATCTGACATGCATCTAGAAAGTTTACAAAAATATGAGTTGTTTCTGACTTTCTAGTTCTCAAGACTCAGCATCTTCTGAATAATATCAGGAATTGGGTCAGTATTTAATATTAATATATAGATTTATTGTACCTGATTTTGTATCTTGTACTTCACTACTTGAACCTGCTTTTTAATCTCTGTATAATCAGAGAATGCTTCAGTTCAGATACTTGTATTTGAACTAAATAATATCTTTTGAGTCTTTAACATGTTATATGATTGAGTTTATAAAAAGATGCAAGCTGTTTTTTTTAGTGCTGGTATACTCTGTATCTCTGACATTTTGGCTATTGAATTGCTGTTGAGAATGAATGAGAGTGAATACTTGAATTTTAAAGAGATTTGCTACCTACTATATAATTGACTTGAAGTACATTTGACTGCTCAAGTTACTATTCAGATCTGTATTTATATTTCTCTACATTCTAAAATTCAATGCTGCTAAGTGATTGATTTCTTTAAAATAGGCTGATTATCTAGAAGAATGCAGATTATTGCTGATCTTGCATCTCTTAGAGCTAATTACAGATTTAGATAATTAGAATATTACAGTTGATCTGTAGTACAGTTGGCATATTTTACAGCTGCTCTAATATTTAACTTTACTATAATACATCTGATTCTCCAATTGAATAGTAATTTTCTTTCTAATTTCTATATACTTTATCTTAAAGAAATTCTGCAGCAACTCTTACTGTTTCTGCAACTTGAAACTTAACTACTGTAAAAACTGATGTATAAATCTTGAGTAAACATATGAGATCTGAGATACTTGAGATACATAAAAAACTATATGTTTTGGAGAAGATGACTTCATTTGCTATTTCTAGTCTTGCAGTTTTAAAGATACAGACAGTCTATCTATTTGTTGCAGAAATTGTAAGATTGCAATTATGTTTTATCTTCAGTAAAATCTGATATTTAGCTGAACAATCAAACTAAGAAGTCAGAGTTAAGTGTAAGATCTTGAATTCTCTGTCAGTCTGCATCATTTTAATTACTGTATACAGAATGCAGTAAGTCTTTCAGATATCTCTGATACTCTGTCTGATACTCTATCTGATACTTATTCTGAACCAGAAGATATCAGAGTGCAGAAGATTATACAAGAAGCAGTGGCAGCTCTATTCATGAAATTAGTTGATAATAATGAATTACAACAGTATGAAGAGCCTGAATCTGAATTCTGGTTACAGACTATATTATATCCAGTGCATCTGGTTAGCAATAGAGATTCTGATTTTCATTCATAACTAGAAAATTTATTAAGCAACCAGTCAGCTGAAATCTATATTCTGACTACAATAAATAATCTGTTGGAGGTCCTAGTCCATGTGTGTGTGGAGCCTGATGAAATGCTAGACTACTTCATACTTGCTTTAGAATTATGATGTGAAAAATTGAGAATATCTTGCTGACACTATAAGATACTATAGAAAGTCTTACAGATTTCTGAAGACATTAGTATACTGAGATCTCTACTATTGGGGCTGAGCATGTTAAAGAAGAAATACAGAGCTCAATTCTCTATACTTTCTATCTAATAGACATTCATACTGGCTGTTTTATTGAAAATGTCAACTCTTTCATCTGCTGAGAAGTGACTAATACAGATATCTCTTATATCTAATTTATTCTTTCAGAATTCTGTGACTCTTTTGTCATTACTAGCAAGATCTCTTGTATTTTGCAAAAAGATACATATTGGTATGACTGATCTAGTTAACAATCTGACTGAATTGTGGCAATCATGAAGCTGGAGAAGCTCTATTAGATGTTTGTTGGGTGACTTTACATGATATTCTGATAGAATACCAGTCTTTTCTTCTGATTTTGTTTGTTTCAGATGCAATAATACTGCATGTAAGTGTACTTGAAATGAACAAGAAATCCATATCAGAAGAATTTAATTTGTGGGTTGGAACTGAAGACTGGCCTGCATAAAATCTGATGAAATTATTCTTATTATTCAGTACACTATTACTGTCAACAGCTTTAATAAAAGATTTCATTTACTGAGACCTTCACTTTGCCTGAACAAGCTGCTCTTACTGAAAGATCAGAAAACTCACATCATACATAAAGATAACATTCTAGCTTAACTGAATGTTTATCTTGACTACATCTTTAATGAATTGGGTAGCTACAAACTCTCAAAAACAAATGGGTTCTTTATATGGTGAGTGATGAATACAATTTGCTACATATTATCTGTACAAGAGCTCTGACTTAGTACTCTGCTCTGAAATGAACTAGAAATTGTAGCATATAAAAGAGATATACTGATCAAGATACTCTGTTCAGATAATATTATCAAGAGAACTATATTCATTCTCTTCCTGCTGTTTATTGATGGATTTAATTTATATTAAAACATGTACTGAAATATAACTGACTTTTATATAATCTCTGCAGAACTTAATAATTCTGAAAGAAGATAATAAAATAATATATATATAATTACTCTTGAGCCTTATGCTACAAATTTTCATAATATTATAAAGATGTTAGCTTCTGGTTTACAAGCAGTTGAAAGAGAATTTAATATTATAGTAACTAGTAAAGAAACTGTCAGAATTATTGCTTTTTGTATTGCTTATCTTAATAACATGCTGTAGCAAAATGATAATACTGGAATCAAATATTCTACTGTAACAGTCTTCTGTTAGAGCTGTACTGTCTCTGATATGAAGAGATTTAATATGAATTTTGACTTGATAAAACATAACTGATACCATTACCAGCTACTTAATTTATAGACTGAAATTAAGATGAAGTGAACTGTTCACAAGCAAGAAGTACTGTAAAAGACTCATGAATTAATTAAGAAAAGTTCTTCAGTTTTGAAGATCTGTCTAATACTGAATCTGATAACATTTTTTCTCTCTGATCTCTGTTATAGTAAATTTTTGAGCCTGTCCAAAGTTGCACATACATTATTAATATTACATATATTGACATCTGAGAAGTAGAAGAAATACTGCCAAACTCTACAGAGATTTCTATTTTAAAAATGCTGAGTCTGACTGCAGTCTCTAATTATTTATCTGAAGTTCTATCAAATCTAGAAATATATCTGAGCTTTAATTATAATTCTAATTATACTCTGCTTTACTCTAAAGTTTGATTAAATTCAGACTGTTATTCAGCAGACTCTCTATAACTTCTTTAGTGAACAGTTAATTAATTCTGACATTCTGTATTTGTTACTTGCTAAAATCTTTAGTGCTATTGCAAGAAGTAATTTACTATTGACTTCTCAGACATCTGTTAGATATAATGAACTTAAAAGTGTAGTTACTAATATCTGAACTATACTTCAGAAAGTGATAGATACTACTGTTATAACTGCTGAGGTATTATGATTAGCTAGCTGAACAGTATAAATGCTGAGATTATAACAGAATTTGCCAGTGTTCAATCAGATTATAATACTTCTGATAGAGAACATTGTAATTAATACTGTCAGTATTACTCTAAAAGCAGATAAGATATTATATGCTTTAAAATACTGATCAAACATGCATATTAGAGTGTACTATACTGACCAGATAAAGAAGTATGCTGTACCAAATAACTGTAATATACTGATTAAGAAGAATAAATACTATAAATACAAAGTATTTGTGCAGTAAACCAACAAGTATAATATTGAAAAGATTTTACTGATTCATAAGAGCTTTAAATACACTATATTCTTGATTCTTGATAAGGCTCTTATGGAATTGAAACTCTATATCAGCAGCCAGATAAAGCAACTTCATTATGAATGTCTGATTCTCATGCAAGATCTTATATGATTGGAACATAATAAGCAATAAGATGATAATGAGAATGCTGATGAAGCTGATAATTTATATACTATCACTCTCTTTCATAATTTAATCAATGCTTACTGTCAACTATCAGCTAGCTGTAAAGTCATGAAATTACTTAATTTACAAAGTGTATAGCTTTCTGAACTATTAATTATGCATTTCTTTTTGCAAAAGCTCTGACTTTTATACAGCAGTAATTAAGCATATCAACATATACTTGATGAAGATTTGATCTCAGTCTGATTGCTTTAAAAGCTGATCTTTACATTTAATAAAGATGTGCATTGCACTACATTGAAACTTGATAATCTGATTGAGTATACTTGTGTATTGAGCATCAAGATTAAGTAAATAAGATGCATATTTATCTATAATCAGAGCAGCTGCTGGAGGGTTTTTTTTGCCATGTTCTCTGCTTATGAAATTTGATGTAAGAGAGTACTGGATTTGCTGATTTTGCAGGTGAATTAGAATGAGATTTATATAATTAGTTTATCTGCAATCTGCAAATCAAGTCTTTACACAATATCTGTCAGTAAAGATTCTGAAAGACTTGAACTGGATTCTGCTCTGCTGACTATCTTTCTCAACTGTACTTGAAGTGTTTTCTTTTTATAGATGGATTGAGTGGTTTGATGTATGTAGTATTGTGCATTAGTTAAAATCTCTTCAGTGTTTGCTGAAGTAACTATACTATAATAATTTCTATACTATAATGGTTTCTACACTATAATTGTTTCTATACTATAATAGTTTCTATACTATAATGGTTTCTATACTATAAATATTTATAAATCTGAAAAGGTATTCTAAATGTTCCTAGATATATTTGTTGATCAGGGGTTTGAACATTTCCTGATTTCTATATTGAGAATCAGAAGCTATGTTTCTGAATTCAGAATGTATATATTTTTAAACTTCCAAACAACTGTGAATTTGGATAAATGTATATTCTGACATAAATGTATTGGGACTAGTGGATCTACAGTTTACAAATCCTCCCCATTTCTGCTATGGATGCCATGATGGGTCACATGATCAACCAGGTAAGGTAGTTCACCACTAAACAAGCCACACCACTAAACAAGCCAAATTTCACCAAATGCTTCACACAATGAATTTATTAAATATCTCAACAACCAGATCTTTATTATTAAATAGCTATTAAATATTAAATGAATGTGTTCTTTGAAGTATAGAAATTAGTGTAGTTAGGAAAATAAACAGGTGGATGGCCTAATATTGTGGCCAGAGCAAGAGATCTGGGGGGTAGATAGGAAAGAATTCAAAGAAATGTCAACAGTAGATTTCTTGGCTAGAGAGTCTAATATCTTGCTAGAGAGACTTGTAGAGCTCTTACTTCTTCTTTTAGAAGGTTGTATAGACTCTTTATGATAAGAATCTTTAGTAGGGGAGTCCTTCTGACAGTGCTTTGAAGCTGGCACTTAAAGCCCTGACTGCCAGCATTTAGTAGCACATTCAACTGCCTATTTTTTCTTCTCTGCTAGTTGTAAAGCCTTCTTCTTCTCACAAGCAACATGTTGTGTCTCTCTTTCTCTAGCACATTTGATTTTTTCAGCCTCTTATTGCTTATAGATCTTTTTACAGGCATTCTTCCATTCAATCCATCTTTCTTCAGTATCTCTAGCAGCCTGCTTCTTTTGAAGCTTTTATTGAAGCTTTGTCTGTTGTATTTGAGCAATTTTATTAGCTTTTTCAGTCTTTATTTCATCCAGATACTTGTGTGTCTTAAGAACTTTTGTTGGAGACCAGAACTGTGCTTGACTAGAATTATCTCTATTGAGTAGGTCTAGAGGCTTGCCTTACTTGCAGCATTGCTTCTCCATCACTAGAGTTAATCTTAGATACTGATTCTCATGTTCCAGTAGTTTATTACAAAGAGCAAACTGCTCACTAGCTTGAATAACCTGTCCAATGCTCTGCAAATTTAGGCTGTGCCAGAGACATATACTCTTGATTTCTTGTCAGAGCTGGTGCATATTGCTAGAAATAGAAGATTTAACTGACAGTATAGGGGCTTGAGTAGTTTCAAATCAGTATAGTTGACATTGAGAATCCAGAGAATTAATTCCAGTCTTTACAAAGCCAGCAAGTATATTTTCAACTGTCAAAGCCTTCTTTCAAGCCATATTGAATAGTCTCCAGAAATCTCTTTTTGTCATTCAAATATAGCTCATTCTGTAATATAGTAGTGCTTCCAGCTCATTCAAATATGCCTTGCCCAGCAGCCCAAAGATTCCAACATCAAGAGATTGCAAACAGTGAGTTGAATGCAGCAGAAGAATTATAAGAAGAATCTTTTTACAGTCAGCATATTCAATAAATTTCATATTTATATGGGAGAAATGCCCATCTAGTAGAAGCAGACATCTTTCTCAACCAGCTTGTTCCTTAGTATGCTTATTGAAAATTCATTTCAACCACTTCAGTTCATATTCATCATTGCTCCAACCATTTGTTGAAGCTGCAAAGTAGGCCCATTCACTTCTATTATAATCATCTAGCCATGTATCCTGGAGATCTCACAATTCACTCTGGTAAATAAGAGCTGGAGATAGTGCAATTCCTTCAGCAGAGACTGAGCAGAGCAATAAGAGGAATTTCCAATTACTATCCTGGGTGGCAGCATTCTTTCCAGCTCATAGGGCTTCAATAGAGACTAATTACTTTGAGGCATGGCAGGAGCCTAGAAGGAATTCTTTTTTATCAAAGTTGTAGATGTTTGAGGGCTCAAGATTATATTAATTGATTTTCTGCTCCAACTACTCCATAAGTATCAAATAGTTAGCCAGCATCAACAACCACAATCACAATTAATCAAATAAATCATCAAATTACAAGCATATAGAAGTGCTTAAAGTACTGATAGTTATCTGCTACCTGCCTGTTTTGATCAATTGCTTTGAGATAAATGCATTTGATCTTGTCATTATACTGCTTGCAAAATTAATTAACCCAGTTAATTCCAACATCCTCTCCTGTCATCTCTTGTACAATATTTCATAGGATCTGAGGTGTAATGGCAAGGCCACAGCTAGAGAGCTTGTTTATATAATTCAGAAGCTCTGCCTCCTGTATATCAGAGAGCTTTTTCTTATATCAGGAGGCCACTTCATCCTGAGCAAGTTGCAAGCCTTTATGCTGTCAGTGCAGGGTCTCTCAGTTGACTGAGTACTTTCTCATGGTTGCAGTGTAATTTGGGGTCTCTTGTGATTCAAGATCTTCAATTGCAAGCCTAATTGAGGCGTTGTTGACCATGTTGTCGCATATTGAATGTTGAATGTTGGAGGAATTTGGTGGTGGAAAATTTGGCTCGTTTAGTGGTGAACTACCTTACGCGGGCTCCTTTGTTATACCCTGCCTCCTCTTCTATTGGATCAGGCACTTTGGGCGTCCTGCATTTCTAATTGAGACTGTATTTTAGACATTCTTGAAAGGGACAGGCATCAAGGCCAGCAACAGAATGAAGAAGCTTCAATGATTCTGGAGCCTCCCTTGGGCACAGCGCCCAAGGCCACTGGGTCGCCAGAGCTACTTGTCGGTCGCATGCCTGGGCTAACTAATCCGACCATACTTACACGGCTGGGTCGGTGTAGACGTACTTAATCAAATCAAAATCAAATCCAACGCATTGACACGGCGCTTGGAGCAGAGATCAAAACAACAATTCAGGCTGCAAGGGATAAAAAACTGAAAGCCTGCTTCTTGCGTTCCTCGTTTGTCTAGCTCTTATTTCCCTCCAGGAAATCTTCAATAAGTTTGCGAAATGCGCCAGCGCAGAGCTGAAGCGCGCCTCTTTCTGATTCAGGAGGGCTTGTCAAAGATACGTCCTACATAGACTGCTGTTCTGTTGTTTGCCTCACCCAAACCTCTTCATATCTTCTCAATGGCTTCAAGTTCTTCTCTCGTGAGGCTGGGCCAGTCCATCGCTGGCTCAGCAAGTTCGTCTTCTCCTGTCCTGAAACTGGGCCAGTGTCTCACTGGCGCAGTCAGTACGTATACTGTCACCAAGCAACTCGGCGAATTCATTTGGTTGGGAAGGTACCCATCAATCACATGCCATCTCCATTCCGTTCCATGTCGCATGGATACCGAATAATCGCAATTTTCGTACTTACATACTTGTTTTGTTAACAGTAACAAAGTTGGGCAGACTGTCGTGATCAAATCCGCGCGCCATTTCCGAATCGCCAACGAGAGGGATGTCCTGAGGAAATTCCAGTCCAGAACTCCGCATCTGCGCCCCTTGATAGATGAGATAGTCGAACCAGCAGACCTGCCTGCCATCGTGTTGAAACATCTCGAGGATGATCTACTCACCGCTTCAAACGCTAAGAAGCTTAGCAGAAGGGAGATCAAATATGCATCAAAGAGGGTTCTTGAGGCATTGAAAGTACTGCATGAAGATGGTTATGTGCACACAGGTTGGGATTAAGATCTGGATAAGCCTTTGAATGGTACTAGTTTCTGATGGAAAAGATGCCTGCAGATATCAAAATGGACAATGTCCTGGTGAACTACGCGCCATCTTCCCAGAATGAAAGTGGACAGCGCTTTACCGATGTCCAACTCGCAGACCTCGAGAGCACAGTCCACATAACCTCCCGCTTTTGCAAGGACCGCGATGAAATTGGTACGCCCATCTGGCGGAGCCCAGAGGCGCAGTTGGGACTGCAATGGGGTCCACCAACTGACATCTGGTCATTTGGGACAATGGTAGTTATTGCATACCCCGGCTCATTTCTCCTAACAAATCCTAATGTTGACAACAAAGGTGATATCCATGATCTGGGGTGACAACTTCTTTATCTTCAAGCCCAAATTCCCCCGTGGCCACGACGAATATGAACTGGAGATCCTCGCCAAATACCACATCTATTTTGGACCATATCCACCATCATATGTCGATCTCGCTGATCAGGAGACCTTGGGAGTACTGTCACTTATCATGAACGATGTGCCGCCCGAGAAGTTGAGACCTTTCTCACTGGCTAGCCAGCGAGAGATTTCGGAAGACGACAAGGAGTTTGTCTTGAAGATAATGAAACTTGACCCAAGGGACAGGCCGACTGCAAAGGAACTTCTCGAAGACGAGTGGTTCAATGGAATATGAGCAGATCAGCAATTTGGTCGATCACACACTTCGACGGTACCGGCGGGCAACACCGTTTTCGAATTCTGGATAATCGGTGTGGCTCTCTGCCCAACCGCATCGACGATAGATTCTGGGCGTGTCCAGTGGCTTGTCTGGGTAGCTACCAAGAGCACGACTTCTACCCCATTTTTCGTGAACTTGCCGACAGTCTTCCTTTTGATGATCTGGTTGAACGGCATGGTGGTGTTGGTTGCAGAGTCAGAGCTGGCTCAAAAATAGAAGCAAGGACTGATTTAGGGAAGGCAGTGGGTGGTATTAAAGAGTGAGGAAAGATATTTGGAACTGTTCATCAGAAGGGAATGAAAATAAAGTCCTGAGAAGATACAATTAGAAGAGAGTTTTATATACTTTTTTTTGCCAGCATCACTATTCATACTGTATGAATGCCATTCAACATATCAATACACTGAACAACTTCTCTGAATAATTACCCACACAACTAAGTGTCTAGCAATATCATGGGACTGCACAGGCATGTTTTAGTCAGGGGTAATCCCTGCATCTCTTGCCATGATCAGTTTGACTATCAATAAGATTCCCATAGATCAGCAAATGGCACAGTCTGGAGCTCTTTTCTTGATATCTGATTCCAACAGATAGAGTCTTATCCAAAAATAAGCCTATTCAGACTAAAGCAGTTGTTGAGAGTGAACAGTGAGAAGGCAGCAAAATCCTGTGGACTCTTCAATTTAGTAATGCAATGCAACCGGGGAGAAACGGAAGAGAAGAAGAAGAGAAGAGAGAGACCTCTCTAGTCACATCTTATCATTGACAGATCAGATGTTCTCATGACACTGACACTTGATTATAGCAGAAATAAGGAGGATTTGTAAACTGTAGATCCACTAGTCCCAATACATTTATGTTGGAATATACATTTATCTGAATCAACAGTTGTTTGGAGGTTTATGATGGAAGCCAATTTCGAGCAGAACTGTAACTTGCGAGTCCAGGTTCTTATCCAATAGCAAAATCAACACTGTGAATGAAATATGTGTGTACATATCTACAGGATACTCGATGTGCATACACCTAGATATTGCAAAGTTAGCAATTAAGTTATAACTGAGCTCCTCAATTATTATATAACTAGGGCCTATCCGCTAGTTAGTAGTTACTGTGTGCATATTAGTTAGCATCCCAAGTTACTCTTGCTTATATGCATTGGTAAATGGAAAGAATTGCTTTGCAATTGTCGTTCACTAACTAGTGGGAATTCGGATATACGAAGACTGGGTCAAAGCTTATTTGAAAAACTGCTGCGTGCTCTCCAACTGTTACTCCAGCCTGTACGGAGTACTCCGTAGTTAGTAGTTTATTTAAAAAAAAAAGGAAAAAAAAAAAAAAAAAAGAAAAGAAAGAAAAAAATTAAGCAATCAGCTTGCATTAACTATATACATCATTCTTTCCTTTCTTTTGTAATTGTTTCTCTCAACCCTTGCAACATTACTCCGTACATTGACTTACTATACATGTTCCTCCCACAAAAAAAAGGCTGCTGGCTCATTACACGTACATCTCCGATTTTGTGTTCGACCACACCTCCGGCGTAGGGTGGAAAAGGCGCTTCAGCCCCAACAACGGAGTATTGACGGGGCTGTCACCCTCATACAGGAAGACATCGTACAAAAAGCCGCCAAATACGCTACCTAGGAAAGGCGCAACGATGGGTATCTACACACAAAGGCAATGACGTTAGCCTCCAAATCCCAACATAATGAACAGCTCACAGGGCCGGGAAAGAAAAAAAAAAAAAAAAAAAAAAAGGAAAAGAAAAGGGAAAAAATGGAAAGAACAGAAAATAAAGCGGCGCCCAGTTACTCACCCAGAAGTAGTAGCCTCCAGCAGACCAGACGCCAGGTCCGTATCCTAGGATATACGACAACAGTCGTGGAGCGAAGTCTCGAGCCATGTTGATGGCATACCCAGTTTCCCATCCGAAGCACGCTCCAATGCCGAAGATGATGAAGAAAACGCCGAGTGGAGTTAGGTTTCCAGCTCCGAGATTCTTGTTGTCAAGGAGAGCATAGAGACAGAATACCAGGATTGTACTGGCGATGAACTCGGAGAAGAATTGACTTGTGCGAGTTACGAAGGGAGCGGGATATGTGGCGAAGATACCGGCGGAGGACGTGGCGAGCCCCACCGTCCTGATCCCGGGACCCCCTTCGAAGAAGTCAATTGCTGTGATGTAGTTGGCATACACGATGGCAGAAGCGATGAACCCGCCTAGGCATTGGGCGAGAACGTAGACGGGGAACTTCCTCCAGGGGAATTTGCGGTATACACACATGGCGAGAGTAACGGCGGGGTTGATGTGGCCACCAGACCTTCCTGCAGCGTACACACCGAGCATGGCACCAATACTACGATAGGGAACGCCTCATGTGAGAACGTATGTACTCGAAAGAACGAACAAATCTTGCGATAGGACTTTGGGCTTACCCCCATCCCCAGTTAATGGACTGGAAAGCTCCCTTTTCGCCTTTACTAAGGACAACCTGGGCAACAGATCCATTGCCAAACAGGACTAGGAGAAAGACGCCGCAGAACTCGCCGAATGGCTCTCGGAGAGTGCGCCTGATTTTGCTCCATACCAGTTCATCCCTCATCTCGGGGCCTAAAATCCGCGGAAAGGATCAGTTGCCAAGACAGTGTAAGAGAAGGAAAGGCACTAGACATACCAGTGTCTGCTGATGTTTTTGCTGCAATTTCCTCCACAGTTGGAGCCATTGTGAGTGGTGTTTCGTCCATAGTCATTGCTTGCTTGCTCCTTTAAAGAACTAACTGAGGGGCGATATCAAAGCTGATGTCCGAGAATACGATCCCTAAGCGCCGTGAAGCAGATATTTATCTGTCTCTCCAAACGCATATTGAGGTAATTGAACGCCGCCGTAGTGGCACAAAAACAAACTAAACTCAGTGGTGCCATGCAAGTCACCCATGAACCCAGGACTGATCACTGACACGGTAGTCGCATTTGCCCCTCCCGACTTTCACCATCATGTGTAAGACTAGGGCATGCAGCGAGGATTTGTATGGGATGAATCCTGGCCGCAGCAGTGGAACTTGGTAACCCCAGCATTCCTATTCATCCGGACGGCGGGGAGGGGGCAAACGGTAGCAACGACACACTGGCACCAGAGGGAAAGGACCATGGATTAAGGAGAAAGAGGAGGTCGTCGCGGGTCGCAGCAGTCGCAGCAACACGCATGCATCACGCTGTTCTATTTTAATAAGCTGGAAATGGCGAGCACGGAATCCGGGCCCTGATATTGCCTCGGATCACCCCATCGCGGTGTCACAGAAGGCTGAATCCTCCCGTCGCCATTGGGCAATTGCAGGAACTGGTTTGTAGGGCGGATGGGAGGGGACCCTTGAGTATCACCAAAGGGACGTGACTCGATATCTCTTCCATGGGAATGTGCCCGGAGAGCGACAAGCCAAGAGCCTGTGCAACTCCGAAAGGTCAGGGTATGTGAAGATCACACACCTGTTTCGCGGCCACCTAAACCCCGCCGCCGTACGGCTGTTTCCATTGAGCTAATTATTGTTACACACGCTTTTTCTAATGCGCATTACGAAGTGAAATATGTGCTCAGTGCGGGCTCGGCTCTTTGTCATGTGTCCGATGGCAGCTATGCGTAGCTTGGATTTTCTGATGAATTGAATTTGAAGAACATGTCTCCCCCGTTGTTGTTGGCGTACTTCTTCTTTCCATCTGGCTATGGAATGGATGAGGGTATTTAGATCAGCGGCTACTTAAACCCGAGCGTGGTGTTGTATAGACTATGCTATGCGAATTCTTCTATATTCTGCAGTCCGTACCTGACCAAGGACCGGACAAGTTGCGGTCTCCTTTTCCAAGCTGAAGTTTTATGTTTGCGCTGCGCTTGGAACCTGCAGCCAAAGAGTTAGTTATGAACGAGCTACTCCGTAGTTAGTGATCTACTAAGCGCTCGGGTGCTCTCCGGAACTTTCGCTGCTATTTTTAAGAATCATGCTGTGAATCACAAATGCTACATCAATCATCACATTAGTATTTGAAATCTCTCTGCAATTTTAAGGATAATAGTATAACTACGGTTTCATTTTTAACAAATGTCAAACATCCTTGGGTATACTGGATATTAAAAAGGGTGCGTCTAGAAATATACATTGTTTACAAATTGAAATTCTAAGCAAAGAGTAAAGTCTCTTTTCTTTTTCCCCTTTCCAAGGTTCAATATCCCCATACTCCGTACTCTGTAGACGTTCGCCTGAAACTAATGGGAGCCGGACCATTTTGTGCAGAATTCAACAACCTTACAAAATATGACCAGGGATAGATGTTAATGTGCTGCGCTAGGAATGTACTTCTTGTTCGACGTCCAGCATGCTTTTACTACTTCTACACTGTATATGATCCTGAATATTAGTCCCTCTTTTTTTTTTTTTTTTTTTTTTTTTTCTTTCTTTGCAACTTATGTGGCTCAAATTACTCAATAGGGTGCGAGAAAATACTTTGAAGATTATAATTTGTTTGGATTGCTGGATCAGTATAACAGTGTGTGTCTACTACTGCATCTTACACAGAAAGATATAAATAAAGGTTGAAATAAGGTGAAAAAACAAGGTGTAATGTTCTCCAAAGTTCCGGGGTTGTTGTTGTATCATGAACTAAAAATTGTAAATCGAGTGCCCCAGTATCCAAATGTCCATACAACATTGCCACATACCTTACCAAACAACCGGCGAACCAATTTCAGGGTGGCTTCATGGGTCTGCCAATGAGACAGGTATCACAGACAGGCTGCTTAGAAATGGATCTCTTGCTATTTGAAAACTTTTAAAACAGTCTTGACTTGCGGCACTGGTAACTTTGAACTGTGGCATTGCGTTTCATCCGCTGTTTCTACCACGTTTCCAAACCTTTCGAGCAGTACCTATTTGAACTAAGATCTATAGAAGACACAATAATGCTTACGGAGCAGGAAGTTGAAAGCTAAAACAATAAAAGTAGAAAAAGGCGATGAAGATCTAGGGTTCGAAAACCTAGATTTAGGCATTGAGGGGTCATCACTATAATTGACCTGTCAATTAGTTACTCTGTAAGGTGCTAAGCTGTCTGTCAGTGGAAGTCAATATAACTACGGAGTACGGAGTATATGGAAAACAAATGCGATCAAAGGTTTAGTTAATTAGTTAGATTAGCAGAATGGAGATTGTTGATCAATTAGTTGAAAATAATCCGTAGCTGGTCAGATAATTCAGTGTGCAATTATGGAATACTCCGTATATTTATCGAATTACCTAGATAGGTTTGATGCCCAATTAACTAGTTACTTTTCTGTACCCATCTCTTGTCATCAAAATGATGTGCGAAGTTTCGTTGTGGTGACTTGCTCCGGAAAAACAAACAGGGCCGTGCGTATTCTGAAGGAAGCTCAGGGAGTTGGGGGTTCGAGCGTTTGCAGGGGTATGCATGCTGCTGATCATAGCGGGGAAACAAAAAAAAAATGCTGCAAATACCACCAGCTCGAGATCCGAAAATCGCGAAGGAAAACGCATGTGAAGACATTGGATTTACAGCCGGCCAGGGGTTGGTGAACCAACCGTTGTCGACTGCATGCTTTGGATTCTGGCTTCTCGCGTACCCTTGGGGCCGATCCCCGTCCTGTCTTCCCATTCGCCTCGCGACGAGGTAACCTAGCCGCCGAGCGTTTTTAGAGCCGGCACCGGGACATTACTGTGATTAAATATGGGCAGATGGCGCCAGCGACCTGCAGGCAGGTAGTCGGTTCACTGATCCTTCTGACGGGGAGACGTCGTCTTGCCTCCGAACCGATTCTATCCCCATTTACCATTAAAACCGAAATGGGGAAAGATATTGAATCATTCATTGGGTCGATCGACCAAGGCACAACAAGCTCCAGGTTTTTGATATTCAACAAGAACGGAGAGGTGGCTGCATCCCATCAGTTGGAGTTTACCCAGATATATCCACAGCCGGGGTAAGTGGGTAACTCCCAAGTTATTTCACATCGGCCGCGATCGAAAGCTAACACCGTGCCTTATCTAGATGGCACGAGCATGATCCGAAGGAGATAGTGACATCTGTAGAGAGGTGTATAGACGGTGCTGTATCCAGCTTTGAACACCAAGGATACAATGTTGAATCTATTAAAGCTGTCGGGATTACAAACCAGAGAGAAACCACAGTCGTGTGGGACAAAGAGACAGGGGAGCCGCTTTACAATGCAATTGTTTGGACGGACACACGTACGCAGTCGTTAATTCGCAGGTTAAAGCGACGGTTAGGCCATGGGGAGGTCCACGAGCGCTGTGGGCTGCCTCTCTCGACCTATCCTTCGGTAGGAAAGCTACTTTGGCTTCTGGAAAATGTGCCCAAAGTTAAAGATGCTTATGAAAAAGGCGTTCTTGCCTTTGGAACAATTGATACCTGGTTGGTATATATGCTCAATGGCGGACCAAAAAAGAATGTATTCGTGACCGATCCGTCAAATGCGTCGAGAACGATGTTCATGAACATCAGAACTCGCCAGTACGACGAAACTCTGATCGATTTTTTCCGGTTAGACGAAGGCAAATTACATCTCCCAAAAATAATATCCTCGTCTGATCCAACGGGATATGGGTCGCTGGCATCAACTGTTTTAAAAGGTGTTCCTATTACGGGCTGCCTTGGGGATCAATCTGCAGCCCTTGTAGGCCAGAAAGGCTTTACTCCCGGAAAAGCCAAAAACACGTACGGCACGGGCTGTTTTTTACTCTATAATGTGGGTGAGAAGCCGGTGATATCTCGTCACGGTCTTCTCACCACAGTCGCATTCGACTTTGGTGGTCAAGCGATGTATGCACTGGAAGGCAGTATTGCCGTGGCTGGCTCGAGCGTTAAATTCCTCAAAGACAATTTCGAATTCATCAGTTCATCTGACGAGGTCAACAAGCTGGCAGAGACGGTAGAAGACAACGGTGGATGCGTCTTTGTTACCGCGTTCAGCGGTCTTTTCGCCCCGTATTGGATGGATGACGCCAGGGGAACGATCTTCGGCATCACCACATATACAAAGCGTGGACATATCGCCCGTGCAACCCTGGAGGCGACATGTTTCCAAACAAAGGCCATTCTCGATGCCATGTCCAAGGACAGTGGCCACGCCCTAACAGAGTTGGCTGTGGATGGTGGGATGTGCAATAGCGACTTGACGATGCAGGTAAGTAAACCAGCTCTTTTGCAAAAAGTTGAGATACTGAACCGGTGACACCGGTCTAGACACAAGCAGATCTCATCTCTATCCCAGTTATTCGGCCGGCAATGCGTGAAACCACTGCTTTTGGAGCTGCCATTGCCGCAGGTTTAGCGGTGGGACTCTGGGAAGGCATCGAGGAACTGCAGAATGTAAACACGGATGGGCAAACCGTATTTGGACCAAGCATTCAAAAAGAAGAGGCTGAGGAACGTTTTTTAAGATGGGAGAAGGCCGTCCGAATGTGTCAAGGGTGGTCAAGCTGAGTTTGTACTTGATATTGTTTGGCTCAATAGAAACTTATCTCTAGGTGGCTTCGATGGAAAAGCTACTCCGTAGTGAAACCGAAAGCAAGGCACTAGGCCCAAATTAAGGTCTGCCAGTGGTATTGTTAGATCAATGAGGTCTAAACGGGTAGTGAATACCTGTGTTTTGAGGAGTTAGCCAACTGCCTTATACCCGATTATCAGGAGGTATCTCGTCTATTGCAATTGCCAGGGTTCATAATTCTCTGTTCGAGTCAATTCACTTAAAACGAGGAACGAGATGTTTTTTATTGGTGCACTCCGTACTCCGTACAGTACTCTGTAAATCACTGGCTTTCCCATTTTGTCTTATTTACTTTACCTCAGCAGACTTTCGCACTTTATGAACTTCTGTGGAGATTCCCTGTAGGAATCATGATCTACATAACATGGACTATTTCCCCCAACAATAAGGAATTCACAAAAGAGACAACAACGTAAAAGGATCAATGGAACAAAAAGTAGAAGGTAGAAAAAGACTAAAACAAAAAAAAAAAAAAAATACATACAACAGCTGGGATTCGCTGGTGGTCACCCACCCAACTACTAGCCAGCCGGCAAGTAGATTAAGTACGGCTGAGCGGACGGGAAGCCCTGTTCTCTGCTTCCTATGGTCGTATGTGCCTGGCATATAGGGCTCCAACTGTCCATCTAAGTCCATTATGGTCTACTGATCCAAAAAGAAACTGACAAAGAGCTCAAAAAAACATACAACAGCCGGGATTCGCTGGTGGTCACCCACCCAACTACTAGCCGGCCGGCAAGTGGCTTAAGTACGGCTGAGCGGACGGGAAGCCCTGTTTTCCACTTCCTATGGTCGTATGTGCTTGTTTAGATTACAAGGTTTACTTTAGTATGGAGTAAAGTCTCCTCCATTTGACTTTGAAATCTTCAGAAAAGCTATAATTTATATTAACACCTGGCATAAGGTCACAGGCCCAGCTTGACTTAGGAGTATGGGGCTTACTATGCTGTTTGGCTTGGACAATAAAAGGTGAATGATTTGCACATGTTATCATAGCTATTATTGAGGCGGGCTTCAGTTTTACTAACATAGCAGCTGTTTAGACACAGCAAATAAAACTCTGCAAGAGGCAAAAAGAACTTAGCAACTACCTCATAACAATATACAATCACGCCCAAAGGTAAAACATGCTAAATGAAACTTTCCCATTTCCTCACGGGCGTCTTTACAGTTCATCACTTCTCAGGGTAGGTGAGCATGGTATCTCTGCTCCTCCTTCGACAGCGAGGGCAAGGACGAGAACTTCATGCCCTGGATGAAATCTCATTGCTCAGCAGCCGTACTGTTTATATGGCTTTTTACATGGGTTTATTTACAGCTTGGCTGCACTTCCAGGAGCAGAGATCTCATTGTACAACAACCTGTGGGAGAAAAGATCGTCAGTCCCTGGTGGTGAACAGAAATACAGTCGTATGGAGGCACTTACGAGGTCAAGAAATCTGCATAATCTTCTCCAGTAACCTGGCTGGCGAAGTAGCGAGCGGCAAGCTGGTATTTGTTGCCCTTGGGACCCTTGGAGGCGAGCTCGTCGGCTTGCTCCTTCAGGAGCTTCAAGTTGTAAGCCTTGTCGACCCTCTTGCCCTCAGCAGTAACAACGTTGTGGCGGGCCCACTGCCAGAGCTGGCTTCGGCTGACTTCAGCGGTGGCGGCATCCTCCTACACAATATGTTAGCATCTTATCGAGGCTTGCCCAAACCAAGTGGCAATTGACATACCATCAGGCTGTTGATTGGGATACATCCAACACCACGGAGCCATCCCTCCATGTATGAAAGGCCAATGTTGATGTTCTTTCTGATTCCTTCCTCAGTGATGCTACCGGGGACGTTGGTATTTAGGAGATCATTGGCAGTAACATGTACATCCTCCCTTCGGACGAAGAGTTGGTTAGGAGTTGGCATGTACTTGTTGAAGATGTCGGAAGCAATAGATGCAAGGGCTGGGTGAGCAACCCATGTGCCGTCATGACCAGCGCGCACCTCACGGAGCTTGTCGGCGCGAACGCTCTCCATGGCAGCGTCGTTGGCCTTGGGATCATTCTTGATGGGGATTTGAGCAGCCATACCACCCTATATGTTTTGTCAGCTTGAGGCCATCGAGCCAATGGAGATGTTATTTAGAGGCTTACCATCGCGTGGACACCTCGTCTGTGGCAGGTCTTGATCAAAAGCCTGACATAGGCATCCATGAACGGCACAGTCATGGTAACAGCAGAACGGTCGGGGAGGACAAAGTTGGGATTCTGGCGGAATTTCTTGATGAACGAGAAGATGTAGTCCCATCTGCCGCAGTTCAGACCTGAACTGTGCTCTCGGAGTTCATAGATGATCTTTTGCACCAGGGGTCAGCTACATCGCACCACTTCACAAGTCGTCGAGACATGTACTCACCTCGTCCATCTCGAAGGCAGCAGAGATCGTCTCAATAAGGACAGTTCCACGGATGGTGCCTCTGGGCATGCCAATATAGTCCTGTGCCAAGTTGAAAACATCATTCCATAGGCGGGCTTCCAAGTGGGATTCCATCTTTGGAAGATAGAAGTATGGGCCAGCGCCTCTCTTCACCAACTCGTGGGCATTGTGGAAGAAGTAAAGACCGAAATCGAACAAACCACCGGAGATAGGCTCGCCATCGACGGTGAAATGCTTCTCATCCAAATGCCAACCTCTAGCACGGGCGATAAGTGTGGGCAATTTTCTGTCGGTGCGGAGTTTATATTCCTTTCCTCCCTGGGTGAAGTCGATCTGACGACGGATAGCATCATAAAGGTTAACCTGGCCATTGACCATGTTTTCCCATGTTGGAGCGCTCGAATCTGTGGAGAATCTATCAGAACAGTTCAACGGAACACACCCACTATCCAACTGTCCCCCTTTTATCCCAGTTCCCGGGGATAACGGCGTGGAAAAAGGTGGAATCGTCACCAACCTTCAAAATCAGCCATATACGTCCATACATCCGAATTCAGCGCATTAACCACCATCTTCCGGTCCGTCGGACCCGTAATCTCAACGCGGCGATCGACCAATCCCGGTGCAGGAGGAGCACCTTTCCACGCATCGTTTTCACGGATGTGCTTGGTCTCAGGGAGGAAGTCTAGAAGCTGGCCTCTGTCGAGTTCAGCCTGGCGGGCAATGCGTCGCTGAAGAAGTGCTTTTCTCGTTCCATTGAATGTGCGGTGAAGCAAGGCCAGGAAGGCGCATGCGTCTCTGGTGAGGATCTTACGTGCGGGTTCGCTGATCTGGCCGAGGATGGCGACATCCTTGAGCTGAGCGTCAACGGAAGTCATGGTTGGCGTTGTAACTCGCAATCCTTTCTCGTTCTCTTTTGTTTTAACCCTTCGATGAAATTATAGATATCTTTTTTTTTTTTTTCTCCTAGAAGCAGTTGTATAATTCTCCCTTAACACAGACGTATATATCAACAATGTAAGCCCTTCAAAAAAAATGATAAAGAGGAAGCCAAGGGATCAATTGATTCCTTTATGGAGAATTTATAAAATCCTACGGAATAACGTCAGACACTTGTAACCGCGGCACATGTCAATAATTTATTCATTCACTCCAAGCTGGCTTGAGTTTCAAGTTTTACAGTCATCCAGCCCACGGAAGTCTCCCGAGTCCCCTCGATGCACAACAAAACCATGACTGGTCCAGCCAAGGAACGGAGGCGAAAATGTTCTACTACACAAGAATACGCAGAAACGAGAGGACATTGATTCTACTCCAGTCTGTACATTCAATGAGTCGGTGCAACTCGGTCGAGAAAGCGATAGATATCAAAACTGACGGTGGCCGAACAAGGGAGAGCTTCTGTAATTGTATGGGCGAGCGGAAGTTTCTTTGAGCTTGTGATGACGATGATGACATACTCCTCACCCTATCAGCAAGCAGCACTGCTCGAGCTTCCTCTCGGCCGACTATACCCGATGTTCGGAGGACAACCATATATGTTCGAGCAGACGCGCTTATTCTCCGTGTTTTCCTCAATTGTGCTGGGGAGGACCTCGCCGGAGCTGCTCCAGCATGAACATCGGCTGGACTCCAGGCTCGCACACCCGCCGATGGGGGAAAGTTCTGAGTCACCCAAAGAACCACCATTGGAGGTGGTTCTTCGATCACGCCCACCCCGCATTTCCTGACCAAATGCGTCTCATGTCTCGATGGAGGAATCTTTTCCCCCGTGACACCCTTCCAAGATGCTAATGGCAGAGACAAATGAGCCCTGTGTATATTAACACCGTCAGCCACCCGCCCCGCCGGCCGGCCAGAACGGACCAGAGGACAGACCAGAGCAGAGCAACACAGACACCGGCGAGACTTGCGACTGGCGGCTGGCGAGAGATTTTGCGCTGGCTGTTTCGGCCGCCGAGTGCCGAGGCTCAACGCAGCTGGCGGCGGCTCTCCGAGATCGCCCGACTCGCAGCTTTCCCGACGGGAATGTCACGTGTGAGTATTATGTCACATGATCTAGTGCTACGGACGTTTTCCGGGCGCAGGAAGCGATGCACTTCATTCCCCTTGCATCTAGCATCGTGAGCTCTGGGCTCTAGATCCAGGAGCTACCAGGGGAAGAGAGCAGGGATGTCGTCTACTTATATAACTTATGATTCCGCCAAAGCTCCAGCTGGAGGGTTTGTATTGTCTATTTCAGGAATTTTCTTAGTCGTCGCTTCGAAGTGCGTGTTTCTGAAAATGGGTGAGAGGGTTTTGAGAAAGCCAAACCCTGAGACAAAAAAGAACTGGAAGAATAGAAAGGGGGCCACAGGTCTTATACACGTTTCGCCCAGAACCTGCTTCCTAAACAGTTACGCTTGATCATGGAGCTTGACGGGATTCACGAAAGGGATATTGAAGGGCCCCCTTATGGCCCGAAACCTTAAAAAGGGTTGCAAGATTTGGGTGGAAACCACAGGTATGCCCTACGAAGTACTCCGTACTCCGTACGGAGTACAGGCTATCCGTTTACAACATGTGTATCGTGACGTCAGTTCACAAACCAATCCAAGTCAAATGCATGATAATTGCTAGATTGGTTCTTTTTCTAAGTTTTGATTTCAGCTTCGATTCCATTTTCATATATCCTGGCCAAATATATGTATACACCCAAGGACTGTCTCCATCAAGGAATGAATTTATAACCGATGCTCATGAAATGCAATAAAAGGCAGCATGAGCCTACTCAACGAAATACCGCTTCACCCCACTTGCGCATGGCTCCATATAGCCTGTGTTGAACTGCCGTCCCGGTGTAATTGAAATGGCAGCATATGATCGAACCCCGGAGCGCTTTCTTCGAAACAGCTGGCTTTTTTACCTCGACCTTAATCGTCTAAACATATTGCCAAGCAGCCGGGTTATTGCCGGGATATGTGATGGCCAGCGCGACAAACGGCAGGCAGTCTTTAATATCCCCTGTTGGGACAGATGCATTTTGAATATTCGCGTAGACTTGATGAAAGCCTACCTCCGGGTCCGGACACCCCATGAAACCATCGGCACCCCACCCGGTGAAAGAATATATACCGTGCTCTCCTCTGGGTTCGTACGTGAACCCGCCGATATAGGAGCCAGGCGGGATATATGTCGAATGTGCTTGCGTGAAACCAACGGCACCACTTGGCTCAACATACATCTGCTGGCCGCCTGGGACAAGCACATACTACCTCCCAAGAAGAGCACGTGTGCGGTCAGTAGGAAGCCCTTATCATGCGTATATGCTTTCGTCTCTTTCTGCAATTGGCTCTGGGGGTTCATACCATGGAGCTCAAGCCCGCGATCACGGTCTCGTTACCGGGAGGGCAGTTGTCACCGACCTGTATCGGACAGTAGCTTTGGGTAGTGCCTCCTAGCCAGAACGCACGGCCTGCAGCATTCATTGGTAGAGAGTGGATCGGAGAGCCGGAGCGGGAGGCCATCACTTTGATCTTTGGTAGATATGGCGGCTCTGATTGTCGGGCTTCGAGACCTGGCGCTGCTGCGGCCAGAAGAGGAAGGATGACAGCAAGGATTGTGAGTTTCATTTTGACTGACAGGCCAGGAAGGACAAAATCTTGCCGGACTTGGTGCTTTGAGATGGTAAACCTTTCTGAGTCCCCTTTCACGAAATTAGTCGGCAGGTTTGGTTTTCTGTATTAGCTTCGGAGCAAAGAGGGACGAATTGTAATATAAGGCTGATTCCATCTGCTCCTCTCTGTGATTTCTCGTCATGACATCGACAGTCGAATTCTTCACTACGGAGTACCCGATCCGAGCTTTCAAAATCACCAATCGTGGCCATCCCGTACTTTGAGACACGCATGCCGATCACTGTCACCTGTCAGGTGCTTGTGCAAATAAGTAAGCATTGGAAGTTTGTTTCTCAGAATAGCTTACTGCACCGTTAGCTCTTCGATCGCGCCAGTGAAAGCCGATAATAATTTCCATTGACTCCGCGTGGATGTCCATCGTCAGGTTCTTCGCCACGGAAATGGGGAAACAATTGACGGATACGGGGTACATGCTGTGGAGGAGCTGCAAAGTCAGCAATACAAGTCGGCGCTCCCCAGGGTTCGTTCCATTCGGCATTTGCGACCGCAGAAATGACGAAAATTTACACCGCTATTCAAGATTATTCTCGATGCGAAACGTGTCGAAGCCACAGCGGGTAGATTCAGGAACAACCTTTCAAGAGTCGTTTGTAGATAGGGTAGCAAGTCCGGGCCGAAAATGCAACCGTCTCATCTCTGTGTCCTAAATCCCTATTTCGGGCTGCCTGGCCGATCACCAGCTGAATTGTTTCACAAAGAAGCTCTGAAAATTTTTTTTGACACGGCTAAGACGGATGCTACGTTTTATCTTCTAGAGAATGAACAGTGTAAGACTTGACACAGAAATCTGGCTTTTGTTTGAAAACGAACCGCCGCTTGTCTGTGTGATTTTGCTGTTGTGGTCAAGGACCTGGCCGGTGAAGGATGAGAGGACTTCCCGAGTGCCGAAAGCTTTTGTTAACGGTCGGTGGAACGAAAAGGTCCCGCATTTCACCCAGTTTGAGAAGACATATTACACTGGCGAATTCGTCTCATAGAGGCCTCTCGTTCCTCTGACGGCGTGGTGCACCCTTCGTTCCCACCTCTTCTACATAGGTTTATCCAGAAAAAAGTGAATTACAGGTCAAGCAGCCGATATAGGATGAAAGAGGAATCTCCCCCGGACTCCGTGGATTCTGGGAGAATTAGAATCTGACATGGTATCTTGATAGTCTCAAAGGGTTCTCGGCAGTTGTGGATCGTGAAATTCCTGGATAGCTTATTTGGTTCGCTTGGTCTGCTGCTACCGCCATTAGCTTGATTGTCTGTTTGGAAGTACCCTCCGTGGAGGTAAGTGCCATTTGTCGCTGGAGCTCGGGATCATGGGATCCTAGCCAATGTGATCTGTAGCGAAGTGGTTCTTCGTGATAATTCAACGATGGTCCAATTCATAGCAAATGGATGCTCCGGCGAGTTCAGATCAGAGTGTTGGTTTATCATTGGTAAATTTGCCGTATCATCTGGATCTGGTTCCGCTGTTTAATGGTCGACATGAGCAGTAACGTGGGGAATCATAACCTCCTGTGGAGAGCGCTTGAGCGAGAAAAATCGCCGATGGCCCTCTGAAGATTACGTGGGCTAGTTAACCTGAAGCCGAGAACACCCTAGAAAAGCGTTGAAAAGCTGCAGCGACCAAAGAAAGCTCGATTCCGACAGTTTCATATCTTGTCATCGGATCTTTTTGCTTTCTTTTTTTTCTTAAAGCATATTTGTCTTTCGCCCTTTCTGCTGGCTTAATACATCGGGTAGAGGGCTTTGCGAACCACGATTCGAGACGAGCTCTGACGGATTACTTATTAGCTAATAGTTATTGAGAAACTTGAAAGGGCAGTTAACTACCTATTTTGCGATTTGCTGAATATCGAGCATCACACCTGAGTTCCGGGTCGGAAGTGGAGAAAGACGGTAGTATTCATGAAGACATTGTCTCAGCCTTATCCACGCGAGTAGCAGTGCGATGCTTTTACATACTATACATCCCCATGTGATGCGCCAGACCAATCCGCAGTCCGTGAGACTCGGTTTGGGCTCCAGCATCGGGTGCCAAGCCTCGAAGTTGAGTAGCGCCGATCTCGACGACTGCAACAGCAGGGCAGGTTAAATTGTTCCACTTTTTCTGATGGTTGCCGCATCCTTGTATTTGTTGATGATGGTGATGGAGCACTAGGTGCAACTACCTAAAGGTGCAATGTAATAGTGAAGAGAGTACGCTGAAATCCTATTATAACTAGGTATACGGAGCAGTGAATGCCCAGTCCGCAAAGATAAGTAACTCAACTTCCATCAAGAGTGTCCCGGATTGTCGCCCGTTTTCTTTAAAATTCCAATGATACCTTCAGTGCTTGGTGCTGAGCAGCCGCCTTGAAAGTATCATACGCTTTCACGCAGTCTGCAAACTTATAGCCTGAACAGATGGGTTAGAGCTGCTTTCTTGCAATTGCATGGCGGAACGGGAGTGCATGACTTACGATGTGTAATGAAGTCGGAGACATTAAGCGTTTTGGCTTCGAATAGAGTCAAAAGCTCTGGAATAGTCGTGGCATCGACTAGCCTTGTCGTTATACCTGTTCACAGCAAGGAACGACGTTAAAGACTAAGGTTCAAACTACCCACAAGGCGCGACCATCGATATCTGAATGGGCACAACTTACTGATATTCTGAGACCAGAGCTTCTCCAAGTGCAGGTCAACCTTTGTCCCGTGCACGCCGATGTTGGCGATGACGCCTCCCGGCCCGACAATTTCCTGGCATAGTTGAAACGTCGCTGGAATGCCAACAGCCTCCATAACGGCATCAAAGCCCTGACCATTCGGTGTTAGATCGAGAAGCCGCTTGATGCCGTCTTGACCCTTTGGATTGACCCCATGCGTTGCGCCCAACTTCTGCCCCACCTGAAGTCGGGAGTCATCCAGGTCCACCAGCACCAGCTTTGCCGGTGAATACAACTGTGCGGTCTTCATTGCTGCCAGTCCAACAGGTCCAGCACCAACTATTGCCACTGAACTTCCTGGCCGGACCTTACTATTCAACGTTCCGCACTCAAATCCTGTTGGCAACGCATCGGACAGCATCACAGCTTCTGCCAAATCAACAGTGGGGGGCAACTTATACAGTGAGGACATCGCGCACGGAATCCGTACGTACTCCGCCTGCGTGCCATCGATCGTGTTTCCAAGGATCCATCCACCGTGGCTGCAATGTGAGCTCATTCCCTTCCGGCAGAATGAGCACGACCCGCATGCAGTAATGCATGCTATGAGCACCGTATCTCCCTTGCTTAGCCCTGTCACATTGGAACCGACCTCCTCGATGATTCCAACCCCCTCATGGCCGAGGATTCGTCCGGGGGTCGCTGTTGGCACATCGCCCTTGATAATATGCAGATCCGTACCGCATATTGTTCCGTACTTGAGCTTGACGATGGCGTCGGTGGGAGAGGAGAGAGTAGGCTTGGGTCGTTCTTCAAGGGCGACTTTTCCATTGCCCGCGTATACGAGAGCTTTCATCTTGTCGGTTGGGCCCGTGGACTGTGTTGCTAGGCCACGGTAAGGAACGGCGGATGGCAGTGTCAATGGAGGAAACCGTTTCGGAGCCTGTGGGATAGGTATCGCTTTTGTGTTCTGAAGAACAAAGCCGAGAGGGATTTTGAATATTCTTCTGCTGGCAATGCTAGCAGACAAAAGTGATCTTGGAGCTGCAAATGGCATGGCGACCGGTAACCAAAATCAAAATTGACTACAACGAATACATCACCTCCACAGCCACCATCAGTCCACCAGGACTGCGAACCCACTTAGTTATACTTCGCATGTATGTACAACTATGTAGCTTCAGAGCCCCACCGTGTCCTACATTGTATGGCGTTAGGCCTGTAAGTTGTTTCAACCGGTAAAGTCAATCCAAGCTATATCCAAGGGTTTCCGTGGTCAACTGTTTGGTGACCGCACGCCACTGGCGACAGCCGCGATGCGGGGAAGGTTGTAAGTCGGCTGGGACGAACTGAGCTTAACAGTGTTTTTCCGTGGATGAAGCGTTTACAACACTTGAGCCTTGGAGGGTTAGCTGGGTCTACACTGCATGCGGCGCGAGGTTCAATCCGCATGTCCATTAATGGTATAACAGTGTTACATGTGCTTAATTGTGGAACTCAATTTATTCCCAACTTAAACATAGCCTTTTAGCTCTATAAAACATACAGAGAGAGATGATCTACATACATCTCAAAAAGAACAAATCCAAAGAATGGAATAGCTTTTGCTGACAAAGCAATCCTCATGCGCATTGGAAAACCGGGCAAAGTTGGTAATTAGCTTGGTTCACTCAATGTCATAGTCATCTGGCACTTCATCACCGCACTTATGCTCGATAGGCAAGTGAAAGAGCATAGTTTACCTATCAAGCTTCAACCAATCCACACTCCACACACCCGATCGCATCAGCTGACTCAATGTTTCTTCACCACCACATCTTCAGCTTTATGGGCCATCTCCTTCGCAGAATCCGTGGCTTCGTGTCCCATGTCTTTGAGGGCAGCAGTGGTAGACCCATCCACAGACCGTCTGTGCAAAAAGATACGGGTAACCTGCGTGAATCCAAGGCAGCCGACGAAGAAGTTCACAGTAGCAAGCCTATAAAGTAGACTATATCAGTAAAACTGCACACAGGAATATCGCCAGTAGTAAACGCCCAGCAGAAAGAGACGGCGGCCAGTCAGATATGGTTTCGAGCTTACAGGATGTTCTTTGGTTTAATGATCAGGCACCATCTCGTCCAAATCGCGCCTGTGAACATCAACGCGGCATTTTGCGTCAGGGAGAGCTTGTCGGCTGGTCGAGCCATATCACCGAGTCCCGCAATGACGAGAATCCACTGGTAAAAAGGTTAGAATGTGATGTATCGACAACCTAGGAAAGGTCCCCGCAAAATGGACGCAGTGTCTGTTGTCTTCGAACCTTCATTACTGGAGCCCTATTTGTCAAACAGAAAAGCACCAAGATTAGTATCTGTTCCAAAGCACCTGAACCACGCTAAACGAACGGTTGGGGAAAAGCTCGAGTATTAAAAATAGTCCTTACCAGAAATGCACAGTCTTCACTCCAACCGGGCTGTTCCATGATCTTTGCAAGAAACTTTGCTTTGTCTCTGCGGCAGCCTCTGTGCTCTGAAATCGCCGGCTGCGAAGCATCTGTCTGCGGAAGGGGGCGGCGGCATTCTGGAACGCTGCCCTTGAGTTCTGGAGAAAGCGGAGTCCGAAGCGGGAAGACATAGTGACGGAGCGATGGGGGGTGGTGTTTGGAAGGGGAAGAAAAGGAGGAGAACGGAAGGAGATAGGGGAATTGGAAAAGGCAAAGCACAGTCCTCCACAATCAGGAATGGAACATTAATATACAGCAAAGAACGAGGAGTTGAATCAGCGATGACCGATGGTGACGGAGAGGGTCAAAACTAGCGCCTTTGGCCGGTCCGATCTTCGCAGCCAGAATCCCGCCCCCTGGGCCAATGACGAGTCTGCATCCCAACCATATCACGTGATAATATTATGTAATTATATCGATTACTCAGCCAGTTGTTCGATGAGCGCATTTCGTCCAGCGTCTGCAGCGACGACGACCAACTCCTCCTGCCGCTCAATTGAGCTTTATTTCCCGCTTCGACTTTCGGTGAACGAAGGCCTGCTCGCCAGAAAGGCACATCCTCCATACTCTCGGCACCATGTCCACTAAGTACGCCTTCAGCAAGGGCCTCAAGGAGCTCAGATTCCTCTTCTGCCACTCTTCCGCTCACGGCGATGCGACAAGGTTAGATCGACTCCAATCCTGATATATGTGGAGCTTCTCCAGTGGGAGCGGTTTTGTTGCGTGATCTACGCTGACTATCCCGGCGCAGAACATTTTTAAAACGGGCGTACCCGACGATGAAGAAGCATAATCCCTATACGCCGATTTTGATCCGGGAGGCGGCAGACATTGAGCCGAGAATATTTGCGAGATACGGTGCGTATACTTGGACTGACGGAAAGTGTAAGAGAATGCAGAAACCAATGGCTGACTCAAATTATGTTATAGAGTTTGGAAGGGAAAAGCAGCAATCACTGTTAGGTACGTGCTCATTGGGAAGACAGTGAAGTACCGGTGCATTGCACAGACTAATAGTATTTCTAGGCCTATCGGACAAGGAAATAGAACAATTAGTCACTACATTGGTGCAACCCAAGGAATAAGAGTTGTCCGTGTTGGATTTTATTGTTTACGACTTAGACCCGGCATTTTTCTCTGTACCTATATATCACGAAATAAACCTTCCTTTTCCAGAACGCCCAATGCAAATAGAAAAAAAAAAAAAAAAGATTCCAAACCCGGAATTGAATGATACCAAAGTCAAGGGGCATACGTGGTGTCCGACCTCAATTGGTTACAACCTCCCCGAATCGGAATTGCGCCCAGCTCATGCTACCTTCCGGCAGAGTGAACAATCTCTTTCCCACATCATCTCCCGCAGCCCCGGCTCCGATATGAATTGGCAACAGATGATCAAACGTCGGGTGCGCCTGTCTCGCGTCGGGTCTTTTAAGCAGATCCCGAAGAGCCCTCTGCCTATCCGCAGGTGCAGTTGCAACGGCTTCGTTGAGCGCCTCATCAAAACTTGCAGCATATGGTAGCGGCCGTGGATCTCCAAAGGTAAACCGCAGATCGCGCAGGTTATGCACGGCCATTCCAGAGACGATTATCTGAATATTCTCTTCGCGGAGTTTGGAGACCGCTTGACCGAGACGGAAATGTTGATCAGGATCCTCGGTATCGAACAAGGAGACTTGGACAACGGGCACGTTTAAGGGGTTGTCTTCCGGGTCAAATGCTGATGGTGCAGTTTAGTACATGTACCCACAGGCCGCGCGAGCTGAATCCATCTGAAATTGAGTACATACCACACTTGAAACTCGCCCAAACCCCGTGGTCCAACCCTCTCTTGACCCCCTCTACATTGATGCCCGCATCCCGAATGGATTTTATAACCTTTTCTGCAATTTCCCGACTCCCGACATGAGGATATTTCTCTTTATAATAATGCGATGGAAAGCCATAAAAACTTCGTTCCCAAGACATCGTCAGCACAGGTTCCACCTGAGGCCCAGCAAGCCTAAAACAAAACTCACTCATATATCAGCTCCGTAATCTCTGCCGTATTAACTTGAATCGTATCCCTTCCACCCTGCCAGTGCGCAGAAAACACAACCACAGCTCGGGGTCTGACTTTTGTCGTGATCTCCTTGCCGATTTGCTGCAACTTGCGGTAGGCCGGATGATCATGTTGGTACATTATACTAGGCTATAGAATGTCGTTTAGAAATGTGCCGTCCGGCAAATAAATGAACAAAGTATAGCTCAACCACCCACCCCGCCATGACTTAGGAAGTAAATAGGCGTTTTACGCACGCCGGTGGCGGCAACGGACAGCAGCTCTGCTTCTTGAGAAGCCATTGGCAACGATTCGGATTTTCCGGGCTTTACGGAGCTTTGCACGCTTCCAATTCCTGTGGTCGTGAAGCTTCTTCCAGGCGCGATTCCTTTCGCCTTCCCGAACAAACCAAGTCGATGCGGAATGGGCCCGGGTCGAAGATACCACGCTGCCAGGATTGCGGCCAACACGCTCAGACAAATGCTAACGAGGAATCTGACCCCGCCTGCGCTACCGGCGCTGGTGTTATTTGCTGCAGGTGAATTCACGGCTAGCTGCGTATTCTTTGCGGGTGAGGAGGGTACAGACATTGATTAGGTCATAAGCAAGAACGGCTACTTCGGAGTCGAGACTATGTCCATTCCTTTCCTTTCCATCGCCTGGAATTTAAGTCAGATGTAACATTATTTTGCTCCACGACGGCCATAATGGCGTGATTCTTCAGCCGTTCTCTTGCTGCTGAAGTACGTCGCGGAATTCGGAAACGGCAAGGAGCTGCTTACTAAAGGGAGTGAACGCGAAGGCCGAATTTCCGCCCTCTGCGCAATGCCAGGAAATTCCTCCGCCGAACTCTTTGAAGTTATGAGAGAACAACGCAGGCCATCAACTAGAGTATGTATGTAACTCCCATGATCTTGCCCGACGAGGAATCAACTCGCTAGAAACACAGTGCTGAAAAGATTTTCTAACCGATCCCAAGACCAACGCGAAGACAAACGCAGCGTACAACGTACGTATATATATATGCACGGGGCTGCTCAATCTCAACAAGTAGGCAAAAAGCGTGAAAACTGGCCTAGCATAAACTGCCAGCTAAAGGAAATGTCACCAAAAGATAATTGATATCAATAGAACTACATGCATAGTTACCCCAAAAACTCCGCCAGAATCCCTTTGTATACCTCCGAACTCGGGTCTGGAAAATAGGTGGCCCAGCCTTCAAGCGAAGTTACAAGGAGATTCTTCTCAATAATCTCACTTGCTCTCATCTTCAACTCTCCAACGTCCCAGTTGCACCACAGCATCCGGCCCCTGGCAAAATCCGCTTCGCTGCTCGCAACCCAGACTGCGAAGGCCGCCGGAAGGCTTGCTGTTCTTCTCTTTTAGAAAACCCCAATCGTCCATCTTGTTGATAAAATTTAGCTTACCATCATCGATTGGGAGTGCTTTGGAGACTTTGAAAAGCGTGTTGGCCATCTCTGTCGGAATGATACCTGGATGAATGCTGGTAAAACGTATATGGGAACATTCTCTTTGAAAATGCTCCATTATCTTCGTACTGGCCAATTTGGCGGCACAATATGCGGAATGGCCGGGCCTAGGAAGAGCGTGACAAGCACCGCTGGAGACGTGCACGAAGACAGCTCCGGTGGCAGCTGCAAAGGGGGCGAACTCGCGTACCAGAAGGAAATTGCCTTTGACGTTGACCTGTTTAGTAGTAGTTTAGCACCTATATGTACACATCCACCGAGAAGGGCTACACGGAAAATTCTATACGTCGAAAGCTTTGAACCATTCACTGGTTATTGAGTCCGTGACACTTAACAGCTCGGGTGAATACCCCGCATTCGATACGAAAACATCCCAAGTCCCATATAACCGTTTGATGTCGGCTGCTAGTTTGCACACAGAGGGTTCATCGGCGATATCAGCCACCAGCACGTCGACCTCAGTGCCAGGAAATTCCCTCTTGACCTTCTCCTGGGTTCGCTTGAGAGTCTCGATCCTGCGACCGAAAATCACAATTTGGAGGGCCCCCGCCGCGGCGAAAGCCTTGACAATATGAGGACCGATTCCCGATCCTCCTCCGGATATGACCACTTTCTTTCCTGTAGCTGCGATGGACGGATTCTGGCTCGGGTCGATGGTCGGATAGATTTTGTTATGCCATACCCTAGTGAAAGATGGAAAGGGAAGTTGGTTCGCCATGGCTAGTAGAACGGATAGTCAAGTGGATGTATTGCACCTCATCATTAGAATTGTAGAGGACATTGGTTGCAGCTATATATTCCCTGGCCTTCTCGTTATGCTCTTTGTCATGTCATTGACTTGACGTTAGATTCATATTATACGTCAAAACGTTATGCTGGCCAGAGCTGCGGAGATTTGGGCTTCTTTCCAGAGTATATTGACGAGGTCGTCAAGAGCTCTCCATTTGATCAGTCCATCACAGAGACATTTCAAGTGCAGGAGGCAGTGGACAAGACAATTATTTCCCGAAGAACGACCTGACGCATATATCACAGTCCACCAAATATTCAGAACCGCGGACATCAGCTAGCTTCGAAAATCAAAGTCGATTGTCAATCGTTACTCAGCCAATCAGCGCCGCTGTTGGAGCTCGAACAGAGGGGGCAAACGACACCCATAACGATGGCTGACGATGGCTTCGAAAGCTGGAAGCGGAAAACCTATCAAAACCAACTTCCTTAACTAGTAGAATAGAAAGGGCAGGCTCTCAGTATAAAACCGAAGACAAGTATCTTCAAAGTGCAATGGCTGAACCTTTTTTGGAGAACTGTTCTGCGAATACTAGCATCAGTGAGAGAAGATATTGGGCTGACTCTTGGACATGGCTTAAGTCCTCGAGGATTCTGCAAGGGCGTTATTATTGACCATCTGGGTGAGCGAGCTTGTCCTCTGCTCCAGAAATGCCAAGCCGGCCGTTGATTCCTCGGCTGGAATCCCCGAAGCATGGGCCTGCGGTGAGTTAACCGCTGCCAGCCGCCCCTTTGACCCGAGACCGTTTCTCCCGTCCTCCCCAGACAACTTTCGCACTTTTATCTCTCACTTCCCCAGCTGTCTCCCCAGTAAAAAAAAAAAAAAGAAAAGAGCCATTGTCCGTTTGAGACTCTCTCACAAGCCCCCAACTACCCTCTTAATTGCGGTGTGCCCTTTCGGTGATTAAACTCGAAGTCAAGTTCCATCCACATAGCCCCGTCTTAAACAATGGCTTTGGCTGCGAGAGCTTCCAGACAGGCCCTTCGGGCCGCGAAGGTACGGTAGAATCGCATTCGATGGGAGTGAGAAGTACCATTGCTTATCCAATTTATCATTGTTTAGGCCTCATCCTCCCGCACAGTGGCAGGCTCCTCCAGATCTTACGCTTCTGCGGCCGAATCCGAACTTAAGAGCGTCTTCCGGAGCGTCCTTCCGGCTAAGAGAGCTCTGCTCAAGGAGTTGAAGGAGCACAATGATGCAAAGATTGGCGATGTCACGGTTGCCAATGCCATTGGAGGAATGAGAGGCTTGAAGGCCATGATCTGGGAAGGCTCCGTCCTTGACCCCGAGGAGGGTATTCGATTCCACGGCCACACCATCAAGGACTGCCAGCAGATGCTTCCCAAGGGTACCTCCGGCACCGAGATGCTTCCCGAAGCCATGTTCTGGCTTCTACTCACCGGCCAGGTCCCAACTACTCCCCAGATCCGGGCTTTCTCTCGTGAGCTTGCTGAAAAATCTCACCTCCCCAAGCACATCCTGGATATGATCAAGTCCTTCCCCAAGGATATGCACCCAATGACCCAGCTTTCCGTTGCTGTTGCCGCGCTCAACACCGAGTCCACCTTCGCCAAGAAGTATGCTGAGGGCTTGAACAAGGCCGACTACTGGGAGCCCACCTTCGACGACAGCATCTCCCTCCTAGCCAAGATTCCCCGTGTGGCCGCTTTGGTATTCCGACCCAACGAGGTCGACACTGTCGGCACCCAGCAGCTTGACAGCACCCAGGATTGGGCCTACAACTTTGCTGTCCTCCTCGGGAAGGGTGGCAAGGAGCACGAGAGCTTCCACGACGTTCTCCGTCTCTACCTCGCTCTCCACGGTGACCACGAGGGCGGCAACGTCTCTGCCCACGCTACCCACCTTGTCGGAAGTGCTCTCAGTGATCCGTTCCTCAGTTACTCCGCAGGCCTTCTCGGTCTCGCCGGTCCTCTCCACGGCTTGGCTGCTCAGGAAGTTCTCCGATGGATCTTGAACATGCGCGCCAAGATTGGCGACAACTTCACCGAGAAGGACGTCAAGGACTACCTCTGGAGCACTTTGAAATCCGGCCAAGTCGTTCCTGGCTATGGCCACGGTGTTCTCAGAAAGCCCGATCCTCGCTTCGAGGCCCTGATGGACTTTGCTAGCACCAGACCAGAGATCATGAACAACCCGGTCTTCAAACTCGTCAAGAAGAACTCCGAGATCGCCCCTGGTGTCCTCACAGAGCACGGCAAGGTATGATTAGCCTTATTTAGTTTTTTGGCTCCTACGTCGTAAGATCTGACATGCTGACCATGTTCAAAAACACAGACTAAGAACCCCCACCCCAACGTTGACGCTGCCTCCGGCGTTCTCTTCCACCACTACGGCTTCCAGGAACCTCTCTACTACACCGTCACATTTGGTGTCAGCCGCGCCCTCGGCCCACTTGCCCAGTTGATCTGGAGCCGTGCCCTTGGCCTCCCTATCGAGCGCCCTAAGAGTATCAACATGCAGGGATTGCTCAACTCTGTTAAGAAGAACTAAAATTTTTTTCAAAAATAGAAGAGTATCTTTCTTATATGTATGTACTATAAATGGGGATGATAGGTGAAAAAAAAAAAAAAAAGGGCAAATGTTGGGTTCTAGCTTGACGCGCCAGTGCAGTTCGTTTTTTTGCTCTTATATTTCCGGGGCTCCTAAGCGACTCCTTTATTACATTTTATGGCTACATACATTGAGAGTGGCGGAGGAAAAAGGGTGTTCATTATTTGTAACTTCCTACTGTTTTGGTTATGTGATGATGATAGCTGATAAATATTACTGTTACCTCTTTTTTCAACTTGTTCAATTGCGCTGATGTTGATATGCATCTTGCTGATCTTATTACGAGAGTCATGATTGAAACCACCATTGACATTTTCCAGTTTTTAACGTGCAGGAAAGTGAAGTTGGATCAGGAAGAGAGTTGATAATGATGTAAAGCCCTGCACACCGCTTTTACAAAAGGCTTTGAACGAATGAAAGGCGCGCTCACAACCCCCTTTAAAGGGTGTTACTTGTAATGAATACCGGGGGTCGCTAGACATCATGAGGAGGGCTTAAAATGCCATTAGAAATCTAGCTATCTTTAAGGACCTTGAACGTCGATGCCACTGGACTCTCATGGACAAGATTTCAATCTTTTGACTCAGTTTGATTCTCGTCAACTCAAAAGGCACCAAGACATCACATTGGATGGCACAGTAAAGCCATGACTACTCGTGGGCCATTGCTGCACACACGCTGGCTTAGATTCGTGAGCAGAAATTTTCACCGCCTGTTCTCACTGAGGTGTGCCGGCGAAACAAACCCATCGCAAGTTGCGGCTGAAGAAGGCATGGGAAACCAGGACGATCTGTTCGAGTACACTTCAGGGAGATGGATGTATGTTCAGGTGTACTACTACCAGAGACTCCTGTTCGAAATTGCACATATTGATCTAGACCATGCAGATACAATGAACCTCGTCGCCTTGCCGAACGCCACCTAGTGTTCAATGTTGATGAATTGAAGAAAGCTGCCGCAACTGCTGTCGGTAGGCCAGTTTCAGAGATAAGAAGCATCCGAAAACTGGCTGAAGGGGGTTTCAACCGTGTCTTTGACATCTCAATGAAAGATGGCTCATCTCTACTTGCCCGACTTCCATATCCGTCGACGATGCCCCGATGCCTTGCAGTAGCTAGTGAGGTCGCAACATTAGCCTTTGTTCGTGCTTGTGGCATTCCTGCCCCTCGTGTCCTAGGGTATTCGGCGCATGATAACCCTGTCGGCGTCGAGTACGTCTACTTCATTCCACCACAACTCCCCAAAGATCTTGGTTCCATGGATGCAGATGAGCATACTATAGCATGCGAGCAGTTCCGCCGCCGTCATGTGCACTTCTTTTATCTGGGGTTCACGCAGAAACTGAATGAGCCTCATTCAGAGGCCCTTGCACAGGAATTTGGTCTCCTAAGACGCCGGATATTTGACAATGCAGGCAGTCCGTGGGAAGGCCTCAACACCCCATTGCAAGTGGATATCGCGCAGGTGTTGCAGAATTGGTCAAAGATTGCTGCTATCTGTTCAGATGGAAGCCTTCCTGCACGTCCTGTTGTAATTAGCGAGCAGGATGCGCAGAAGAGGGCAGCACTGGATGATTCACTGCGGGATGTGGACACTGAACTGGAACAGATCAATGGGTTCCTTGGTGTTGGGTCTGATGGATGGACATCAAATGAATTGTTTGAACAAGCAAAAGAGAGAGCACGGTCAATCAAGGCGGAGGGGCTTGCCGCAGTCGATGATGACCCATAGCTGAGGCGGATGACTGAGCAGCATTGGCCCTTTGATGACTACAACGAAGACGAGTAAATGGTTCAGTTGATATAAATCAGAGGTAGGATATTTCTATCGCTGAAAAGGTGTCTGTTATAAATCTTCCTTCCATTGTGTGCTATTTGTTTATCTTCGCTTGCGAAACCCAGGACAAGACAGATATTTGTATTATTTGATTTCGAGGCCCAACCACTGCTGTTTTAAAGCTCACTTGAGGGGCATTGCCTGACTACTATCCCCTCGTCCGGCCGCCAGGCAAAATTAGCGCCTTGGCACCAGATTACAGTAAAGCCTCTATATAACAAATCAATTTTGGAAGCCTTTTCAGTTCGTTATATAGAGGGATCCGTTATATAGAGCTAGCATACAAAATATGCTCTAATATCCTGCTGCTGCTGATTTTCAAGCTTCTGAGCCCCTAATCTTCTCTCATAACAATTTAACTGTTGAATAGCTCTGTATCTTCCTTATCCTGCCACTCTTCATACAAGTGAAGCTTTTTCACCATGTCATCAAGGCCTTGTTGGAGAGAAAAGAATTAAGAGTCTTGTGGGAGTGTAATTTCTTCTTCTGCTCAATCAAAATTGTGGTTTGGTGGGGCATTTTGGTCTTTTTTGGTCTTTTTATAATGATATATTAAGAAATCTTGAGAGATATTCAATGAATCTTGTAGTATACAGGTTAACGAATATTTTGTATGGAGATTTAATTTTGGAAGAGATTTTTGTCTGTTATGTAGAGGATTTGTTATGTAAAGTGATTGTTATATAGAGGCTTTACTGTACAAACTACAGCACTAATGGCGTTTTTCTGACCAATAGGTTCACACACTAAAATATATGGGAATCTATTGGTTAAGCAAAACACATTCATAGCTGGTTTTTGTGTTGATTTTCAAAAACGTGTTTTCATTGATATATCAAATCAGTACTCCGTACGGAGTACGGAGTATAGAGAATTCTATGAGACCCATCACACCAGCTAGAGGACCGGACTGCCAATTCTCTGGTGGCTGCTTGACCATGCAATAATCAATGCTTATATGCTTTACCAGCTATCTTGTCCCTGCTCTACTACTAGGCTGATTGGGCATATGGCATTCTGGGAACAACTCTATAAGGCTCTCTTCAAATCTGCTGACCCCCTACTACCACAACAATCAAATATGGATCTTATTCATTCACAAACTACATTACAAATGAAGAAAGGGCAGGTCCCTAGATCACTGTGTGGTTGCTCAGCTTATAGTAGCTCTCTGCCTCAAGGGGCGTTGCTGGGAAGAGTGCCATTCTATGGAATTGTACGGAGTACTCCATATGGAGTATATATATCCATACTGGGCCGTAAGAGGTGCGCTAATAGAGCGGCCTGGCGGAAGGCGTGACGCTTAGACGATCGCCTCTACATTGTTGGGCTGCCCACTGAACGTCATCGTCTCCACCCCCGCGCTGGGCGGAACATCCCCGGGCTTGGTTCCCCACTCGCTCTCCACCTCTCCGAGCGTCAGCTCCAACGTCATGCCCTCAAGGAAGAACTCATGTCCAATCCAATTCCTGCTGTACGGCTCCCCATTCAACGTCGCGTTCTGGATATAAATATTTTTATAAGCCGGGTCGAAGTTGATGTTTCTTACTGTTGAGGTTTTGTTTGTGAGAGGGTGGGTGATGCTTATTGACTCGAAAGACGGGGGCATGATGAAGTAGATGTTCTGACCTGGGTTAGGGAATAAACCCATCATCGTGAAGACGGTGAAGCCGCCCATCGCGCCGGAGTCATCATTCCCCGGAAGGCCGCTTCTCGAGCTATTGAAACGGGACGGAATATATGAATGTACTCTTTTGGCCGACAGGCCAGGCCGCCTGGCGTAGTGGTAGAGGAATGTGTTTAGGAAGGATGGCTCGTTACCGATATCGAGGATGCCCGCATTGTGAAGGAAATCAAGGCGTTTTATGAAATTATCAACACCTCCAAAAAGTCGGATGAGCGCAGGGATATTGTGTGGAACGAAACTGGAAAATCGTCAACTAGAGAGTATAGACGTAAACGATGGAAACTTACAACTGGTAATCCCAGATACTGGCTTCAAATGTTTCCTGTCGATTTGACGTTAACGAGCAGAATTCATCAAGGGAGCTGCAGAGAATAGGATCTTGATAGCCCCATGTCCCGTTCAAATATTTTGGCTGCAGGAACCCAACGAAGCCTGTGTCTTCGCCATTTATAAACGAAGACTGGTCATGTTTAAACAAATTTCGCCAATTATCGGAACTTTTCATATATTTCTCGTAATCTTGCTCGCTTTTCCCAAGACTTTTGGATAGAGTGGCAATACAATAATCATTGTAAGAGTATTCCAGAGTCCGGGAGATGCTTCTTGAGTTGGTTCCGAACCCAAGGTAGTCGAAATCCAACGCTGGGATATAATTTAAAGACTTCCAGCTTACCATCCCTCCTCGACCTTGGTTAGACCAGTCAGCAGGCTCCTTTTCAGCATCCTTGACAACCGCTTCATAAGCCAAATCCCAATCAATGCCTTCGCTCACATTTTTTAAGTAAGCATCAGTTATCACAACATCAGCACTTGATCCGCCTTGAGTGAATCCTTTGGACAAGCTCATACGGCAATCAGGCAGCCAGCCTTCATATTTGTACGTGTCGAGCAAACTGCGTATCATCCTCGCCAGTGCACCGGGGTCAAAAATAGCGAGTAGTGGGAGCTGGGATCGGAATGAATCCCACATGCTAAAGCGATAAGTTAAAATGAGCCAAGATTATACGTTTAGGTAAAAATACATACCAATAGAATGAGTCAAAGTAAGGTTCCTCGCTCTCCCACAAAGGGTTTTCACCGGAGTAATCTTGAGGAGATATCATCGTCCTATAGATTGCGCTCCAGAAGGTACGCTGTAAATCCTCACCAGCTCCACCAGGATTCACTCTGATGCCATTAAGCTTAGACCTCCAGGTATTTTCTGCACGCGTTTCAAGGCCGTGGAAATCCCATTGAGACCCGGGTATCTCGTTCATTGCATTTTGACAAGCTTGATCGGCGCTTATAAAGCTAACTCCCACTCGAGCGGATACCTTGGTGCTGTTAGAGGCTCTAAACCTCACAAACGTACCGGCTTGGATATAATATAGATTAATACCGCGGGTGACAAATAATGACTTGGGATATGTCCCGGCCCGGTTATCAATAAAGATGCCCGTATCAAGAATATCAGCACCGGCGAAGTCAACACAGACGTGGGACACAAATGATCCGCTTCCAAAGCTAGGTAAAAAGGTCCCATTTGCTTTGATCCTTCCACTGTCATCAATGCTAACGGAGGCATTTTGCCTGCTATCATTCAAATCAGTCAGATCCAGAAGTACGACAGGACTTTCATCTTGTTTCAATTCCGGAAACGTAAAACTATACAAAGCAGCATGCTCGGTAACCGTCATTTCCGCCTCAATGCCATTGACGAGATTCAGCGCAAAGTATCCAGGGCTGGTTTTTACAGAGTCCTGCGCGTAGTGAATAGCCCTTATCTCCTTGGGGAACTTGCAATTATTAATATCATCGCCGGAGCACTGCTGCGGGAAGAGAGGAAAGTTTCCAAGAGATGGATTCCCGCCCGTGCCGGAATCATGCATGTGCGAGAATCCAGTTACTTTGCTGCCATCAGTTGAAAACCCAGCTGTCTTTTGGCCGTCCACGTCAGCGACAGCTTTTGCCATTCCATATGGAAGAGTCGCCCCGGCGAAAACATTTCCACCATTGACTGTGCCTATGAGCTGGTCGACGAAACTTAGGGGATCCAAATCCGGGGGCACTGCGATCGTTGGATGAATGAAGAGAGAATTTAATAGAATAAGTGCTTGAATGTGTTTCCTGGAGAGCATCATGGGAATGCCTGAGAGAAACTAACAACGTAAATTTCTGGTTATCACTAATCGCGAGACGCCTATTGCCTATGCCCGGCACTGCTAAGGAGATGTCAGTATATCAACGGGATACCGAAGGATGATAGGCTTGAATCAATAGCTAGGCCAGTGAAATTAAGGAGCGATTGTTGTCAATTTTGATGCTGGGTATCTGCCACCCCCGGCTCGGCCCGCCGCCGATCGTGGGGGTGTGTTTGGACGCCCGGGACTAACCAGAAAAAGAATAGTTTCCAGCAAATGATTACAAATACGTGGAATGAGTTATTGCGGACTTGACGGTGCAGGAGGTTGACTTACCTACAAAGCAAATCATAGTGACCTTCAACATTGAGCCCCAATTTTCCTGTGTTTTCAAACACAATTGTTTGTCTTTCTACCAATGGAACCCAAGATTTGGTCTTTTCAAGACCTTGCAAGTCTGCCTCGAGTTGCCAGAGGAATTTCCGGCGTCATTTCCGAATATAAATCCCATGAGGTTGTCAAATGGCCGTATCCATGCGCCGATGACGAACGTAACCACGAAATCGAAAGGCGCATATATACACGACTAGGCCGGCATGCCCGAATTGTCCACGTTATTGCGATTTTGCCGGAAAGAGGCATTGTAATGGAACGATTGAAAGAGCCTCTCTGTCTGCGCCTGAAAACTCTTCAAGAAAATGGAGACACTGTTTCATCAGAGCAGATTCAGAGATGGTCTTTACAGATTGCAGAAGCTTTACATTACATCCACAGTAAAAGAGTCCTCCAGGCTGATATTGGGTCTCAAAATTTACTTTTGGATGAGAAGGACAATCTGAAGTTCGCAGATTTTGCAGGTTCCTCAATTGATGGAGAGCAGGCATTTGTCTGTTCAAGCTCACGCGCTTCACTTCGTCCTTACTGGGAGCATCATCCTTCCATTAAGGATGAGATATTTGCCATGGGATCCATACTCTATGAGATATCTACAGGTCGGAAGCCATATCATGACAAAACAGATAGCGCTGTTGAGAAGCTTTATCTGGCAGCGCAATTTCCCGATACCGACCACCTTCAACTGGGCCCAGTGATTTGGAAGTGCTGGAAAATTCAGTATGAAGACACAGCTGAAACTCTTAGTGACCTCCAACAGCTGTTTCAAAGAAAAAAGTGCTCTTACATTTGGTTTGTCGAAGAGAATCTAATGGTAAAGAGTCTTTAAAGCTATTGAATTCAAACCAGATACAGATAAATTGAATCTAAGGTTGGATAACTGTCAAATGATAGTTACAGATTTATCATTCTCATAAGCACTACACTGCAATTGACTATGAAGCTCCACCATATTAATATACAACACTATTAGCTTCAACAGCAAGAGACTGTAGGTAAATTAACTATATGATGGCTTCCAACTAATGATATGCTTGGGGATGAATTTATTAAAGCTCTAGAGAGTGAAGTATTCAAAACCTTCATGCAGAATGTGCATTTAATTAATACAGCAGATTAACTCTGTAGATCTGCAACAACTGTATAAAAGTTGACAAGATTCTGATTCCCAAATTTGATTGAATTTGCTTTTAAATCTTTATAATTTAATTGAATTTGTTTTCTTTTTACAAATCTTCAACACAGATTATGCCTCATGCTGAAGAAGATATATTGGATTATAAAGTTCAATCTTGATAATCTCAGTATCAACTAGTTATCAGATTGATATATATATCTCTTACTTGAGCTATTAGTTAGCAACTCAGCTATATCTGAGTTTGTAGTTAACTATGCTTTTCCCACACAAAATTGTTAGTCATGTGACCAGAGGGTTGCTTTTTATTTGGGCAGATATATCATTCTTAGATAGATGAGTCAGACCAGTATAAATATATTTTTCGTCTCCATACTAGATCAGATTCACATCTAGTTTGACAGGAACTAATACGGAGTACTTTACCGGGTCAATCAAAGCGCTTCCCAATCCTGACCCACCCCGGTCCCAACGCTCCGTACCTTACAAGTAATTCCAGGAAAAGCACTCTGGTTCAGGAAAGACTTCTATTTATGAACCACTGCAACATGAGAAACAACATATGTATTGCGAAGCGCTCCCGTTCTCTCCTATGATATCAGAGCAATTAGACATCTGCGGATTACTGAATATTACTGAGCACTCCTCATTTACCTCTGAATTTACTACCTAGAAGAGTGCTTCAGTTCTTGTGCTGGTGGGAGGGAACATGCGCACAAATCGTTTCGGGCGAACATCTACTTGTGTGTTTGAGATGGAGGACAGAGAGGGTGACAAATTCCAATGTTGTTATGCCAATTCATTCACATCATTTGAAATTGCCTATACCAAGACGCATTTACTATCGAGCTAGCTGGTCAATCCCCGACTTCACACCCTGAATTATGCTTCTGCAAGTCCGAGCATGTCAAGCGTAAGTTCCCACAGCCGTTCCTCCTTGCCCTCATCAAAGGCGTACTCCTTGAATCCCCGAAAGCCTTGCACTAGGGCCTCCGGACTGGAGGCCTCGCAATCCTCCAAGTACTTTCCACCCCGGCCTTCCCACTCCTTTGCCACTGCCGCCACCACCGTTGTTGCTGCGCCCTGCTCGTGACTCTTTAAAACCATCATGATCTCAGGGTTTGATGTCCAACCATCCTTGATCTCTTGCGGCACATGCTTTTGCAAGTTCGTAAAAATCCCCCCAGGCATCAAGCTCAGCGCGTGAAGGCCAGCAGGCCCATAATGCCGGTCGACATAGTTGGCCATATAAATCTGCGCAAGCTTGCTCTGGCCATAGGCTTTGCTAGGCGCATACGCTCCCCCTCGGTGAAAATTAATATCCTCAAACTGTACTTCCGACGCGTGGTGGCCGCTGCTCGATACATTGACGAGACGCGAGTTGAAGTCAGGAGTGGAGGCCTTGAGCATGGCCTCCTTCAGGAGCCAGAAGAGCAAGAAGTGGCCCAGATAGTTGGTCGCGAGTTGGATTTCAAACCCATCCGCAGACTCCTCGTATGTGGGTATCATCATGATGCCTGCGTTGCAGATAAGCACGTTGAGGGTTTGAGATTTCTCCAAGAAGTTCGAGGCAGCGGCTTTCACGGAGGAGAGTGAGCTCGTGTCCAGCTGTAGGAGCTCGACGCGACCCGGCTCAAGGAAAGATTCGCAGGCTGTTCGTCCCCGGGTAAGATCTCTCACGGCTAGGAAAACCCGGGCGCCGGTTGCCGCGATCGCGCGGGCGGTCTCGATGCCGATTCCTGACGAACAGCCAGTGATTAGAAAAACCTGGTTAACGGTTAGTTAGTTCGTTACAGTATAAGAATACTAGGAACGTGAAACCTTGTCTTTCATGTTTCCTTCTAAACCTTCATCTTCGATTACTTGCAAGGCAGTCGGCCGGGCGTCTCCTGGACCCGCCGGTTGTTTGTGGACCTCCGCATAGCGAGACATTTTGTGGCAGAGTTCAGTGCATAGATTGTGTTGGCTTGAGGTCTTCGAGCAATCCTACTATGCTTCGAGAAGATAGCCCTTGATTCTCATGGCATGGACGCCAATGTCATTTTATCCTCTGCGTCAAATGAGGGCTATTCCCTTTAAAAAGGAAATATTTTGAGGCCTCGGCCACGCGTCTTCATTCTGCCTAATGAGAGGAATAGCTCATTTGTCAAAGCAGTCACAATAACATTCTAGGTGTTGGTGACAAACATCGGGAGTCGCAGCATGTTGAAGCGGAGTGTCAATCACTCCGAAGTAGCATCCAACCCCAACAACCAAACAAGCGATGCGCCTACTTGGGCCGCAAAGGTTGCCGGTTCTTGGCGCTGATGTCCTCGAAAAGCTCCCCCGACCAGTCCAGATGTAAACCCAGGTCCCTGGCTAGCTCGGCAACCCCAATTCTCGGGATGCGCGTTGGTTGACAAATGCCATCAGCAGCCCCTCGGAACAAGGACAATAAAGAGCCCGAACACGCGAGGAATTGTCAGCTAGACACGAGCCATTGAGGCTTGAATTGAACATACGGGAAGAGAGGGACTTGTGCCTATGAACCAGAATGGTGGACCATATTTCGTTGGTAGACGCCAGAACTCATGAGGGGAGAGCATCCGACGTCAGCTCCAAAAGAGCGAGCAAGGAAGACGACGTAGAGAAAATAAAGACATATACATCTCAAAAAAAGCTCAAGATAAGTATAAAATTCGGATTGCTATTGTCACAAGTGTCTAGCTACAAGTTACATCACGTCTGCTCGCTGACTTGGGTGGTTATTAGTTGCAACTACCAACCGTAACAATATCAGATTTCCCCCCGTCGTTCGGTCCGCCAACTGCAGCAACTACAAATTTGTCGCCAGCATTCTCCGCCCGCACTATTGTCTCAAATCCATTCCGCGGTTCAGTTTTGATTTCCTCGAGCTCCCCGTCATCTGAGCTTGCAAATAGCTTCCACGACTGCACGCCTGTCGCTCCATTCCAGCTCACATAGACTACCAGCTCCCCATCCTCGGTAGGGCGGCATGCCTTGACACTTGGCTTGGTTTTTGGTACACCGACCCACGAGTGGCGATACGTTCGGTAAGTGGACGCGGCGTTGTCATAACCGAAGCGGGCATCCATAACAATTGCGCCGTGCTCGTCGTATTCCTCGATTACTGGGATTACCCCGTGACTGAGCAAGACATGTCCGTTGCCGAGACTCTGATAGCTTCCCTGAGCTCTAGACACAACTGGACGCTGGGCGTTCCACAACTTCCGCTTCAAAGAGACTTTCTTGTTCTGTAAATCAAGATCTAGAGCCAAACCCGTTGTTGCTTTGGTCTGATTGGTGAAGTCTGAGTTTTCGTTGTTGTGTGCCGTGAGAGTGACCTTGTCCTCTGACATATTTTCAAGGCGGACCTCATGCTGATAGCAGAAGGTGGTGTCGGGACCCATTTCGAAGTCACCGCCGTCTATGCCCTATTAAACGAAAGCCATACTAGGTTAACGATGTACGATCACTCCAACCTCTCAAAGCTGACAATAATTCATTTGCACAAAGGGTGAAACAGCGGGGGAAGAGCGCGGTGCTTACATTGAGATGCCAAATAAGGGTGCCGTTACTGGAGATAAGGAATACGCTACATGCATAACGTGACGACACGAGGTAAGAATCCCCGTATTTGGCAATAGAGTTCATATGGATGTAGTTCCAGGGATCTTTTTCAGAGGCTCCGGCACCAGAAAGTGGCTTTCGAGATAAGTTGAGTGGAATTTCGGAGACGTGTTCCCGAGCGCTCCAGCGAAATAATACTTCGTTGGTCTCAATATCGATCTCATAAACCAGTGCATCCAGAACCCAGCCGTCCTCTGGGCCACCAACGGACTGAAGATCAGCCTCAGTGACATTGACCGCCGCTAAAATCATGGATCCGTCTTCAGTGATGAACCCTTCATGGAAATCGAGATAGGATGGAAACGTTTCTGGTTCATATATCGTTTTGAAGTCATCGCCGGGAATGGTGACCTCGTGGATTTGCTGGTAGGAGCTGTTGAGGACACGCATAGAGCCATACCCATAGCCCGTGCTGTTGGTCAGGCCGTCCCAGTAGAGGAGTACCGGTTGTCCATCCAGCATCTGTGGTTCAAAGGAGAAAGTACTTCCTTCCGGACCTTGCCAGACAAGCTGGCCATCGTCTTCATAGATAGCGGGATGACCAGTGCCCATGTTCTGAGGATTGAGAAACAGGTATCCTAGCTCTGTCTTGCCGTTTTTGGTGACATTAAGGAAAGGCGTTTTGATCTCTGTGCTTTGAAACGACTGTAGCGGCCATGTCGCATTTGGGTTGGGCGGTGACTGCGCGGACGCTACACCCGTGTTTATGGCAAAGAGGGCGGCTAAACAAGAAATCCAAAGAGGGCTGAGCGGCAGCATCTTGGACAATTCTCCAGGTCTGTCTTTCAACAGTCTGATCTTTTTTCTTTCGGCGCTTCGATCATAGCGATCAGCCAGGTTGGAAACCGGCAATATATATATAATTCCATTACGCTGTCGCTGTTTCAACCTCATGCCTGATTAAGCCGATGTAGAGCGACAATTGTATAAGGATCTACCCGCCATTCGCGCCATTCTCTCCATCGTTGGATCCGGTACGCGTACGAGATGCCGACGTAGTACGGGGTACCCCGGCGGGGACTCTGACCGGCTCAATCCGAAGAGAGAAATGTTCTCCATACTCCACAAAAACGCGCAGCCCTGTAGCGACTAACCGCAGATGCCGATGCAGAGTCGAAGGTTCAATGCATGATGATCCCAATACGAAACATTGGCGAGCAAATTCTTCCTGCTTTCTATTTAAGGCTTTCAGACCTTTGAAGCAATGAGCCGTGCCGGGGGTAGTGTCGCCTTTTGGCCGAACAGCTCCACGTCCATTTCTTGCTATCTGGAACAGGAAAGCCAGCAATTTTGAGATCCCTGGTTAGATAGAGAGAAGTCACAACATTGCACCCGTGCCTGATGTTTATTTTTTGCAAAGTTGCAACACGGGCCAGGGTGCTTACAGATCATGGGTTGGCAAAGCTATCCTTGCATTCCTTGATGTTTCGAGTTTGTTAAAGTTAGGTATAAACATTAGGTAAAAAAATCCCGTCCATGAGGCTTGCACACTAACCGAACATTGCCCAGCATCTCGAGGCACTTAGCAAGTGACTTATCCCCTGGCGATCCGCACAATTGTCAAGACCACACTGGTTTCAACCCTTGCTAAATTGCAACGGCTATTTGTCTTATACATAGAACACTATTATGGCTGTTCCATGCAATTCACATTCATCATATGTACTTCAGTAGGCCTTTTTGCTTGCAAATTCAAATCAGGAATAATGTAGACTCCCTACATGCAGGTGCCACGTTCATACATCTTGATAAAAGAGCCTCGCACCTTGACATTGCCCAGTAACTCACGATTTATAACTACAGCGTCGAGATGTTATGTAATTCAGTGATGTTTCCAGAGACCGAGAGCAAAGCTCCAGTGAGATAAGAGTTGGCCAAGGCCGGGTCGGGCTTTGCTCCCAAGACGTCCAACCAAGCCGGACACTACGTTGAAATTGGCTGTCCAAGTCTCAGCAACTGCCATAAAGCGCTGGTTCATAACCTTTGTATTATTTCTAGCTGTCTAGTTTTTGGCGTATGTATGTGTAGCCACGATGACGAAGAGTGCCTGAGCCGAGTTGCCGGGTGGAATTGTCCATCTGACCCAGGTTATGGACAATGCTTTGTCCTGGTTTGCGAGACCTGTCAGGCTGCCAAATGGCGACTGACAATGCCACATGGGTGCTAAGACACTGGCGGCAGACTGCAGTTATTCCATCTTTGGCGAGATTAAACCATCTCCACTTTTGAGTCACTGTTGGTTCTGAATGTGGATCACCCTTGCTTATCCCACATCGCTCGAAAACTACCCAGATCAGGTCAGTGTAGAGAGGCTTCACCCCTGGCTGCACTTATTTAAGGAATTGTTGATGTATCTGGGGCTTGCTGGTTGAGCTTATCCTTAAGTGAGTGACCACCAGCAAGCCCCAGCACAATCTTCTTGTATCTTTTCTTGCTCCTTTTTTTTTTTTCTCCCTGGGTAACACAAAGCAAGGAGGAATGTAATTACAAGACCAATGAGGAAGACAGGACGGAGTATAGCTAGTGGCTGAATATAATCTGGCAACAAAAGACAGCAGCCAGCCTGCTAACTTGAAGTTCGGTGTGGTGATGTTCATTCAATTCTCACTTCCTGTTATGAATGTAGGCCAACCAAGTATCAGATGACACCGGATGTTCAGGGGAACTCATGTGACCCATAACTCTGAATGTATAAGGATTGCATGGTTCACATGGATTGTGGGAACCTCAGCATTCAGTCTTCTAGTTAGAGGACCCTTACATTTTATGCATGACTTCCTTCCATCAGTTATAGGCATTGGACCTACTTAGCTCTTTCATACTCTAAATCCTGAGAAAATTCATGTACTCTATATTAGATTTTCTAACATTCTGAATGCTCTGATATATGATTGTCTAGATTAATATAATATCAACAAGATTCACAAGATAAACTACAATAATATCTTATATTGTAGATCTGACACAGACAAATATCAATATAGAGAAAATAAGTAATAATAAAAAGATTGAAAGCAGTAGAGTAATTATCAGTAAAACATCAGTTAATAATACAGATAATAGAGATACATTGTTGAATACATTAAACAAAATCAGAAGAAAAGAGTAGGCTGGTATTCGGGACCGGGACGGGATCCCATTTCCCATTGAAGCTCGTCCCGGTCCCGAATTTAGAAACAGCCGGGATCCCAAATATGAAACACTAGTCTCTATGTAGTTAGTCTCCAGCTTAGCGGCTCGGATCTTCTTTGATCTGATACAGAGTTTTCTTGCTTCTCATCCCACAATCCTTTGGATGAGAGGAGCGAGAGCACTGACATCTATCGAGTTCACGTTCCGTGGTTCCTATAGCTTCCGCTTATGGTTAGTAGCCTCGTAGGCCCTTCGAGACTTAGTTAGTTTCTAGCAATTGAAAAGCTTCTGAATTAAGTTCATATATGTTCCAAATTCTATATGTTTCAGACTCTCTATATGTACTCCGTACATGCATTGTAAATATATGGTTGATCTACAGTTTCAAGCTTGCAATCCATGGTTCAACAGGTCGCGTCAGATAAACATTTTCCGACGGTTGCCCGAAAAGCTCATTTTTCCGGTATGGCTGGTTCCACCAAATCACGTGATTTACAGAGTTGCGCGCTGACCAACATTATTAAGGTGCTACGCGCCCTCGGTCGATGTTCCATCCTCCAACATGAGCAGCAACGCCGATAATCCTCCTGCACTTATTATAACTTGGTACACCTGATACTGAGTCTCTCGAAACCCCAGTGCGATAGCCAAGCTGACAACATGACTGCACCGGAGGAGTGGGAAGAGTGGGGATCCGAACGCATGTTTCGCGCAATACATGACAAAGTTGTTCTCTTGAGCCATCAAGGCGATGTCAAGGTCCTAAACTGCGACAATGAGGTCGTCCTCAAGGTTGGAAGCAGAGTTCGTCCTTCTGAGGAAATCGCTATGCGCCTTGTCAAAGAGCAAACTGATATCCCTGTTCCGGAGATCTTCCTTGCCGCCTACGTTGGCGAAGAAGGCCGACTGGCGATGAGTGTCATTCCCGGCGCTCCACTGACAGAAGCTTGGGATAGTCTGGATGATACAACAAAGAAACATGTATGCGTGGAAACTTGGTCAATGATTGAAAAACTTCGTCAGATTGAAAAGCCCGCGGCGCTGCAACACCACTTCCTCTGTCTTGCTGATGGTTTGCCCTGTATCAATGACCCCATTGTGGCGGGAAATTGCTGTGCAGAACCTCCACATCCTCCACTCCTTAATGATGATGCTGTTCGCGCCTGCATCTACAAATGTTACTATGCAGCAAACAGCTGAAAGTATGAAAAAGAGTTGCTGAGCATGCTTTCTTGCTCTGATATCTCTGTTTTCTCGCATGTAGACATTGGACCGCACAACATCATGTTTGACCAGAAGTCGCTCCAGATAACTGGGATCATTGACTGGGAGATGGCAGGGTGGTACCCGGATTATTGGGAGTATTCCAGCATCATGAGGCCTGCTAGGTGGAAAGATTGGCAGAAATGGATGGATCTGACAGCCCCAAAGAAATATGACCTGAGTGGTATTATGGCAGCAAGGCGTGTTTTGTTTTAGCGTACTCTATTAGGTTGGGATTGAAGGCCTTACTTCGACCTTTTAGTCCATAACGACATTACGCGTTCTTCTTTGGAGGTCTTTGGTCGGTATCAGCTGCTTGAGATATTGCCCAATTTGCTCTTCTCGTCTATTTTGCTTGAAACACACTGTTGCAGCCGCACCCGACGAAAAATTACCTTTTCATATTGACTTGGGACTCACTATTATACAAGGACATCTTTTCACTCTGGAACGGTTCTCTGATACTCAAGGACGAGGCTTTGCAACTTGTCCTTATTGTCGACTACATTCTGGATTGGGCAAGAGACGTTTACCGAGTTTCTATTCTGAAAGTCTATCGCTACGGGCGAAAGGTACGACAAAGTTAGCGTGACAGACAGCGACATACCATCTCTGCGTATGCGAATAGCCAACTGGATTCCGTCCCCTCCCTCGACCATCATGAATGGCCCTCCGGATGTTCACATGGATGATGTTGAGGACGTCAATGACTCTCCGAGAATGCCAATCCAACATCATATGCTTCTTCCAATTCCAATTCCCAACACCAAAGGCGGCTCGCTGCGGTCCGCTTTCCTCTCAGACTTCAAATTTGTGTGTTTGTATTTGACTGAGAAACTTGTTCCAAGTTTGCTGCAACTCATCGGGGGACGGGAGGAAAAGCGGGAAGCCGTACAAAAACCTGCACGGCAGATTATTAATTTTCTGACTCAATTCAATGAGATTCTTGTTCTGGCTGGCGCAGATCTTGACTTGCTTGAATCGGCTTGGAGTGGAAACACCCTACCGAATGATCAAACGGAACCGGAGGCCTCTGAGCAGTTTTACGTTCTGATGGAGGCAAGTTGCTACTTTGACTCCTCTTGGAATATTGTCAGGGAAATTTCTTGCATTGCCGTTTCAAAGTCGGCTTTTCGTCTTCTCGCATCCTACGCGAATTTCGTTGCCAGGCACAGCGGAATTGAGCGACTTCCAATGAATGAGCGTATTTGCCCCCGGGATGTTCTTTGGAACTGCATTGAATGCTTGCGCTCCGGTTCCCCGTGGCACGTTCTTCTTTCTACGATTAATTCCACACTGCTGTCGATTTACCCTCTTCCGGAGCTTCAAAGGCCCGATTTCACTCCTGCGGTTGAGGCCTTGGGGTTTGGATATGTGAGAAGCAGTCGTGTGAGACAATTTATGGAAAGGTACTTGAAACTACGTCTTTGGAATCTCATAAAGCGGCCGGCAGTCACCAGACACGAGCTGAGAGCTGCTTTGTCTCAAGGCATCGGCCGCAAACAGTCGATTGAAATGAAAACGAGGATGCAAAAGGAGCCTCCGCAATCGGCAGATCTATCATTCAAGCGCTCTTCGCAACAACTTATTTCTATTATGAACAAAGAGCAGCACGACTGCGCTAGATGCAGCCGATGTGTTCAGGCTGGTGAAAGTGAAACATCCCCCGCAGGGCATGGATTCCTCGGCCAAAGGATCTTGCCAGAAATGTCAGCCTATGGTGTAGCCCCTAGTCGTATCGATGAATGGATCCAATGGGTACCGGCGAGGGATTGAAATTGATGTGTGCTTATTTGCATTAGATATGCTGGTATATGTGGTCAACAATGATGCCCTTGCATTGATTGTTGAAGACTTGGTCCAGAGTGACTTTTCGCATCACACAATTCAACACGATGGCCTGAATTACCAGAATTATTGCGGGTATACCTGGAGCCTACCGCTGCCATATCGCCCCGTCGCTGAGGCAGAGCACTTTTATCTGAACAACTGGGTTCACCAGCTTCGCGGCCAGCCTGGCCTTGAAAAACCTAAAGAGAAATATAACACGGAATGGGAGGAGACGCAGATGCTTCTATATTGCTTAAGCATCGGCGTCTCATACCTCGCAAGTACAACTATAATTACTGAATTTCTCACTAGAAAAAGACCATCCTTAGAGCATCTCCATCGAGAAATTGAGAACAAACCGGCTTTTACTTGGGGATCTCCGCCTACTCCCCGGCCCATCCTTAAGTTATGCGGTGACGTACTCGCTCGGGGCTACTCTTCGTGGGAAGAAGGTGAAAAGCACATCTGGGAGTATTTAGAGAGCCTGCGTACGGAAAAGAATGCGTCTCATTAACTGCTGATGGTATGTCGGACCACTGGTCATTCCGTATATAACACATGCGGCTTCTCCTATGTTTCCCATAGAGCTAAGTGTAAAACCCCACCGGGTCATGCAAGGGAACTCTCCGACGGCTTTAGAGAAGGTCGGGGATATCCTAAAAGACGTCACTTCCGGTAGCTTGACTAGAGCGCAAGGACTTGCAGCGACGTGGCCAAAGGTGAATGTCAATTCGATTTAGTCCCAGCTTTAGGGGTTGATCTAGCTAGCACAGACAATCGGTATCTTCAACTATCTAAAGGATGCCTATTATAGAGAGTATTTGGATATGGCTAGAGCGGACCTGCTTGCTGAGATTCTTCGCACAGAGCAATATAAGCCCGGGCTTCAAGGTCTAGCGGCCATGTTCCGGGAATTCGAACAGGACTACTATGATCATGCTGTCAATACCACGGTGGATTTTATAGATGTGTCAATGGACATGATGTATAAGAAGTTCAGTCTTAATGAGATGGGTTGCAGAACTAGGCTGTGATGTCTTTGCTGAATCAGGCGGGAAAGAAGGTGATGGACCAGATCACGTTTAAGACTTAGCCCTGTGACTGATTTCCTTTGGTTATGTACCCATAATATGTATTCACATTACGGAGGAGTTAGATATCACCTATTTTTTTTCCAGTGAAGGACTTTACAAGGAAAAATTACTTGGAAATTGACCTGTTTTATTCCGAACAGTTAATCCGCGCCGAGATCCCTTCCCAACACTAACTACAGAGTAGTTGATAAACAATTTCCTGACACCAAAAGGTTTTGTTTGTTTCAACCAAGAATATCACCCAGTCAGTTCAGACTTTCATAATTTCCCGCCTGAGATTCAGAGCTGCTCAATGCAGCTTAGAAGGCAGGCTTTCATTTCAGTGTACCATATCAACCAATTCTTGTACCTGCTTGCGGCCACTGCCAATACTCCATGCCTGTCGACAACAACTGCTTCTGTCTCATATGGTGACTGGATTCCCCATATCAAGATTCAAGAATGTATTCACAGAAAAATTTGGAGCTCAACCCCATGTACAAATCAATTAACCAGTCAATCTTGCCTGGATATCAGCTCAAAGATAATGCTTGTTGGGGTTTAGTTGTCTATCAATGCTCTCATAGCAATAAAGCAGCATGAAAGCAAATGGTTTACTTGATACACAACTGGATAAAGTCAGCCCCAGATGGAGTACTGAACCTTCTATCTTGCCATGATCTTGTTTTAATGGATGATAAAGTGTGATTGGATGGCACAACATAACATGAGATACATGAGTACTTTAGCTCTTGAGTGGCTGATGGGCTCGTACATAAGTTAGCTAATTCAGAAGAGCTTGAGCCTTAATTCTCAGGAATCTGGGTCATATCTTGCTATGTATTGGCACACATTGTAATTACTGTCTTTTTGTGGACAATATTTGATTTTGTCTTGAGTCACTTGAACATATAACATGACCTGTTGTCAAGATTTCTTGAACAGCAATTTGGTCACTTAGCATCCAACAAGAGGAGATATATTATACATCCTGACTGGGAGGATGGTGAGATAGAAGAGCCAGAGGGGAATTTTGGGTGGATGTAGTTACATGCAGATAACTGATTAACTTACATAATTCATTATTCTATCTTCCTTGATTCAGCCTCTTGGCCGGATTTCTACACAGCTGCCTGACATGATTGATTCAAATATAAACACTCTGCCAGGCTCTTGGAAAACTATTAGCCAAGGATGATGCACTTGGGTTTAGAAGAGCAATTGTGAATTGAACTTCTCAAGGCTCACAAGCACATCTACATTAGCTTAGAATGGAATGGTTGCATCCATAGCTAGAGAAGGCAAACAATTGGCCAAACTACCAAAACAACCATATACTTCAACTGCGGTATTTGCAGCTAAAAGCACTGACCATTGGGCCAGATGATGTGGCCCAATTACAAGTATATGACTAGGATAAACATATCAGGAGTGGGACAGAGCACCAGAAGGCAGACCTGATACTGGCACTCCAGCAGCCCTTTAACATGGCTAGCTGAAAGTCTTATCCATCGCCAAAATGCCTCCACTTTAATCTTAGAATTCGTACTGATATTCTCCATCCAGAGTACTTTATAACTACCATTTAAATTCCGTTGCTTTGTCAAACCCCCGCAGTCAGTGGATTAGCTAGTTGAAAACAAAATGCCATTCCCACCCCCTCATATCCGGCATGCGCACAGGACAAGTACTTGCATGAACACAAGTTGAAGTATTGGAAGCCTAAACTTGCCACAAGGATAGTGCCCAGTATGCATGAATTTACACATGCATGATTCCGAGATGTTGAAACTTAATTAAAACAGATGACCACAAGGAAAAGTTGAAACCTGTACCCGAATGAGACCAGAAGAGTTAATGGCTGACAGCCACATGAAGATACTGATGCACAGTCCTCACACCCCCCAGTCTGAATTCTAATAACCATCCGAACCCCGCAAGGTCTCTATCCCCTCAGAAAAACACCCGCTTCATTTGAAATACGGGAAGTATGCTATAAAGAAATATACCAGTCATCGCTTCCAGTTGCAATGGAAGCGACAGAACCCTACCTTGCCCTCCATCACATTCAGCAGTCTCCTGCTAGGTGACAGTGATATCCCCACTGGATACGCACACCAGATAGTCCTAGCTTCTCTGATGGGCCACAAATGCCTGCTTCACTCCCAGGACCCTGATTCCCGCCAGAGTCTAAGATACTCATTGTTACATTGATTAATAACACCAGTGAATCCAGGTGGCTTTGACGACAGTGGTCAATGACAATGGTGTTGACAGTTTGGCTGGCTGAAATTTCTTGATCGCCATTTGGGCCAGCGATGCCTCACAGCTAAAATTGATATAGAGCTACGCTCAAAGCCTAGGATACCCAGTTCCTTGTTGGCCACCAACTCAGTTATCGGCACCCCTTCATCAAATATCACCCGCATAGCCTGAAGGCAACATCACCCAGTTGCCACACTAGGAAGTTGCTATTTTTTGATATCATTCACTCAGAGTACCTTGTGAGCTTCACAACACTGCCTGCTTGAATGCTTTGACCTCACGTCGACAAAGTTAGCCATTGATAGAGGCTGGTTTGATCCGTGAAAGCTGCATCGTTGAAATGACCCCACAGGACAAAAGCTATTGCCTGCAATCTGCAATGTAAAGGTGCCCAATTCAAATTTATGAGATCCTTGCACAATCACCGCTTAGACCACATACCCAAACCAGCATACGTTGAGCAGCACACCATCTCAATTGCTTCCCTATCATTCTCGGGATCAATCTGTAGGTGCGACCACACCTGGGAAGCCGGTGAAAAGTCGCGAATCAGGATTCATCTTGATAGGTTGTCACGAGCTGCCGGAGAGGGGTGATCTGGCAAGGGGCTTGTCACAGAAGGGAGGGGGCGCGAAGTGGAGATGAAAAATGATGGTACTGCGTTGTCAGTGAAGAGATTCCTTCTGGCCGAACCGAAGAACAGATCAAGGTATATAAACATGGTCGTGTCGCCTCCCGACCGCTCCTCTGTTGTTCACATCTCATCACTCGAGTCCCCAAGAGACACAAACAACAACTTACTTTTCACTTGAATTATTTTGAAACACCGCATTTTTAATACCTCCTCAAGCCAACATGTCGCACAGCACCCTCGGTAACGGCGAGTGGCTCCTCAAAGGCAACAGCCTGTTCAGCGAGGATGGCTCCGTCGAGTTCAAGATGCAAGAAGACGGCAAGATTGCCGTGTACTGGGGTGGCCAGTGCCGTTTCCAGAACACCACCCACCAGTCCTACAACATGAAAGGCATCAAGATGGAGAAAGACGGCGTCCTGCGCATGTAGTATGTTCATTTCCCCTCTCAGCTCTCTTCTTTCTCGCAGCTTGCAGGATGTTGTGCTTTCTGCTGGTGTGCCTTTCCAAGGCTGATAAAAGTTGTGTAGCGACGACAAAGACAAGGTCGTCTGGGAAACCAAATTAGAGGGGCCCGGTGACAGCACCGTCATCTGCGCTGTCCAGAACGATGGAAACGTTGTGCTTTACAGGGGCACACCCATTTGGGCCAGCCACACACAGAAATAAACATCCACCGGGAAATAGACGGGAAATTCGATTACCGATGGGCGCATACGCCTTGAGCCAAGTCAGCATCTCTCGTTAACAGGTTATTAAAGGGGCATGGATACCTAGCCACTCCATAGTTAGGACATGAATGGATACATTTGTTCGGATGCTGCTTTCCACCTCTGCCTTGTAGTGCAATTCTTTTAAGGAGTGTAGGATGAGCGGAGCACCGCTCGTATGAGCTTGATAACATGTAGTATCAATGTGTTAAGGCGATAAATGGGATGGACTGCGGTCGATACCTTATACAAAAGGAGGAATATACAGTGTCAAGGCTGAAGATAGCCGAGGAATATATGATGCAAGCATAAAACATCACAAGACCTCAATAATAGGAAATCGAAGGGAGGGGTGTATCTATATTGTCTATTGAACCTTGGTCAAAATAGACAAGCCCTTAGATCTAATGCTCATGAGCAGTCCACTGAACATAATACTCCTTAGGATATCTAATAGTCCTGATATCTTCAGATATCGCCACTTCTCCTTCAGAAGGCCTTTATAATTTGTAACCATTAGGCCAAAAGGAAAATCCCGTTCGTGAACAGGGAATGAGTTGGCGCTCGCGGAATACCAGAACTTCTTTCGCTCTCTTCTTAAAGGGGCGAAGTCACCATCACGTGATGCACCACCGTTACTGGTCGGGCATAAATTCCTCCATTCCGTACTCGTGTACGGAGACGAGTACGTTGGAAGCGATCCATCGATCCACCCATTTAGGCTGACCTCCTGACTGGGTCCTTGGTGAGAATTCCACTGCTTCCTTGATTGAAATCTCTAGCTTAGATTGCAGAGAAAGGGTATGATGGGTGTCGCGACGATATCCACTGTATATGCTATCAGCAGCAGGCGGGAGAAATAATTCGTTCGACGCTTGCCAGCTCATAGACAAACTGTGTTAATTTGTGAATTCTGACCATACCGGTTTGGCCGGGTTTTCCATACCGGGGGACCTGGTATGGAGTGCTGTATGAACACTGGTGCGTAATTTCAGTGCAAATGGAAGACAAGAATTGAGACAGCGTGGTGGCGCACTGAGAGTCCTTCGCTTTATCACCATCGACCAAGGCTTGCGACTGCTCTTTCTTTTGCAGAGACCGAATGACGAGCTCCTTAAACTTGAGATTTGGTCTTTTTGCTTTTGCTGATAGACCGGGGAAGGTTATTAGTTCGAGAGTGACGGCCAGGCGCTCCAGGGGCATGGACTGCGCTGAGCTCTAGTCCAACACGCCGGTTAAGTTAAAGTCGTCGTCAAAGAGCATATTGCCAAAATGCGGATCCAGATGGCAGAGATAGAATGGCCCACGGATTCTATTCTCGTTTATTACATGTGGAATCGCCATCTTCAACACCCAGCAGGCGGTGAGCCAGTCAGATTCACAGGAACCAACTTCAGGCATTGATCGCCCAGTATCATCGCACTGAAAATGGCAGATGCAATCATAGGGCAGTCTTTAAAACTCAAAGAGCACGTTGGCAAACTGTTCGGCGACCTTTTGTCGGGATGCAACTGGCACTGCCATAGCTATCATCTCGTCCAACGCATGACCCCCAAATATTCCATCAGCATGAATTTGGTACCCGAATGGTTTGTTCGTAAACTCCTTGTCGTCAAACATCTGTGTGCTCTGCAACAACTTTCATCGTAGCCACCTCGCCCAAGGAGCTGGTCTTCTCCCCCTCCAGGTCGTTGGGGTCATCTGCGACGTACTGGATTCGAGCGAGCCAATACATGCCGTCAGAGAAGGCGACTTCAAAAACAACATCGTTAAATCCCCAGGTAAATCGCCCGGTATCAATTTGGCAGCTGATGCTCTGGACTAAATTCCAATGGCGCGCGCGAGCTTCAAGAGCGCGCCTTTTCAGGTATTCAAAGTTCGCGGAGGAGATATTCGCTTGCATTCGCTCATATTGCTCGGATTTGCGCTCAGGGTGAGCGAAGCCACTCCACTTGTCACTTGGACGCGCCATAAGTTATGTGAACTTTTCGAAGACGAAAAAACTAACTACGAAGTTTGAAAATCAATAACTAATTGTGGATAAATCACGATAAGTCGTCGCGGTCGAGATTATAAAGCTCAAGCCAGGGATCCGGGCGGCTTTCCGGCTTCAGAGAGCAAGCCTTGGCCCTAACGTTGAATAGCCGCGGGTAAACCTTTCGCAGGATAATGCAGCCACAGAGGCGACGGCTTATATTTATATGCGAACCAGTTAGAGAAGTTCCCATCAATCACGAATCCAGGTGTATGGGAGCCTCCTTCAAGTGTGGGAGCCTTGAAAACCCCCGGTTCTGTGAATACGTTTCCAAATAGAATTCGATCGAAAGCAACGTATCCTCTCACTTGTGATTTTGATATGCAACAAGTACATATCAATCGACTTCTGTTGTGCAAATGGGTATAGGCAGTGCTGTTGCTTTGAAAAGGCATTTCTTTAATACCCGAGAGAGTGTGGTTCTATATCATGGTCGTTTATCGTACAGGGCTTCACAAAAACCAAAATCAGCCAAACGCAAGATCAGCGGTCGCTCTGTAGATTCAAATTAAATCTCCTTTTGATAGCCTGTTCTCATTGGAGGGAACCATATTCCCGGATGGAAGATGGTAAGGGCGAGAACAGAAATCGCAACCATTCTGTGAGGTAAGATTCCATGTAAGCTCGTGTCGAGAATTGATTTGGAATCTAAGGGCAGCTGATTTGCAATCTCTCCCTAGACGGGAGACCTGAAGAGAAGACTGGCGCTCTCCAGGCCCTTACGGGGTTTGAGAAGCATAAAAAGGAAGAGAAAAGAAAAGCAAACTTACGCTCCATCTAAAATTAAAAATTCTTTCTCATTTTGCATAAGTTCATTGCCCCATCCCCCAGCCATCTCCGGAATACTAAGCCGAATCAATCAGACCAAATTACATTTAAGAGCCAATTTCTTTTCGGAGATGTACTTACCGATAGATGCAACGGACAAGGACTGTGGTATATGCCAATATCTCCGCCCAGCAAAATATTTTAAAAGACTTCCAATGGCGTTGCTTTTCGGATAATTGCCCACGATCCGAGAATGCCCCTTTCCTGGAGGCTCGGAGAAAAAAATCTAAACCTAGCAATCCACAGACTGACATCGTCGCGACTTGAAAGGCGATTCCCGTAATTATGATACGATTACCAATCTCCAGCTTATCTTGATCATTCCGCCCAGCTGCGGCAGCAACGCCCCCCCCAATAGCCTGCAAGACGAGGGAGCAAACGTCGCAGGTGATGAATATCCAAGTGTAAAGTCGCGCAGGTATCCGAGAGTTCTCCGGGCCCAGGAAGAGAACGATATGCTTGAGAGTCAGATAGATGGCGGCAGCCACCAAGGTAGGTCCCAAGATGATAGTGACAATTTGTAGTTTAAATGGGCCAGACGCCCAAGGGTTATCGTTCATGAGTATTCGTCCGATGTAGCCGGCCATTTCCAACAACGCGCCCATCGCTAGCGCAATCATAAAGGTCCATGTTTTAAAGTAGACGCCGAATCCAACCTGGAAGAGAGAAGTGACACCATAGAAGACAGCGAAGATGATATTTGCTGCAAGATGGGGGTAGTAACCATAGGTAGTGGCTTCCACGGGGCAGACTGTGCTAACCTCCGTGCAATCCGCAAAATCCCTCACCATCTTGTAGAGAATGCCGCGGATGAGAGTAGAATTCGATATAAGAAATTATCGAGGATTCGCTCTGGGGGACAGATGCAACTCCTTAAGCACAATACCAGCGGACATGCTTAAGGGAAGAGAGAACTAGACGATGACAGAAAGCTGAGACAGTGAAACGAGCGCAAAACGATATACATCGCCTTCTGAGAACGACGAGCGAGAGAGCACGAGTCAGATGTAACTTTACTTGACCTCGCTCTCGCTCCCGCTCCCGCTCCCGTTCTCGTTCTCGCGACCCAAGCTCCTCCGGCCCCACTGGCGAACCAGGCCTCAGTCTGATTTGCTCGCGGGCCATCTTCTGGGGCTCGCATTAGTAATCTGGGATGGCATAACTTGTGTAGCAAGGATAGTTTTCTTCATCGGAAGTGGAGAAGTGCCCGACTCCGAAACCAGGATCTGTGTCGGCGAGGCTGGATTTTGGAGACGTTGAAGATTGTGAGAAGATGTTGGGCGGAGTGAACCATCACCGGGAGGGGTTTTGGTTGGAGCCAACAAGGCTTGGCGCGCGGATGCCTGTGGACTTCACCTCGAGCGATCTCGTTGTCGTATTCTCGCACCAGCGAAGACCTGAGCGTGGACGGAGAATTCCAGTGCTTGATTCCTTGGAGAAAGATGGTGACTGCCGGGTAAACGGTGACGTTTTCAGAGAGGGAAAGTCACGATACTTCCCGCCCGGCCATGCCGCCCCGACGACCGCATAAGAAATCCCGGAATGGGTGCGACCAATGTAAGAAACGAAGAGTAAAGGTAAGGTAAGGGAAAAGATACAGATCTGTAACCATATTTGCCTTGTTTCAGCTTCCTGCCATTTAAATCATGGCCGGTCCAATATCCCTTTTGACAGTGCATGCTGGTTGGAAGTCACCCGCTCAATCCCACGCCGCCATTGATTTCCCAAAAAAAAAAAAAAAAAAAAAAAAAAAAAAAAAGACGCCATATATGCTTCCTTTTTGCGTTCTCTATTTCTTTAGCGCCATTCCGTCCACTCAGGCGGCCTCAGCTAATCTCATTTGCTAGTGTGATGAAAACGGACCACCTTGTTTACAGTGTGCCCGGAGGGAGCTGCCCTGCGACTATTCTCGTGCTGTCAAACGCAGCGCCCCGAACCCAGCAACCAGCCTCGCTAGACCTATCGAAGGGCCATGCTACGAACCCTCGCTTCCCTCAAACTCACTCTCGCCAGTTAGCGCGAGCCCGTTTGCGCGGAAGACCGCATTACGGGATCTAGAACTGATGCACAAGTTCTCCACAGAGACATACAAAAGTCTTTCCATCGAGGATTCAGAAGAACATGTGTGGCAGATGGTCCTGCCGCGGAAAGCTCTAGGATATGATTTTCTCATGAATGGCATGCTAGCCCTGGCTTCCTTGCATATCGCAACCAGCTTGTCCCCCCCAGCAGCATTGTCTTACATTGATACCGCGCTCGAGTACTACAACATGGCAATTGCACCGTTTCGACAGGCCCTAGATAACATCACGCCTGTGAATTGCGAGCCCGTACTCGCCCATTCAGTGATAACCACTGCTTTGGGAATCGCTCTCCCGCAGATGACCGCAGACCACGAACAAGGGAGCAGTATGACGGAAAACATTATCTTCGTCTTTGAACTACTCCAGGGAGCTGGGAATATATTCAAAATCACTAGATCATGGCTTCGTGAAGGAACAATCTTTGCATCCAAATCTGACTTTTGGGCCCGACCGGCAGCAGATCGTCTCGACGACGATAAGGAATTGGCTCTTAAGCGCCTCGCTTGTCTGAATGACGATACGCTGGATACAGCGAATCCGGAAAAGCACCGTATTAACCAGGACGCTATCAGCTTGCTGCATCGCTGCTTTCGCCGTTTCACCCTGAGCTCCACCATCGACGCGGTCCTGGCATGGTTGGCCATGGTCGATAAAGATTTTGTCGTTGCGGTGCAGCGTCGAGAACCGCTGCCTGTGTTGATTTTAATGCATTGGGGCGTGCTCTTGCATGAACTTGACGGCCGACGATGGTGGGCGAGGAATTCAGGTAAGGCGCTGATTTTTGAGCTGTCGACGGCCATTGAGCCCCAAGGCGTCCAGTGGGAGGAAGCACTTCACTGGCCACAGCGTTCGATTGGTTCATAGCTCAGGTGGTTCTGTATATCTGTATATACCTATGCTAAGGAGGCATGTCGTCCAGAGGAATGATCTTGTTGACTATTCTTGGGAGCGGTACTGCACGTTATCTACGAAGTGGCGGTTCTTTGCTGATATAATGAATTCATCGATAGTTTCTTAAATATCCCAAGGGTTTGTATCGTCACTCGAATCTTCCATTCATCATTCAGTGCCGTGTCGGCGTCTCGATCGCCCCTTGAACCGCACCTTGGCCGATCTTGCAGTTTGTGTCGCGTCATTTCACCAACGATGCCGCATCTCCGATGAGAGTCGAAACAGCTTTTGTAAATATACGAGTCGTACAGAAACTCACTTCTCTCCAGCTAGTGGTTGGCCATCACTATGGCTAACTACCGTTGGACCGAGGGCCAGCTGGGGTCAGCTGGGTCCGCCACCCTTGGCTGCTTTAGTGCTACTTAAATGCAGTTAAGCTCCTTGTTCTCACTGGAATCAAACTCGTTCGTAATATCTCAATCTTTTGAGGTTTTACGAGGTGGAGAAAACTCCCAAACAAGTTAAAAAGATGCATATATATCCGGAGTATTATCCGAGCAACCATCCCAACTAAAAAGGGATGGCCCCGCAAAACGAGAAGGACAGCAACGTGTTCATTCGCTTATGCCGCCCTACGCCAATTGGTGGGCTGGTCGAAAGCGGGCTCTTGGTGTTTGTATAAAGTGCGGGTCAAGGCACTGACAGAGAATCGAAATACCCGCGAGGAAGAAAAGGCTTGATATATCCTCTCGAAACAAAGGACTCCTTTCTTTCAACCTACCTTATCCATACCCAGGGAGAGCAGAGATACAATACGATGGTATCGCTTGAACAGGCTTTCGAAGAGGCCTGTAACACCGGCAAAATCCCACATGCTGTGCTCGCATCTTCGAACAAGGACGGTATGGGGAACAGAAACCAGGCTTCGCGCCAATGAATTTTCCCGAACAGACTAGTTTGCTGATATAGTTACACCCATGTCTTCTCATCAGAGAGCTTCACGTACCTCAGAGCGTTTGGTTTCAAAACTCTCTCCGAAGAACCCAAACAAGCCATCAAAAATGATGATATCATGATGATCTTCTCATTGACAAAACGCATGACTTCAATCGCAGCTTTGCAATGTGTCGAACGTAGCTTGATCCAGCTGGACGATGACGTCGCTCAGATATTGCCTGATTTGGCAGCATTGGAGATTCTGGAGGGCTACAATTCCGACACAAGAGAGTGGATTTTAAGAAAGAGGAAGAATGCGATTAATCTGCGATCAGCTGAAGTACTAAAATATCTGATAATAAAACTATCTCATCTAACAATCTACATGGTGAGTATTATACAGCCATCTTCTTACTCACTCGTCCGGCCTCATTTACGAGGGCTTGAGTCCCCTGCATCGACAATATAACAAAGCTATGGGCCGACCGAAGGCCCTGGACGGTCCCACCATCACAACCCGTTACACCAGTCCTCTCCTTTTCGAGCCTGGGACCAGCTGGGGGTACGGAACCGGCCTCGACTGGGCGGGTTTGCTCGTCACGCGTCTGACAAAAATGAATCTTGAAGAATACATGAAAGAACATATCTGGAGTCCCCTGGGAATTCACGATGCAACATTTTGGCCAGAGAAGAATCTAGATCTCAGCAAGCGTATTGCTGAGATGGCTCTTCGTGACCCCCCCCCGCCGTTGCTGACGCCAAGGGGAAAATTATTCCTTATGCCGGGCCTTCTATGCTTGGAACTTACACTGAAGAAATGGGTGGGCAGGGAGTGTTTACTTCCATACCATCGTACCTGAAGATTTTAAAGAGCATTCTTGTTGATGACGGCAAGCTGCTGAGTCAGAGAATGGTAGAAATGATGTTCACGCCTCAGCTCTCATCCCAAAGCCGAGCAGCTATTCAAAAAGTATTTAGTATCAGAGAAGCCAGCAGGAACTATATTGCAGAATATATTGAAACTGCTCCATATGACTGGGGATTGGGAGGTATGTTGACGTTGGACAACGTTGGCTGGGCAAGACGCAAAGGAACCATGACATGGAGTGGATTACCAAATTTGTTTTGGGTACGTATAGGATTTTGTTAAAGGTTAGGTCTCATCAGGATAAATTGGTTGAACTGATATCCTTGCTTTTTGCAGTTCATCGACCGCGAAGCCGATCTCTGCGGTGTTTACGGTGGGCAAGTGCTCATGAATGGTGATCCACAGACGTTCTGATATGATCTCATTATTCCAGAGAACGATATATGAGCGTGCATCTAGAGCATAACTTGGCATTATTTAATGCAGAACTTTTGCTATCACAAATGACAATATTGACTCGCAACCAATACAAAGTGTCATTCTCTAAGAACAGAGAGGGAATGGTTGGGAATCGATGGTGGTGACTGTGGAGGTCCTGGCAACCGTAGACTGTGAATCTTAGCCGTTAGGATACCTCATCTAGTCGCATTTAGAACTCAGCATCATAGCAATGCATGGTATGAAACGGGGCTCGCCGTCCGCATAGCTCATTGCGTACCAGTCTCCCTGGTTGTAGCTCTTAACTCTGGGAACGTCGAAATTATTCTTCATCAGATTAACATAGCTCAGTTTCTGCTAACCTTTTGGTTTCAGCAAGGTGTCCCCTTGTGTCTCTTCACACTTCTTGTGCTCTATAGCCGTCTTCCAGCCACATATTTTCCAGTTTATGTTTCAGACGCCTCATGGCCTCAGAACATACCAGAGCTGCTTCGCGATCAGCTTCAATTTCTGAGGTGCACTCCTTTGAAAGAGCTTGGACGAATGTATTCCGATCCTTGACCTCGTCAGCGGGCATGAATATAACTGGGTACTCCGTACTCCGTAGATGGGCCGTTAACTGTTCTTGTTTCCAGACAGCCACAAAACGGCGATACCAAAACAGCGCGCACGTTTTCTTGGCTGTGGTAAAATGGCCTGGCAGAAGTATTCTCGACAGGACAAGCCGTGGCAAACCGAACCTCGCCATAAGGTTACCATATCAGGATTTTGTTGGTCCGAAAAACCCTTACATTTCCAAGATCTCATGGTAACCTAATTAGGAATCGTGCGAGAACCATAATCCAAATAGAGAACTGTTGGAGCACTGTAGGATTCCTATTATCTTTCAGAAAACACTTTCTTTTGGGAAATGAGCTCAGTTCTAGAATGTAACTGGAATTTGAACTGTGAGATTGGGGGTTTCATTTCAAATTGAAAGAACCTTTTCTTAATTTTGAAAACTAGATAACTACTGTAGTGATACAATTCCTGCTGCTTTATAGATCACCCTGACTGAAAAACCAGTTTTGGAAATCTTTGCTGCTAACATTAGAAGTAACATTTGTATCAGCTTTTTCAGCATTCTTACTTTCAGCACCCTTCTTGTTGGCATTCTTGTTATTGACATCCTTGTCAGCATCATTCTTGTCAGCATTATTCTTGTTGGCATTGTTCTTGTTGACATTCTTGTTGTTAACATTATTCTTTTCAGCATTCTTCTTGTTGGCATTGGGATTTTTGACCACTGGCATGCTTGGCTTTGCAGAAATGATGATTTGTGTTGGAGTCATATCATGAGAAGAAGACACACTCTTTGATGCCATATTTTGTTGCTCTGTCAGAGTAAACAGTCAGTATATTTCAGAAAATGTTATTTGCACACATACTAGTTGAAAATGAAGAAAATTAAAAACTCCTGATTAGAGTTGGGGTTTCTGGAACAGTTTATGACAGCAAGAAGCTTTTATTAATTGAGAAGCAGGTTCTTTTTGCTTCAGTATCAGAAGCACCATTAAAAGAACATTTCAACTAATTTACTCTTATTAGATCTTTTTTTTTAATTCAATTCTAAGAGAATATCTTACAGCATGAGAAGAAAGAGAAGTATTTGCAGATGAAGCTGAGTGAGTGGTAGCAGCAAGAGCTGCATGAAGATCTGAATTAATAAGTTATGGCATATTCTTTTGAAAGTTAGAATCTTTGTCTTAAAGATGAGAAGTAAACTTACATAAAGAGTATTCTTTATATCAGAAACTGTAACAAAGTTTATCTCTTGAATTTCCTGAATTTCTTTCAAGATCAAGAAAATCTCTTGAAGAGCTTTAATAACTTCACCATTTAATGTATCTGGCTTATTATTAACAGAAGAAGTCTCTTTTGGCATATTTGCAAAAACAGTTTTCAACTTTTTATTAATAGCTTGAGCAAAAGTAACAACACTCACTTCATAAGTATTCTTGATAACAGTATTCATTATATTCACTCATTTGAAGTATGCACTTTGCAACTCAAGAATCTGATTGATTATTATTTCAGAAAAGTCACAGCAATGCTTCTTGTCTTGTGAGCAGTTTGAGCAAGTATTATCAGAGCTCTGAATATTATTACAGAGCTTTTCAAGATTTTTCAGAATTATATATGCTATAACACATCATTAACAGAAAACTAATAGCTCATCTGAAGCTTTATCTTTTAGTTTACAGTCTGGCTTGTTCTCTTTCAGAGTTTTATACATGTTCATTATTTTGACATGTTTTTTCTGTAAAATGCATCAGCTTTTACTAATTTCATATATCTCAGATTTATCTATCTTTGCATAATAAAGTATATCAACAAATTCAAAAAGAAATACTGATAGAAGAGAGAAGAAGACAGAAATGAAGATTAGAAAGACTTAAAAAAAGAAAGAGAGAGAAGAGAAAGAGATGAAGTTGTGAAAGAGATTATTTATATACACAAGAGCTGTCTCAATTAGATAGAACTTTGTTAACATGTGCTCTACTAGATGTATTGATTTTTATATTATCTATACAACTCCAACAAGCAATTCTCTAGCAGATTTTTGGCAGGAATTCTTGAAACGAAGAATTTAGTTGATTTCTACTATACAGCTGCTTTGTCTGTCAGATTATCATAAGAATTATTACAGCTTCAGTGCTGCTCAGGTTTGAATTCTATATCTCATATATATACATGCTAATTAATATACAGATGTCTCAAGAGAGCTTTACATCATTAATTTAGCATTTTGCAGTTTATTCTTTCAGCAGAGCCTCATCTGAAAATTGAATCTTTATAAGAATTGCTAACTTATTAGCTTCAGAAGCTGAAACTCTTATCTTCTTCTTGATCTTCTTTCTCTTTTCTGTAAAGTTCTCTTTGTTAACATTCTCATATTGCAGATGTTATCTTATATAGTTTCAAAATTTGAGAATTTCCTGTCATACTCTAATGGCTTTCTTCTTACAGCTTAATTTCTTTATGAGATTATCATGCAGTTTGATCTGCACCATCAAATTGATGTATATCTCTAAATCAAAATCAGTCATGCTTATTATCTTATATTTGTCTTCAATTCTGATATATGCTTGATATACTATTGTTCTAATTACTTTGATTTCTTATAATTAATAATTGGCTCTGTCCAGAAGAAAATCTCAAAGAATTTTTCAAAATCAAAGTGCTTTACAAAATATATAAAGAGTTTATCAGAATTCTGGTAACATTACATATTAATATTGAAACTATTCTTGTGATTAATCTTCTTTATATTCTTGACATGCTTCTGCTAGCAGTTGGTAAAAGATTTTTTAATATTACAGAAGTGATATACTAATACTTATCTTTCTTAATATTTTATATTTTCAGTTCTTTAAAAACTTCAGAACAGATACTCTTGCTAAACTGAAGATATATAAGTCTTTATTATTTATTTTATATACTTTCTCTATAATTTTAGGAAGTTTTTTCTTGCTGAATATTATGAGATATATTTATCTCACTTGCTGTTTCAGGGCCTTCTCTTTTAATTAATTCTCTCTCTTATATTCTTCTGCATCAGAATGCTAAACTCTTTGCTTTTACTTCTTGCTTCTTTTCTCATTCTCTTTATCTTTTTTGAGATTCTAATCTTGTTTTATATTTATTTTCTGTGTGTCTGTATTGATTTCTGCAGCAGCAATCTCATCAAAGTCATCTATATTAAATTTATTGAAAAAGAAAGCTTCATCATTCATGTTGAAGAATTTAACTCTGAAACTCTTGTAGAATTTTGAATATACTATAATCTACATTAATTACAAGCTTTCTGGCTCCAGTATGAAAGCAGTTATTTCTGACTTCATATTCTATCAGCAATTTCCTCCATATTTTCTATTAACAAATAACAGATAATCTTTACTTTCCAAAAAAGTAATTAAAGACACTTTATCTTAAGAGTATTTCACATATTTCTTTTACAACTTTATACAATTAATAGTAGTCTTATTATTAAAATGTCACATCCAAATCTCTGAAAAGTCAAGAAAATTATACTTTAAGATTCAAATTCAAGCAATAATACTTTAATTACCAGTGAACAACAGATTCAGGGTCAAGCAAGTAGAGAGTGCATTCATCAGTTAATTAAACATGAAAGCAGTGCTTATCTGACACTACTACAGTCAGAACAGCTGGAGAATTTGGTATCAATTTCTGATGATGACAAATTTGATTTTATAGTGTGAGAAATTGTTTATCAGAATTATTAAATGCTGAGACTAATATTATATAGTCTATATTAGATACTGGCAATGGCAATGCTGGCCCAGTATATATCAACAATGATAATTAATTATATGAAATATTGAAAGATGCTGCAGCTGATGCAAAATTATCATATCTAGAATACAAAACTCCAGTTAAAGAAGATTCAGAAATTAATAAAGATTCAGAGTTAATGAATACTCAAGTAATAATGCTGATTCTTGAGAATAAATTATCAAAAAGTATTCTATACTTACAGGTCAAAGCATATAATCAAATAAATCAATTCCTAATATCTCTTATATTATAATGTGAGCATACAGGCATATTTTGACAGCAATATTAATCACTGAGGGAAATTCTCCAGAATCTGACAGATATTAAGTTATTGAAACTTATGCTTACTAAATTGTTAATATTAAAGAAGAGATGCCAGTCATAATTTCTAATACTATTTATCTGTCAAAAACTACTGTCTGTCATCTCAAAGAAAATACTGATATTATCAGATGCAGATAAAAGACTTGCTCAAGCAGTATTGCATACAAATATATATTTTTAAAATCTCATTATATTAATATCTACACTTGTGAAATCATCAATTTTTCAGAAGAAACTGCATATAAAAATAACTGAATTAATTAATAACTCAAGAGAGTTATAATAATCTTGAAGCTGGAGAAGCTTCATTAAATACTTTTTAGATAAATTTGCATATTACTACAATGACAAGTTTATATTTCTCTCTAATTTTATTCTCTACTAATGCTGCAACACCAACTACCCCTGCAATAAAGACTTAATGAACCATGACCATTTAGAAAGAGTTCAATTTATTAATTTAGAATAAAAGATCAAATTCAATTGCTGAAAATATAATTACTTTCTGAATTTAACCAGTATACTGATTCATGCTGACATTTTATGATGGGAAATTAGTTTATTTGAATTCACAGCATCACTCAAATAAAGTTCTTGCTCTTGAAAGTCAAGAAACATTTGTTTTGGAAGACAATATTCTTTTCCAAGTTAACATATATCTTGACTATGGATTCAATATGGAGAATTCAGAATATGAGCTTCTGAATGCTTAATATTTCATGCAGCAAGTGCTAACTTTGAAATCAGGAACACTGAAAGCTTAACTGCTTAATATAAGCACTTCACTACATGATGAGCTAGAAATAGTGGCATATGATAGAGAGATATTGAAATAAACATTTTCTAATAGTAAAAAGATTATATTCATTTCATACTAACTTTTTATTAATGGATTCAGCCTATACCAGAACATGTACTAAAGTCTTATGAGTGTCTACATAATATCTGTCAGCATGAAAGCTACCAAAAGAGTCAAGTATAATAATGTTTATATAATTACTTTTAGGCCACATGAAATTAATTTTTCTAATGTGATTGAAGTCTTGGAGTCTGATCTAGCATTACTTGATAAGAGTATTAATGTGAATATTTCTAGTAAGAGAGTTACTAGAGTTATTTTCTCTTGTCTCTGTTTTCTTGAGAATATATCACAACAGAATGCCAATACTAGAATAAAAGAGTTTACAGCAATACAGTCTTGTTAGAGCTGTATGATTTCAGAGAATCAGCAACATAACATGAATTTTAATATTATTACTGAAGAACACTATCATTTTCAGATTCTGCAGCAGAGAGAAAAAATTAACTTTACAAAAACTCAAGCTTTAAAGTAAAGTCTCTGCAAGAAATATAGAATAATTAAAGAGTAAACAGTATTACTTAAAATATATTTATCTCTTAATCTAGTGATCTTCTTTTCTTCTGACCCATGTTACAGTGAATTTTCAGGAATATTAAAACTGGCACACTATTTATTGATTTCAGTAATTCTTATACTCCATAATTAAAAAGAATACTGTAAATTACTTTAGAGATTTCTATTTCATCAGAGATAAGCCTATCTTTAATCTCTACTTACTCATTTGAAATTCTATTAATTACAGAAGCATACACAAGCATCTATTATAATTCTGCTTCTTTTCTGATGCTATATGATTCAGAAATGAATAAATCTAGCAGTATAATAAATAATGCCTGTAACATTTAAAGATTACTCTGGAAGATCAATAAAGAATTTGATTATTCAGATTTATACTAGAATTACATGCAGTAATTCTGTTCTAACATCTTAATCACCAGCTTAATTTATCTCTGCAGAATTGTGAGAGATTATCACAATAGTCTGATAGAATCTACAAAGTTTAATTGATGCTGCTGCATCAGCTGTTAAGACTATTTATCTAGCAGGCACTCAAGCAGGGTCTAGAGCAGCTTTTATAACTAGTACAAGGCCATCTCCTGTCCCAATTGTGGAAAATTTCAATTCAAAGAAGAAGATAAAGATAATTTAAAGTTTTAAAAACTGTTTAAATATGCATGTTAACATACATTATTTAGCACAAGTAAATAAATATGCAATTCTGAACAATTGTAATGTTCTCATTAAAGAGAACAAGCATCAGAAATACAAGAAGCTGATTCAGAAAACAAACAAGCAAGATATTGAAAAGATTCTGTTAATACAAGAGAGCTTCAGACATATACTGCTTCTACTACTTGAAGAAGCATTTATCAATAGTAAGTTATTCTTGATCCAGTACATCTTTAATCTGTATAAGTACTGTCCAACTCTTTTTACAGACTTACTCCAGCTGAATATCAATCTGCATGAAAATGAATTTGAGATACTGAATACTGAAGACAAAGATATTACTGGTAAGTATTCTTCAAATCTCTGGACACAACAATCTGCAGAAAAAATGGTGTCAGTGCTAGATATCTTGAATATACAGCTATTCATATTACTGAATCTCCATCCATTTTTGCAGAAGCTCTGAAATGCATATAAGAAAGATTGAAATAAGTCATTTATAATGGAACCAGGCTCAACTGTAATATAATTCTATAAGAATATTACTTTTTCACTTGGAGACCAGTAAATCAAACTAATAATTGATGATTTGATTAAGTATATATATAGAACCAGCTTCATTATCAGACAAATTACCAGCATCTTTATTCATAAACTGCATATAAATGAAAGGGTATTTTTTTCAGTAATTCTGGCATTAAAAATGATGAGAGATCAGGTTTTAAATCTACCAATTATGCAAATAGATCTAGAGAGCAGCAACTACATCATTATTGGGCTTTCTGTAATTAAAAAGCTGAGTCTTTATGCTGTACTGATTAGTGAGATGTTGGATGCCAGCAGCAATCTGGTTTTCAGTGATCAAAATTCTGGAACTTTTCTATTATGCATCTGGGATGTTTCATTTCTCTGAGATTTGCTTGCTTTATATGGAGTACATATTTGATCAAGGACTAGAAATGAATGGTGTCTGGAACCAGGATTGTAGTAGTTAATTCCTGACAGCATTCCAACTAGGTTTCTACTAATATTCTCAGCAATTCTGAGAACATTCCTGCCATTTCAAAATTATTCTACAGCAATTGGGAACATTTCTTAGACAGGGGAACCTTTAAAAATGAGAACTGTTTCCTATTTGGGAACAGTAAACATGTCATTCCTGCTGCAGGAACCTTTCAGGCACTGTTTATGGTGGGTTCATCAGGGTTTCATGGTTTTTCGGGCCTACAAAATTCCGATATGGTAGGGTTCGGGCCATTGGGGGAATGTTTCCCCTGATCGGCACGGTCCGCCGGATTTTGCCGCTGATCAAACAACCCCCCTAAACTTTAACGCGTTATTCGCGCCTGTGAGTTCGCGTTATCCTACCCGTGATATCACTTCTACCCAGGCGTATGGGTACGGCCTATCCATTGATGATAGTATAATTGCAGTGTTTGGCGATTGGATATTATCACCAAGGCAGCTCTAGGCCGACTCAATTACTCCTTACGGAGCGCTGGAGAAATTCAACCATATTCATGCTCTTGACTCAAGCCACGGCTTCTCAATGAACCTTTCGTTCATCATGATGACGTATCTCTGGAAAGAGAGTTAGCTTCACCTATGTATCGCGAAGTACTTGACCTCTCTCTCGCTCTTTTGTTCTGGCCACCTTCGCGACATGCCAATTAGGTATCCGCTTACTTTGAACCTCATTGATCGGTCGGATAGGCCCGAAACACGCACCTCTTCTGGTGCTCCACTCACGTAGCATAGCCATATAGGTCCCATCTCTCAGCCCAAGCCGGAATTCCAGATGTTTCAAGGTGAGAGAGTGTGGGAACCTCATTGGCAAAACCGTTGGCCAAATGCGTGGATCCGCGTTCCCCCACACCGATCATCATTGTCCATCATAGCACTTTCTCCACTCACATTCACTGGGTAATTCTGTGCATTCAGCCAACTTGAAGCTGCTGCCTAGACACATAGGTCAAATGCCCAGATGAGTACAAGATACAGAGTACACTTCATTCCTATCTCACGCAGCAGACTGAGACCACAGAATGGCACAGGGTTTAGTTACAGGAATCTACTCCTAGCTCACCTTTTCAGGAACTCAGAGGTATATCACAAAGCATACCCCGCATTGCATAACTTCTTCTTGGTGGTGGTATGTATCCCGGCCAAGATCAATCAGGATGTTAGGAGCTCAAGCATCACATAAACACCGATGCTAAGGACAGACTTCTTTACCAATAATAACAGGTTCAACTAGTCCACCCAACTTCCTTGGAACGCGCCGCACGAAGGAGAGACGTATGCTGTGGGGAATTCCAAACACCCCCTCACTACGGATTACAATTGCCATGTTATGCGGTTTTGCCGGCAGGATTTTCAGAAATCCCCAGGGTAAAATAAGATGTCCACCCGTCTGCTCTTGCTGATTCTGGGGGAAATGACAATGGCTGGAGGGAATTAAATGTTGGACTTCAAGCATGCTAAGCAGAAATATTCCATTAATGATCATCCCCTTGTTATTGAAGGGACTACTAACTTTTCGTCTTCCTTGCCCCCCTAGTATGTTACTGGCAGCTCAATTGCACCGTGTCCAGGGCCTTAGACCTGCCTCCAGAAGCGGAATACTGAAGTGGAAATGTCTCACTCGACTTCGTGTGAGCTGGGATGGGATCTCGGCTGAAATTTTTGACACGGGATCCCACAGGCCACATCTTTAGTGAAATGGATTTGGAGCGGAGTAAAATATTCAAGGATAGCTCTTTGGAATGAGGCTGAGAATATTAGCTACAATGTTACATTTGACAATTTGAATCCCAAGTTCTTCGTATTTGTCAGTTTCACAGTATCGCAGCCTCATACAAAAGCACCGAGAAATGACCAGAATTTTACTGTAAGTATATGCAAGGTGTGGCCTCAAGGAGGATGGGGGAGAATCCGATGCATTATCATTTGATTCACTGATGATTACGCATTGGGTGAATATCAGGTATTCTGGGGTTCAACATCAGCGATACCACCTAGGGACTTGGGTCACGAGAGGGATTTCTATTTCGGCCTAGTTGTATAGCGGTATTCTCAACGCAACACCGAAGCCAAGCATGAAAGCCACGCAATATCTCTGCCTCCCAGGTTCTTAGCGCAGCGGCTACTCTTATTATTGCTTGTTATTCAACATCCATGTCTAGCGCGTTGAACTTCACTCTTTCGATCGTTTTCTACTTTTAAAGTAGGAAACCAAAGACCAGAAAGCCTAATAATCCTTTTCATATTGTAACTGGAATCTAATAGAGCCATGCAAACTTATTTCCATATGCGCAAACTTGCCAAATGCAGTCTTCTGTCATGGACGGACAGTAGACGTAGTTTCCTCCATATGATCATTGTTAGAAGGCTGAATTGATCCCATGACATTGAGCTCCTCATCGATTTTGTCGTAACCCCGGAACACCAGCCAGAATATTGGGGCACCAACAATCATCACCACTGCTAATCCCGTATATAGATATAATATCTTTGGGTTCTGCGCAAGTGGTGAGAGAGCTATGCCAAATGCAGATCCAATACCTGCGGTTACCTGTCGCAATGCTTGCACCAAACTGCGCATGCCCTGGGGTGCTTTGGAGTAGCTGTACTCAGATAAGGTTGCAAATCCCAGAATCTCCGCACATGCTAGCAGGATGTATATGGGTGTTTGCGCCCAGACACTGATGTCGTTGGGTATACTGCCGTTCTTCGAATCTGGACAAGCAAGCGGGTGGTCGTAACATGGTCCCCTCATATATATCAACTTTTGTAATCCTGCGGTAAAAGCCATCGCGGTACTCATTGTAACAAATGCTGAAGTCATGCGAGCAATAGGTCCAAATGCAATTCCATGCTTTTGAAGTGTAGGATAGAGAAACTTTTGTATTACTGGGCCCAGAAGAACACAAGCGATGGCATTGAGTGCCTGAACCATATCATTTGGGGTTCCACCCAGCCGTGTCTGACCAGCTTGGGAGACCAAATTGTTTGTGATTTGGCTTGTACATAAGTAGAATGGTACAAAGCACGCCCTGGCTAAAATGTTAGCAAGTGACATACAAGACAAGGCTTGCGAAGTGACAAACATGACTTTACAGGCTATGAGACCCCTTTTCATCTCTGAGACAAATTGGTCATCCCATTCAACCTCCCTTCCATACTTCTCTGCTTGAAATGCTGGTTTTGCTGCATCTAATCGAAATCGCTCTCGGGCCGAACATGCAATGACTTTTGCTGCCTGTGGCAGGACGTTCCCCTGTGGCGAGAGCTTGACTTTCCTGTATCAGGATGATGCTTGGGCGGAGGTTAGGTTCTAACAACTTACCAAATTTCTTCTGCCAAAAGAGCATCAGAGGAATCGAAATCCAGACTGAGCACAATCGCAGGAGGTAAGATGCCCAGAAATCAACAGCTTTCTCCAAATAAGTTGAAGCAATCAGAGACAGGCCAGCAATATTGGTGAACCTTACAATATCACATTAGTTGGGTACATGCTTCGGCAACCTGAGGCATTCCTCACCAGTAGAGAACATTATATATATATTGAAGGGTCAACGTTCGATCTGCAATGAGTCTTTCACCATTTTTCGTGACTATCAACTGTGGAGCTGAGACTGTATATTGATCACCTGTCAAAATAGAGAATTAATTTAATGAACCTTAAGGGATTGATTTCAATTACCTATGAAAGGAGAGACAGTGGCTCTGACACCACCTGTTCCAAGTCCCAGAAAAACCATAGAAAGTGCCAATCCAGCAATTTTGATGGAATCCTTTGTCACATATGGAAGTGAGGTAACAAAAAGCACTAAACACCCACAAACATTAAGCCTATCAAGAAGTCAATTTCAGCTAGCATATGAGACGAAAGAGGAACCCACGAAAAACTGATGCACAATGTTTTGTAGCGTCCTAGCCATGCATCTGAGAGAATAGCGAATGGTAGAGGAGACAAAAACGAGAAGAAAGCAAACGCATTGGATATATTTGTAGCGGTTGCTTGACCAAGTCCGAGAACACCTGGGACTGCAATACTGCCACGATCATTTTGTATGTAATTCTCTACAGAATATTAGTACCCGGCTGATATCATGGCTGAATAGCTTGGTACTTACGCCATGGAGCTGTGACAGCATAGAATGTAAACCTTTCTGCTGCAGCGGCTACAAGAGCCACCCAGACAACACCTGGCACTGTGTCAACAACATGCCGTAAATTCTCGACTTCATCTTCAGTTGCTTCACGCTTTTCATATTGTGTTGGCTGAGTATCCATATCATCAACAAGACCTAAGCACAAACACTTTGGTGGGTGTCTATTGTTTGAAAAAATATCAAAGCTTTTGCAAGTCTCTAGAAGCATAGAACTACAACAAATTGTGTGATGGAAGAAATGGGGGAGGTAGCCAGTAGCGCTTTTACATGCATTTCCAGCCAAATGAATCACTAGCGTGTTGGAATGCAGGCTAGATCTCGGCCGATATGTGCATGTATGTAAATGGATACTCCGTACTCCGTACACATACCACATACGTAAACTTACCAGCTTCGCCATGAGTATTGGAAATTCCAAGCTCTTGATGTTTTCCAATAAATATTATATTCCAGAACTATTATGATGAGTTGCTCTAGGTCAGTGGCTGTATATACATGATAACATTTTCTTAGATGAAGCTATCATTCTGTTGCAGTTTCTTTAAAGACTGAGATGTTAGTAAATTCATTGCTATATACTTATGTTAGAGCAGATAACCCCTCTTAAGTTACTCTGTACGGAGTATCTCCTTTTCATATCTCTTCCTGGCACGGAGCCAGAGTTCCCTAAACATACGTCAGCAAATCCCCTCCAGGCGGGCCGCACGCACCGGCATAAGATCCCGGCCACCCCTAGCCCAGAAATAGACAAGAGTGGCTGATCTACAGGGCACTCTTTTTTGTACCAAACATGCAGTCCCCCGGGCTTATAAGATTTTTGCTGATGAAGCTGTTTGCCTAGCATGGATTGAAATCCCATGTAAATAACAATATACTCCACAGAGAGGGTATTATTTACTGATAGTCTAATAGACTCCCAACTTCAATGAATGACTCGAGCTGAAGCAGTTCCTGGTTGGAGTTACATTCCTGGACCCAACAGTTTGGTTCACCCCTGTTTGTAGTGAACTTGTGGGGCATTGCGGGATGAGTGTCGCTTGGTGGCGGTCTGCGAGGTTGAACCCTTGTGTGACATGCGTAATGAGTGGGGTAAGTACCGCATCCACCCTGCTGGTTTCCTTATTTTCATCCAACTCTAACTTTATTAAAAGGAAAGTTTTGAAATACCCCGAGTTCTGAAAAGCACAGCGTTTCATCCCATTGGGCTAAGACTAGAGATCAAATCCATGTTGGTGCAAGTACATTCATTCCTGTGTTTCTTGTGATGCACACATTTACTTCAGTATATCAACTTGAATCTGACTACTTTATGGAGTACTCCATACGTTGCCTATGTTATCCGGTACTTGCCATGCTGGAATTCTGTTATCTCTTCAAACAGTCTCTGGGACCTGCCATTTTACCAGGATGACTTGACAAGGGATCCGAACAAAACATCGACAACAGAAATAGGTTGAATCAGTAAGATAGTGGGGAGAGGAACGCGGCAGGAGGGTTGTCAAATTCCTGGCGGGCAGGGGTGGCGAGTGAGGACATGGTGGGTTCCCAACAATTATTTCAGATAACTAAAGGATTAGATGCTGGATTGGTTAAAGACATGGAGCCTCTGAACTTTGGAGTTTGTCGGAAGTGGAAAATGTGCAGGTATATGTCACCCTAGTTCAACACTTTCTCACTTGCTTGGTACTTGTATATATACCAATACTTCTCCGAACAACATATGTTACCCCAAAGAGTTGACAACTACAATTCTAAGCTGATCTCTACATCCTTATTTCTATTACGGAAATTCCTCAGACAAATACTTGAAGATGGCAATTATCAAATTAAAACCCAAGGTGGCTTTTATTACTGGTGCGAGTGTTCTTAGCCGACTTTCCATGATCAATCTGCTGATTATACCTAGGAATTACTGGCCAAGATGGTTCCTACCTCTGTGAAATTTTGCTGGAAAAGGGCTACGAAGTTCATGGTCTTGTCCGACCAACGCCCCAGAGGCAGCAAGCTCTGAGCCACCCTCTGCGTCATGGGGTGACCTTACATTTCGGAGATATGTCATGTTTCGAGACTCTCCTTCAAATTCTAGGCAGCATCAAACCGGACGAAATATACCATCTCGCCGCCCAGTCTCACGTCGGTATGTCATTTGAGATGCCATTATTGACTAACGACATCAATGCTGGGAACCCTTCGATTGCTTGAAGTGATGAGGGCACTTAAACTGGAGAGCACAACCCGATTCTACAACGTAAGTATGACCATCGGAATGATAGGCATCCAAACTAAGATTCACAGGCGAGTACCGCGGAGTTATTCGGATCCGAAACGACTGCGCCACAAACTGAGGAGACCCCATTTCATCCCGTTTCACCTTATGCTGTATCAAAACAGTTCCAGTTCTGGGCCACAGTCAATTTCCGAGAAGCATATGGTTTCCACGCCTCTAATGGTATTCTCTTCAACCACGAATCTCCAAGACGTGGTCAGTAAAGCATTTTTACTCCCTGGTAAAAGAAGGGAGTCCCTGCTAACTTTCTCCCAAGGAACTAATTTTGTCACACGCAAAATCACTTCGCAAGTTGCACTGATTGCCTGCGGGTTATCAGACTGCTTCGAGCTAGGCAATCTTAATGCTGTCAGAGACTGGGGCCATGCTAAAGATTACATGCGTGGTGTCCACCTCATGCTGCAACAGCCGACGGGCGGAGACTACGTTTTGGCTTCTGGCCAAGCGTATAGCGTGAGGGAGTTTGTGGAAGCCGCTTTCCAAGTCATTGGAGTTAAAATTGAGTAAGTTTACAATACCTATAAACGATTTAAAGCTCACTTTCTTCCTGATGGCAAGCCGGCAAAGTGGAGCGGATTTGGAGAATGGTCCCACTGCGTGCGTGATTATGGAGATGGTCAGTACATGCAGTTCCCCTGGTCAATACTTAGGTGGTGACTGATGTTGTTTAGAAGACGGGGAGGGTGGCCAGGGAGAGGTCGTGCTATGGATATGTGCAGGTGTAGGCGACAATCACGCAGGGAAGAGGGGTTACTATCTCCAAGATGCGAAGTCCGTTTCCGCCGATATTAACTCGACGGACTTACGTCGAGCCTTGGTTAAAAGTCACTCCCTTGACGAAACAAAACTCAACCAGTTAAGCACCGGAGATCTTCTCGAGCTTTTGGCGCCAATCCTGCGGAAAACTTGATTATCAAATACTCCGGAAACCCCATGTTTTATTACGGGCCATTGGAACTGTTTTGTGATGTAACGCAACAAGAGACCCTTTACCTGAGCAGGGAATATGCCAGCTGTACATACATACCTAGATGCCTAACATGTCAGCTTAATCGACGGCGTGCAACCAATCCATAGTAAAAACAAGGATACCTTATATTAAATCGAATCATTATGGTTCGAGCTAAAATATAACTAATTAGTTAGATCTTCCCGTAAGCGCTTTTGACGGGGCTATAAAAGTCGTAACAATAGTAGAATAGCATCATTTGGTTGCAATGTGCCTTCGCTCTGCTGTCTAACGCCCTAACAGGTCTTAACTCCCGCAGTCAAGAACATCGATTGAAAAGTTAGAAATCTTTTATCTAACTCGATTATGGAGGAATCATTCATTTTGTCCAAGTTTGACAGCCTCGTCAAGTCTGGCATAGTTCTATATGATGATCAGCAAACGAGCATTGAGCACATCGATAGAGGGCTCAGGGTAAGCATAGCACAAACCTACAATCGTCAACATCAACACAGTCCTGTTCTAACCACTCCTACTCCAGTTTCAATTTCTTCTCACCTCTGCTCTCGCCAAAAAGCCAACGCTACATTTGCCATCACCCCAAGCGGAGGAGAATAGTGAACTACAACACCAAAGGCGAGACGGAAGTGACATTAGCACCGGAGGTTTTGAGATTGGCAACATCAGCAGCACTCACTTCGTGACAGTGAACAAGTTCTGCTTCGCTAGACCGCATCTCATGCTCCTAACTTCCGATGCACACCGAAAGCAGTATGAGCCTTTAAACGAAAAAGATTTTGAAGCAGCTTGGACTGCTCTAGCCGTGACCACCAGTAGGGACTATGTTGTCTTCTATAACTGCGGCCAAGATGGAGGATGCAGCCGTTTGCACAAGCATCTCCAGCTTATGCCAATGCCCGAACATAGTCTCGCAGCCTTTCTCGATTCTGAGGATGGCAAGGAACCCAACGTCCCATTTCAATGGTTTTATCACCGCCTCAAATCTCAGCATGTTACACCACCCAGTTTAACCACTGTATATGCTGATCTCTTAAGGCAAGCCACCGGGGTAGGGGAGGGTCGCTTTGAGCACGCCGGTAATACCCAACCTGGAACTGCGTGCCCGCACAATATGATCCTTACGAATCGATGGATGCTGGTGCTCCCAAGGCGACGAGGATCCATCAACAAAGAGGCAGGAGTGAATGCAATGGGTATGCTCGGGCTCATCGCCGTGGCGACAAAAAATGAGATCGATAACTGGGTACGGCTGGGGCTAACAGAAGCCTTGAGAGAGCTTGGAGTGCCCAAGTGAAGAGATAGAATCATTGAAATCCATATCTGCACAAGCCGTTGATGTCGTTTCCTTAGGAGGATGCTTGAGAGACGCTGCACCTTGTGTTGGTACTTTCCAATTATTTTCCGGATCTCGTCGTATAAGGCAAATCTTCTCGCGCCTTACTGGGCTTGTCGGTAAGGTGCCATTTGTGAGAGTGTGATAGATAGATGGGGTCAGAGTTACAATTAACACGTCTTATACGAATTCGCCTTTTGAGTATCAATAAGCTTCCTTGCAAATACGTCCAACTACTTGCTACTCGTGATATAGGCAAAATGAGAGTGTCGCCGAAAGGGGTTTCTCGTGTAGGTGTGGTTAACTAACTAGTTAGTTCAAACAAGACAAATGATGCAAACACGGAGTGTGTTCGCCGCGTTGTCGCGGTTCAACCACTCGACGGCGGCGGCAACGTCAAGAGCGAGCTGGGATTCAGTCCCGAACAAAGAAGCTGTACAACGGACTCCGTCTCATTCCTAATTCCCTCCAAACCACGTCCTCAGTTACCGCTGGTCCAGGCCAGGGTGAAGTGGAAGCTCAGCTCATCCCGCAATGCCCCACCTGGGTGAGAACAGGGGTTAACCAAACTGTTGGGCCTGGGAATGTAACTTCAACTAGGAATTGTTTCAGGTCTACTCCGTACTCCGTACTCCGTAGTCATTTATTGGAATTGGGAGGCTATCAGACTAGCGGTAAATAGTATTCTCCCTGTGGAGTATAGTATCTATAAGTAAAAGTCACAGAGAGCAGACAGAGAATTGTTATATTTACGAGATTTTAATCCAGCTGTCTCGAAGGGCCTACAAGGCTACTAACCATATGCGGAAGCTATAGGAACCACGGAACGTGAACTCCATACATCCGTCCTCTCGCTCTCTCACCTCGTAAGAGGTTGAGATGAGAACCGGGATGAAAACTGGAGGAGATTTCTCGAACCGCTTCGAATGCCTATGGGGACTTTTTAGAGTATGAAACTGCTCTGCGTCGGATCAAAGAAGATCCGAGCCGCTAAACTGGAGGCTAACTACATAGAGACTAGTGTCTCGATACCATGCCATACAAGCAGCTTTCCAGCCCTTGGTATTTCTTTAATAGACATTATATTCCAGAGGTATCGTAATGAGTTTCTCTAGGCCAGTAACTGTCCACACATGGTGACAGTTTCAGATAAAGCTATTATTCTATTGCAGTTTCTTTTAAGGACTGAGATGTTACTTAATGCATTGGTACATACCTATGTTAGAGCAGATAGCATCTCTTTATCTTCTCCTCATACTTGATCTCAGCATGGACTATGTTGGAATGCAGGCTAAGTGTCGGCCGATACATGCATGTATGTACGGAGTACACACACACATACTATGTAAACTGACGAGCTTCCCTGTGAGTAGTGGCATCAGCGTCAGGTCTACAAACGGGAAGATCCTTGCTCAATGATCCCCAAAGGTGCATGGATTCCATTATTTGATGAAGGCAACAGTTAGATGCATTTGACAAGGGAGTTGTGGCAAGATTCCGTTGCTTTCCGCTGTATCCAAAGGCGTGATCTCAAGAACAACATGTGTGCCTAACGGTACTGTTGTGATTCATTCGAAACTCGAGATGATTAGGCCCTAAGTATGGAATCCCCATTAGGTAGGGAGCCTATATATGAAGCAACAAAGTTGCCAGGGGCAATTTCTCAGAATCCAGCAATACATTATCTTCGTCTCCCTTTCGGCTCATAACTATGATTCTCGCTGTCGTATGGCAACATCACAGATAGTCAGGCCTTTAAACATATCATCCTCAATTGAATTTGCGGCAGGACTTATATCAAGGATCACCATTTGAAAATTATTAGCCTTCCACCATACACCTGAGTTCACCTGTGAGCATCAACAATGGAACTAGAGTATATGGGAAAGAATAGCATTGGGGATGAAGCATTTGTCTCTGAAGCCTTCTTGGTTGATGTCCCCAGCAGCAAAGGTAGACTCACTTACTCTTGTGAAGCGTCCTAGTTAAACTAATTTAGATTGTATGGCTTAGCTCTGGCAAAAGTTTCATGTCGTTGGAGGCTTTCTGCATCAACGACGGATGTGGATGCGCGACAATATTTTCATTCTCTTGATCTGCTGATGGGAATCGTTCTTATCTCGCGTACTAATGAGCCATGCGAAGACAACAAAAACGGAGATCTTATTCCGTATGCCACTGGCACCGCCCTCGAGAATCTTGTCCACGCGTGTTGCACGATTCGAGCATCAGTCGATCAAATCGAAGTGGCAGCAAAGGTGATACTTGTCTCTCGCAATGGATACATGTGTAGGAGCGATATCCTCGAATTGAGAATGCGGGATTCCGCATTTGTCGGCTCAGTCATTCGGTTCCCAACTTCCGACGGTTATTTTTCACCGAATTACAGCCCATGGCGAAAGGAGTCTCCTTGCTCTATTGTCTTCGGCTCCTGGAGCATTGCTTGTGAAGCGGTCTCCAACGTCGTATTACGAGGCACTAGATCTGATAGAGGGAGAGTTGAGAGTTCGGTTGTCTTTCGATTGGGTGCTTCCGACTAAAGCAGCCGTACGCAAAGTAGCCGTGATAGGAGGGCGCCCCATGTTTGATAGGCAGAAAGGATCATTCGGTCACCAAGGAACATTCGAAGCGGCCCTAGCTCTGGGTATATCGGTGGTTGTGGTTGATCGACCGGGACATTGGCTCGAAGAAGAAACCTATTCTTACCTAAGGGATGACTTTATTCCTGTTGATGTGACCGACGATGCGAAACTGCCGTCGAGGATTGCTGAAGTACTGAAAGGGAGAAAGATCCATGGTATCGTTACATTTTCAGATGAATTCGTGATCGCAACTGCGAAAGCAGCGGGACTATTGGGTCTTCCAACCGAGCCCATATTAGCAATCTTGAATGCCCACAACAAGTACGAGACGCGCAAATTAATTAAATCAAATATCCAAACACTGCGACTGGACAGGGTGGAGCAACTGTGCGACTCTTCCGGCCGCAAAGGTCAGAAGTATGCAATACCCTTTAGTTGTCAAACCGTGCCAGAATGGCGGCTCCCGTGGCGTCAAGAGAGTTGACAACTATTCGAGCATGCCCCAGGCCATACGACAACTAGAAGAAGCCGGGTTTTCAAAGTATGGAATTCTCCTCGAAACGTATGTTGATGGCCCAGAGGTAGATGCCAACTTTGTTCTTTGGGATGGGGAGATTCTTTTCTTCGAAATATCAGATGACTTCCCATGCCAGGCAGATGCAATAGACGCGACAGTTTCGGATAATTTCGCTGAAACCGTCGTGTTACTACCAAGTCGACTGGACACCGAAGAAATAGAGCTTATCCGGTCGTCGCTGCACCAGAGCCTTCTCCAATTGGGATTCCGCTCTGGTGTTTTCCATCTTGAAGCCCGGGTGCAGAACTCTTCCATGCGCTATAAAGAAACCAATGGCGTCCTAGATCTTGCTGACGCCGATTCAACAACGGAAAGTAAGCCGGATGTGTTTCTGATCGAAGTCAATGCTCGACCGCCCGGTCTGCAATCTGTGTTTGCGACCACGTATACGTATGGTGTGGATTACTGTGCGCTTCAATTTCTTCGAGCGCTCGAGGACGGCGAGCGTTTTAAAGCTCTGTCAAAATCTTTTTCATGCCAAGCTCAGTACTGGTGTGAGCTTGTTATGATTCCTATCCATCGTGAAAAAATCGTGGTACCGGATGACTTTTGCGAGAAAGTGATTGAACAACTTCCAGAAATTGGTCCATATATGTCTCGGGCAGAATGTATTGTATCTGCAAAGGTTGTATCGCCGGTAGGGGGCACCGGGTTTATAGGTTATTTCTTGTTATACTCGAGGACCAGCAGAAGGCATTTGTTGGAAATGGGTGGTCGTATTAAAGAGGTTTCTAAAAAGATCTTGGATGGCATTTGATCAGCCATAATGAGATGGAGATAAGATAAGATCACTGATTCAAAATGAACAGTTGATTGAGTGCGAGAACTACCTGCCAATATCCTTTTAAACAAAGAACGTAAATTTCCATTCTAGCAATCAATCTCGGAGCTAGTGAGATAGCAGAAATCCTTTCGTTGAAGCCTGTCATCCATTTGATGAAATTTCCCTGGCGAGAGCTATTTAGGAGCAGGAGTAGCAAGTTACTCCGTAGAAGCTGTTAAGGTTGAAAGATTGCACCACGTGACATCTGAGCGGCTGATAATTTTTAGAAGTCAAGCAAACATGTCAAACATAATAGTACTCATTGGCATCAAACTCTAACATCCCACTTCTTTTCAGGAAGGACATATACCAGATAAACCTTTGAAGGAGGAAATGTATTGATGCTACAGTTCTCTTCTCTCTGTCTGATAAGATGATCACATTGCTCACATGGTCTTTGGGTGACAGAATGAGTGGCATGGAGGAATCACTTCTTGTATTCTTGAGACAGCATCTTTAGGACCCACTAAAACTCTGGAAAAGCCCCTGTGAGGGGAGTGGTTGTTTAAGTGCAACAACTAAATTGTTGCCAAAGGAAACAAAGATCATACAGAGCACACATACATGTAATACTTTGCAGAACAAGTGCCCATTTGTTCCTACCTTGAGATTCTATAGTGTAGTCACATTTGGCCCTTTTCATCTACTACTTATATCATACATTCTAGACATGATATTGATCCAGGCATGGTCTAGTCTGTCACATATAACAAATTATTCACACAATGTCAACTGGATAGGACCTTCTGTTAACTGAGAGCATTTCAACAAAGTGATGGTATTGTGCTTGAGAAAGTTCATAAAGTAGGGTTTAAAGAGCTTTGCATTGATGAGCCTGTTCAAAAATATCATCTCAGTTATGGAGTTTAATGACATAGTTTTCTACCCATCATCATGGCAGCATTGTTATATGTGAAGCTCCTCCATTCTTTTCTTGAACATAATAACTCTGCCTTGGCAACTGGATCAGTGTTTCCCCCATCCTGCAGCCAGCCATCTCTGTCTATCGTCATTTCGCCATGTCTTATGAAGAATTCCGGTACTGTGTTGATTCAGTACAATGTATGGTCCCCGCGGAATGCCGGCCTGAAACGATAGGCTGGTTGTCCTGCAGTCTGCCGTCATGGTTTGGGCAAAAAGAGGGGAGAGCCAGGACCTTTGCGGAGTTTTGCCGTGTGCTTCTGGCGACAACAGAGATGCTTTTCTTGATGGGTTGCCTGCGCCTGTAGCCAATCCTTTTCTGCCATCTTGCGTATACGGGAAACCGCCCACCGGTCCTGTTGGACATGCGCTTCGGAGATCGGGAATTGCGTTCTATCTTTGAACACAGACCGGGAGAAGCTGAAGTCGCCTCTCCGTTATGACCCGACATTGAAACCAATTTTGCTTTTCCTCACTATGCAAATTTTTAAAGAACTGTCAGTCGTGCTGAAGGCTGTTGATTTAAATCCCACCCGCTGCAAGGGCTACGTGCGCCGAGGATTTGATGGGAGTAAGTACATCTTTTAGCCATACACCAAATGCGCTAAAACGAAAGAATTGGATTGCTCACAACACATCAAACGCAGCATCTGAAATGGCATCGGAAGATGTAAAGAAACGGCAGTTTTCTGATGTCAAAAGTGCGTGTACATAACGGCACAATGCTTGTTAGCCGACAACCATGTCCTTTGCCAGCTGCAACCCCCGGTCAGGATCGCTGTCTCTCCATCACCCTTCAAGTGAATATGGCCAGGTGTGCTTTTCGCTGAACGGCGGGTTGCTACTTAACAGCAACTGGTTCGCTTGCCAAACGTCGCAAAAGACGAGAATCCACCTGCAGCCCATATCCGAGCTTGCATTTTCCCTTCCCGCAGCGCTCTACCGGCCTCCTTCAAGCTTTCCCTGTAATGCGGAGTATGTGATGGCCGAGAATCAGACGACGGACTTCGCAGCTACCGATATTCCCCTGAATTCGCTTCCTCACCCCCAGCTGGCACGCCCTGGCCGCGATCCCGATCGTTCCTTACAGCAAGACTTGGAGAACGGCATAGGAGATAGGACCTGTGAAGATCGTATTCTTCCGAATGGGTACCGACGATCGCAAGAAATGAGTCCCGATGATGAACTCGAAGGGAGAAATCGCGAAGAAGTTATCCCCCACCAAATACTTCCGTGGATGCGCAGGCCCGGGAGATCGACGGAACACCTGCGTAAGTGCGGCGCGATATGCACGTGGATACGCGGTCCGGAGGTGCCCCGAATTTCACGAATAAATCCATTCTTTCCAAATATCCAGAGAGCGCCCATCCGACTCCTGGATCGATGGCTACCAGGACGAAAATGGAAATTCGGCGTTCTTTCAATTTTCTGCGCTCTGTGGATTGTGTCGTTCTCGTTAACCCTTCATCAGTCAGTGATGGGCCCCGTCCTCCCAGGCGATGAGCCTACTGCTCAATTATCCTGTATCGCAAGTTTGTGGCCAAACGGCACAGACTGTGGACTGGACGGCGACCTTTGTAGGCCTTTCAACGCCAGCTCCTTCGCGTTTCGCTGTCCTGCATACTGTTCAAGGGTTAAGGCTTTCGAGCCCTACGCAGTAGGCGCTGACGAGATATTATACAAGACTATAGTGATCGGAGGCCATTCTGACAAAGAATATCCAATATATCGCGGAGATTCCTTTATCTGCCCAGCTGCACTGCATGCCGGTATTATTAGCGATAAAACCGGAGGCTGCGGCCTCTTGTCGCGTCTCGGCGAGCAAAGTAATTACCCTGGTACCAAAGCCAACGGGGTCTCAAGCACTGCGTTTCCTTCATATTTTCCCTTGTCGTTCACTTTTGAAAAACTCTCAGATGGCGCGGATTCTCAATGCCAAGATTTACGCTGGCATTTGCTTGCTTTATCAGTGGCCTTCACTTCGCTGCTGTCACTCTTTACAGCTTCGGGCGCGGTCTTCTTCACTTGCTCCTTCACTGGGATCTTTTTGCACGTCGCTCTTGTGTCGGATACACCCGAGTCCTACAGCTTTTCTAGTGTTGTTTCTATCGCATTGGCGAGATTCCTTCCTGCAGGATTTGTCGCGTTTGCGATCTATTACTTCTGGGCACGGATAACTCTCCGTAACCTCGATGCTCAGGTGGAGAAGACGATTCTCTGGCTTGGAGGTTGTTGGGTTGGCGCTTTGCATAATTACACGCTTGATCGTATTCCCCTATCTCGACTGACACCACACGACCTGAAGCAACAGCCTGGCGCGATATTTGCACTTCTGATTTTGGTTCTCGTGATCGCCGCAATAGCCTTGGTCCAGGCTTGGGTCCTGCGAACCGAGGGCAGACTGCTCAACTTTCTCAAGCTATATGCCTTGATTGGCAGTGTTCTTCTGATTTTGTTGGCGATTCCACACATGCACCTGCGCCTTCATCATTACATTATAGCGTTGCTTCTTCTACCGGGGACTGCAACGCAGACTCGTCCCACCCTACTGTATCAGGGATTTCTTGTCGGTCTTTTCATCAACGGCGTCGCAAGATGGGGTTTCGCAAGTATCCTCGAGACATCCATCGAATTACTCAGTAATGCACAGATGAACAGCCCCCTTCCATATATTCCTGAGCCAACAATCACCAATAACTCAATTACCTTTAGTTTCTCCAATTTGACTGCCGGTTTCGGTGGGATTAGCGTGCTGGTGAATGATGTTGAGCGCTATCGGTCATACGAATCCTACAACAAAAAGTCATTTACATGGAGACACCATCCAGAGGTGACGTTGGAATTCTTCAGGTTTGGCTATATTTTCCGGGACGCCTTTGGAAATTCCTGGTTTGGGGATTTTACCAAGGCTGGCACATGGAAGGAAGATGGAAGTTGGCAGCATATGAAGCCTGGACCAAGTCGATGATTGTGCTGCATAACTACTGATTTTCTAAAGAGGCTCCATACACCAAGTCTTAGTTGTGCTAGAATACGAACATTGAATTGGAATCCAGAAGAATTGATGTGGATTATAAATCGTGGAGAGTCGTTCAGAGCCTGGATGCTCCGAAAAGACTGAAGTCGATTGATGTTGTGAATAGATTTTGAATGAAAGCCCTAACTTGTCATTTATAGTCCGTTCACATCGCTTCAACCTCTTCTCGGTATTACTGCACGCGAGAAACGATTGAAGAATGAATTGGCTCGAGTGGAAAGCAGATTGTTCCAGGAGGCTAATACACATGAGCCTGCTGCAGAGTTATCGAGACGACATAATCTCTCGCTTCCCCTAATCGGCTCTAGGTTCAAATCTCAGCCACATCAAATGCGATTGGTTCTCGACCAACACGGAAGATGAAACGGGAAGTTGGGGATTTGCACGTCGTTCCAAGGACAATGGACGTTGAAGCAGGGCCTGAGATCCGTATTATCAAGAAGAGACAAGTGCTGCTGCTAGCAAGTGAAGGGGTGGTCAAAGTGTTACTGAGGCGGGAAACACATATGACAGCTGAGAAAACCCCCTTTCTCTAGCCTGAGTTTCCAAAATTCCAAAGTCACATATTGATAACTACTTTAGTCTATACTCTGTTACTGCAAAGTAACTACATCAACGACAATGGTTTCATTTGAGTATTTATAAGACACCTCCACAAAATCAAACGTTACCCAAACCGACGAGTACAGCACAAAACGCTCGCTTATAGTCTCACCTCGCTCCTCATCAATCTCTCCCAATCCTGCACTGTAAACTCCTGATACGTATCGTCCTCCGGCTTCATCCACAGAATCTGATCCGCCTCGCCATCCTTCACCTTCGTGCCTTTCTTCGCAGGGTCAACACCCTCTTCTCTCAGTGGAACCTTGTTTTGCTTATTATTATGAATATGATTCGACGCCTCGACGATGCGAATAAACACTGGAACGGCATATCTCGGCAACTTCTCTCGCGCATGGCGCACGAGCCCAGTCCAGTCAAATCGTCCACGCTCCGCGGGATCGATCAGCAACGCCGCACAACCCGCACGCCCCTCATAATTAGGAACCAAGACACCATACACATTGGCCTCCAGGACACCGGGAAACTGTCCTAGCACCACAGCGACTTCGGCGGTGGACACGTTTTCCGATTTCCAGCGGAAGGTATCTCCCAGACGGTCGAGGAAGTGCCAGTGGCCATCGTCGGTGCGGCGGAGAGCGTCACCGGTGCGGTAGTAGAGGTCGCCTTTCTGGAAGACGTCGCGGACGAATTTCTTCGACGTGGCTTGAGGATTGCGCCAGTAGCCCTGGAAAACCTCCTCGTTGGGCACGGCGACGAGGATCTCGCCGCCTTCTGCGTAGGGCATGCGGGTGGCGAAGCCGGTGACGGGGTCGCGGAGGATGTCTGCGGTTACGGGGTCAATGGCGACGGGGATATATGTGTTGTTGAAGAACTTGCGGAGGATGGCTCCGTGGTGGCCGACGCAAGTGGCACCGTAAGGGCCATAGTTGGTGTTGAGCAGGCCAAATATACCTTCCGTGCTGTTGAAGAATTCGTAAATGGCGGGGATACCGAAGCGCTCGCGGAATCTCTCCCACACGTCCGGGCGCAACCCATTGCCGTACATACCACGAACCTTGTGCTGACGATCTAGAGGTGATGGAGGCGCTGAAAGGAGATAACGGGCGGTTTCGCCAACATAGATAAAGTGGGTGGACTCGGAGTCGATCACATCCTTCCAGAAGTTCCTTGTGCTGAACTTCTTTCCGATGGCAACGCTAACGCCGCGGCTCAGGCAGACTTGCAGTCTCACTCCTCCGGTTCCATGATACAACGGCATGCAGTTATACCAGCGATCCCCACCTTCACCTTGCTTTTCGTCCAAGCCACTTATTAATATGGTCCCGTACATCCGGGCCATGGTAAAGGCAGACGCCTTTGGCAACCCGGTTGTGCCGCTGGTATAGAAGAGACAAGAGGGCGACCCGCCCTCGAGACCTAGTCGCAGAGACTCGTCGGGAACGGCAGACGGGAAAGTCGCAACATACGCCTTTAGGCTCTCGTCTAGAAGCAGCGGCTTCATCTTCAATTCGCCCTCGACCGCCGAGCGTTCCTCGTCGATCCTGCTTGAGCAATCCGGGCTAGGGTCAACAATCAGGTACTCCGCGCCGCTGACCTTCAGGCAGTGTATCAATGCGGGTCCGGCCAGATTGTAATTGATCAATGCAGGAGAACAGCCGATGGCCCATAACCCAAACCATATGAGAGGTAGCTCGGCGCAGTTTTGAAGATAGACCGCGACTAGATCTCCTCTCTTGACGCCAAGGGAGAGGAAGTAGTGGCCGTATTGGCAGGCCATGTCGTGGGCCTCCTGGAAGGTGTATTCGACCTCTCGCGACCAGATACACTTGACATTGGGATACTTTCTGACAGCTTCGGCGAAGAAGTACCACGCAGATACTTTGCCATTGGCGACTGGAGGGGACTGTTAGCAAGGGACCCTGAAAAGGGGGCCTTTCTTTTTTTTTTTTTTCCCTTTCTACAGCGTACCTGCACGTGCGACCTCACGCTCGCTCGACTTTGCTCTGATTATGGCTGATAGATCTTGTTTGATGTGGTATTTGGCATTGAGGTATGCGGCCAGAGTGGCGCCGCCGGCCGCGAGAGCAGCAGTAGCTGTTGAGAAAGAGGGTAGAAGCAGTTAGCAAGATATATCAGAGCTGCCATGCTGGGTATCAAGTAGATCAGAGCTAGCTAACTACATACCCAATGCCATTTCTTTTTTGCCCCGTCAGGCCTTTTTAGCCGAGTCTCTATCAATGCAGTTGGGTGTTGTAATCAAGCAATGACTACAGGCTAACTAGGCTCTGGTGAGATGGACAGAGCAGGATATTACGCTGCACCAAAAGGGAACAACAGATCAAGATGCAAATGCCGAGGGACGAAAAGAAGAGCCAGAGGGAGGTGAAGAAGGAGAGAATTAGAAAAAAAGGGAGAAGGAGAAGGAGAGAAAGAGAAAGAGAGCAGACGGGGAAGACAGAAATCAATAGCCGAAGCAGCGGCCATGATTACGAAGATCTAATAAATTTAACATTTACGGAGTACGGAGTATTCTTCCACAAATTCCGCGCATTCTTGCACACACTGGGGCTCGCGCGTTGCTGGGGTAGGGTAGGGTAGGGTTCGTTGTACGCCCCGGCGTTGCTGGGCCTGCTTTGTCTGCTGTGCCTTTTTGGCTTTTTCCCCACGGTATCTCGGTGCAAGATACATATAGCCGTTCTGCGGGCGGGATAAGCTGGGGTAACTTGGTTTAACTCAAGCGGCCCTGTTGGTTAATTAGTGCCGGCCGCAGCGGGCTGTTTGTCGGGTTCGACCTCGGTACTTCCGCAGTAGCGCTCGGCTTCGTCGAATAGGGAGCCGAAGAGGCACCGCCAAAGTTACCCTGGGATAAGCCAGTTTCCTATCGTCGTCTCGAACACTCCCGCAAAAAAAAAAAAAAAAAAGAGAGAGAGAGAGATTGAGAGAACTGGATGAACTGGCTGCTCGTCTTGAATTCTCCTAACTGCGGGACAGCCATCATCATAAAGTCTCGCAGCCCGAACTAACTACCGCTGAGATCAACCCTGAGTGATAGTCCTTACTCTTGATGGTGTAAAGCCATTGAATTATATTGGAAACACTCTGTACCCCGTATACAATAATAATATGTTAAAAAAAAAGGGATATCCGCAATATTTCGCAACAGCCATGCTCTTCCCCCAGTTATATACATACATAAAAAGCATCCAGCGAGTCAATCGCCGAGTCACATAGTTAAATACTAGTTTACATAACATTCATCTCTTCCTTATGAGCGCCTGGCTAGAAGTTTGTCACAAGCGTCAAGCTCGAAAAATAAATACATAGCATCTTCGTAAGAAAGAAGCAGACGTAAAAAAATAAAAATAAAGTAATAAAATAAAATTACAGTGCCATAAAGACACCAACGACGGCACCGCCCAGCGTGAAGACCAGCGGAAGATGTCCCGTCACCCCCATCTTCCGCGACCCCGAATCCTGCTGAGATTGCAGGGTCTCTTCGGGGCCCGCGGCGTTCGCGTTCGCGTCCGCGTCTTCCACAGAGGTCGTGCTACCACCCGGCCGAACGAAGACAACGCTCGTCTGCGTCTCAACGGGGATCTCTGGCTCCTCTTGGGCGGGCGTCTCAGCCGCGTCGGGAGCCCCCGTCGGGTCTAGCTCTGCTTCTGTCTCGACGTCAGTAGGCTGAGTGAGAGTGAGAGTGGGTGTGGGTATGGGTGCGTTACGCCCTGGAAGGCGGGAGAGTGTGGTGGCATTGTTAGCTGCTGCTGGTGGTGGTGGTGGTGGACCGGGGAGTATGGTGGTGACTGTCATGCTGGGAGCAATGGTGGACGCACCCGTGCCTAATGGAGGATCTGCAAAGATACCCGTCCCCTCTGCGGGCGTGGACATTGGGAATGAGAAGGGGAACGGGAACAGAACTGGGTCGCCGTCGTTGTCTGGCTGCTGCGGCTTGTTCGGTTCCTGCGGGTTGTTTGGGTCGTCCAACTCTGGTGGTGGTGGTGGTGGTGGTGGTGATGCTGCCGGCGGCGGTTGCTGTTGCGGTGGTGGCGGGACCGACGTCGAAGACGATGTAGTCGCAACAGGATCAGAGGTGGACGACATCGTGGCACTCGTCGTGGCAGCCGTCGAGGTCGTGGCAACCTCCGTCTCGGTATTCTGGCCGTCTTCTCCTCCCATATCCACAGAAATCGCCAGCCCGGCTCTCGCCTCCGGCAACCCGTTCTTCTGCTCAAACTCCTTGACGTCGATCTCATCACCCGCCGCGGGAATCTCACCCAAGCTGGTCTCGCCGCGCTGCAAGTACATCAGAAACGAATACTCCCGTTTACCAGTCTCTCCCAAGCTGCCCGGCGCCGTGTACTTCACGGCAGGCTCACTCGACGATTCAATCTTCGTCTTTTCGCCCGTCGCCTTGAAATCAGTCTGCATGTAATGTATCCGTCTCGAGCCCTCCTCCGTAGTATCCACCATCATGATCATGAACGACAGCGCGGTGTTGACGCCGGATGCATCGCCCAGAGCAAAGTTGGGCGTACGGGATGCATCTGCCATTTTTCATTCTTAGCGTGTGCGCTTGTGCGATTTCGTTGTTTGTCCCATGATCGAGGGAACGGAGGGGAAGCTTACCCTGCTTCGATACCACGGCGCCATCAGCCAATCCGTCAGAAGCGTCGCCGCCAAAGCTGACCTGCAAGTCGATAGAGCCAGAGCCGAAGCCTCCAGAAAGGTCCGGGGGAACTGTGGCTTGTGAGAATGCTAGGGCAAATAGCGTCGACGCAGCAGCGAAATATGACTTCATTGCGAGAGAGAGGAGGGCAAAAAAAGGAAAAAAAAAAAAAAAAGGAGACAAGAGAAAACTGAAAAAGGGGATGATCTTTTCCAATCGAGTACCTGTTTATATCGTTAATCCTATCTGAAAAGATCAACCGATATACAATGAGCTATGGGGTATATAGAATTTGGAGAATGACAACAAGAGAGACCGAAGGGAGTCAGGAAAGCTGGAGCAGATAAACAGGAACCAGCATAGCATCGCATGCTCATGCAGCTCCCTGCATTCGAGACGAAAAGTCTCCGGTTTATGTATCAACTATCATCCCCAGTCCATCCTGTGTCGTTCGACGGCTAGCAAATAAAGAAAAAAAAAACACAAGCAGTCAACTGGTTGGCTCCCCACGGGCCTTCGACAGTTGACGCAGCATGTGGACTGTCCAAGACAAGCCACATCCTGAACCCGGAGGGGTTTTGGCTTGACGCATGAGACAGTAGGCTGTAAGAGCAGGAAGGGGAAAAAAAAAAAAAAAAAAAAGAACAGCTACGGGGAAAAGGGAAGACAGAAGAGTATCCTGCAGAATGAAGATAATAACTCTGTCGCTTTGCAGGAGGTTTTGCAGGGCCACCGGTCTGCGCCAAGCGAGCCGGCAGCGTTACAAGTTCGGCTCAGTGCGGGTTTCAGCGCTGTCTCACCGCGCCTAAACGAGTGTCTTCGGGGTTTGAGAGCAAGATCTATAACAGAATGATCAGCATGAAATGTCGACGCCGGCTAGTCTGAACTTGCGGGTGAGAGGAAAAGCCTGTGCTGAAAATTGTTGATTTCATATTTTTTTTTCTTTTTTTTTCTTCTTTTTTCATCATTTTGGGTTAAATTGAAGGCTGCCCTTGGAATTCATCAGCAAGGAACACGTCAATGCAGTTCAACTGTCACGGAAATGCATTTATACATAGTAGTCACATAGCTATATACTATTTCACACACGCTGTTTTGCGTTGCTTTTCTTTTTTTTTTTTTTTTGGGTCTCTTTTCTTTTCAATGTATATCCGCTAGATGTTATTAAAAGTTCATTCATGCCCCAACGCTCCCCCTTTTGCAATCCCAAGCGTATTTTTTGAAACCACCCGGTGAACAAAAGGGCAGTTAGTTCAATTTGGACGCAGAAGAAAAGGGCTCCAGGTCCGCGCGAGATCTAACATATCAATTGTGATGTGATTTTGTTCAATTCAAAAAGAACTCCTGCTAATCCCAATCACCGATTCCTTTCCCCCACCTACTTTCATTTAAAAGTCAACCTTCTCCTTGACATACAGGTCAACATACTTGTCGACATCCATGTTCTCGAGATCCTTCTGCTTGAGACCCAAGTCGATGAGCGACTGGACCTTGGAGGCATCGTAGTGGGCCTCGAGGTGGCGCTTGTACTTGGCGAGGATCTCGGGCTTGGCCTCCTCGCGGCGGAGACGGTGGCCGAGAGGAGCGTCGACGACGACCTCCTCGAGGACGGTTCCGTCGTTCAGGGTGACGGTGAGGGCGTTGGGGATGGTGCGGAGAGCAGGGTCGTGGTAGTCCTTGGTCATCTGGGGGTCCTCGACGCAGCGGATGCGCTTGCGGAGAGACTCGACAAGTGGGGAGGTGGCGGCCTCGGATCCGTCGGTGTAGTCGGTGGCGACGAGGCGGTTGAAGACGAGCATGGTGGAAACCATGTACTAGAAAAGCAAAGCGCTGTTAGTGTTTCTTTTCTTATTTCCTTGTTTTATTTCTTTTTTATGTTTATTTTTATTGATTTATTTATTTATTTATTTTTCACCCGATCAGAGGGGAGAAGAACGTACCTGAATGCAGTGGTCACGATCGGCGAAGTTGTCCATTGGCTTGAATTGTTTGTCGATGATGCGGACGCAGGCCTCGTGGGTTCTGATGGTGACTTCCTTGATGTCTTCGGCAGACTTGCCCATGCTGGCGAGGGTGCCGTTGATCTTCTTCGCGGCCTCGATGGCGGTCTGGGAGTGGAATTCCGCTACAGACGGTCGTGAGTGACTTGACCTCCATTTCATTTCTATGCAATATTGCAGTACATACCAGGGTAGGAGACCTTGAAGAGGACGTTCTCCATAACGTAGCTGCCATATGGACGCTGGAACTTGAACTTGTTGCCCTTGAAGAGGACATCGTAGAAGCCCCAGACGGGGGCGGAGAGGACGGTAGGAACACCGGCCTCACCCTTCTGGACCTTGAGGACGAGGTTGACTGCACGCTGGCAGGCATCACCGGCGGCCCAGGACTTTCTGGACATGGTGTTGGGGGAGTGTCTGTAGGTGCGCAAGCTCTGGCCGTCGACCCAGGCCTGGGTGATGGCGTCGGCGGTCTGCTGCTCGGTCAAGCCCATGAGCTTGGCGACGACGGCGGTGGTAGCGACCTTG